AACATCGTCTGTGGAGCTACGTTCAGACAGCGTGTGAAGCTGGAGGAACATGAGAGAGTATTCCATAGAATCCCTCACAAAGTTTGGCACTGTTTACAGTGTCCAGACAGGTCCTTTGGCAGTTTAGCTAAGCTGAACAAACATACAAGAAACTGCCATTCAGTTAGATTTTTCTGCCCTGAAAGTGGATGCAATTTCAATAGACCAGCCCATTGTAAGAATAATATTGAACGACACATAGCCACCCATATGCGACCTTCCCAGGCACTTCCATCACACACCATTACCTCTAGGGATTTGCCACCCACACCAACCACGCCCACAGCTAATATCCCTAGCTTATTTGATGTAGTATTAATGCCTCCCAGTACTAGTGAACCCAAGGTGACGTGGGTAAATGAGCTTGACACATTGGCTAGGGATCCTTCCACCTCATCTACCTTCATGGATGAATCCCTATTAGGTATCATACCAGAGGATTTGTTTAAAGGCATGGAATGGGATAACATAGCTAGACTGTCCCCACTTAGGAGTGATGTGTCAAGCGATGGAACAGAATACTACCAGCATTCCCAAATCCTGCCCCTCTCTCCTTCCCAAAGTTCACCTGAAAAGACAACTACCCCTCCCACCTCACCTCTAAATGAAGGGTCTGGATCCCAAGAGCAGGGTACTCCAGGCGCCAACAGTCAAATCCTATCTCCGCACACACCCATGAAACCTTTCACCATTCCCAAGAAGTCTAAAACTACAGGCACCTCTAAACAGAAAAACAAACCCCCTGTGAAGTCCAAACACAGAGGCACTTCAAAGTCCAAGGCTAAGTCTAAAGAATCTTCAAAGAAGAAATCAAAGGACTCCCTAAAACGTAAACTTTCCAAGAAGCCTCTACGTGCTAAAGTAAAAGCTATGAAGAAGAATTGGGATACACTATTGAATGTTGACGCTCTTGACGAAGAGCTATGTCAGTCAAGTTCGAGTACATCTTCAAAATCTCCTAAAACACCCCCTAAGACCCCCTCGTGGAAAGTGCTCACACCAAAAGAGGACACTGAGACAGTTCTTAATCCTGCCACTCCTGTCTCCCCAATCAAGATTGTGGTGTGCTCAAAATCTGAGACTCCTGCCTCCAAGGCTCCAGCTACAAATTCCAATGTAGTGCAAGAGGAGAGCCAAACAGAACCCCTGAACTTAGTATTGGACCTCTCCATAAGAAGAACAGCCACGCCTACAACTACCATCCAAACGCAGAAGACATTGGATTGTTGGTTAAAACAATAAACTACAATGACCTACAACAAACAAGAAAGAAACTGTGTATAACATTTGCTCATATTCACAAACTAGTGATACATTATCAGTGATACCATATATATCTATGATAACCAGTGACAATATTGGATTATAAAAGTGCTACATTGCTTACCTATTATAACACTAATAGCAATGAATAAACTACAGGCAACAACATCAACTTGCCTTACTCCAACCAGATTACAAGTGCAGCAGAACTACAATGCAGTGATAATATACTTATTATGTTTATCAATGGTGCTACCACTATATATATAAGTATATATTGAAAATCTCATAAACACTTATTACAACAAGACTACAAATGCAATAGAACTACAATAAATGACATTATGTTTATTAGGTTTATAAACATTGCTATCACTATAAAAAAGGTATATGTGAAATACCTAATGAACACTTATTAAGTTGAAAATACATTACAGATAGTGTCAGAGTAACACAACTGTATTGCGTGATATTAAAGTGCAAAGATAATGGATATTATCATTCTTTTTGTATATATGTACATATGTTAAACTATATTATATTTTACAGATAATAGATCTGAGTTGCTGATTGTATAATGCTCAATAATTCCAAGAAGGTTCCTTTTAATGCATAATCAATAATTTTCACTAGTCTCAGGAACCAAATAGTAGATGTTGTACAGTATTTATATTTTGAAAAGTATTTTTAAAGCATTTTGAAGCCTTGTGGTATTTTTATATACTTTAATACAGTATTACCAATGGTACTTAGTTGGTACTTAGTCAGAGTGACAATGATAACCCATTAAATTGGGTGATTGTTTTTATAGTTTTGTAGCATTTATGTACTGGTATTTAAGAGTTCGAGGTCGAACTCATTTTAAATAGGAGGCAATGTGACGATCTTGCACTTCGTTTCCACTCTTGTCAGTTGGTTGATTTGAAAGATCGCCACTTTGTTAACTTATACTCACATTTTAAATGCTATCGCGATTCTCCATATATCAGAGTTTAACCATTTTCTTTCAAAATTTCAAATTAAATGTTTTTGTTATTGCCGCCATATTGGATGCACTTTGACCTTTGGTCCTGGGAAATAGTTCCTCTTTCAACACGTTATTACTCAAGTATTTCACTCTATTTCATGTGTTAAACCTCATGTTTATTTATATTATTACCCTATATTTGGGTATTTTAACTTCAATCACTCTTAACTTAGCTTTAAACAGAGGAACTATATTCTCCGGCCCCAAACTAGCGCAATTAAGCACGCGCATAAATATTTTACATTGTGCGAATCCGAGCTTCTTCTGGCGAGTCGATACTTTGAATTCTCCGTCTTTTGGATATTTTACAAGATACGCAAACTCTGGATATAACACTGGATATATATACCGCTGATTACATTATGGAGAGTCGCGATACAGGCACAGGCCAGGTAATTGCATTTATTTAGGTTGCTCAAGATTGTCGAAACTTGCTGGGTTATTTCACTGATTTTACTGTTCGATCATTCAAACTCAACTTTATACAAGAATTTGACACTATTTGTAGCGCATTTATTGTTATGAATCCTTATTAGAGTATTGTGGACCAATTTAACTACGTTTTCGCAGCCCATCGGGAGCGAAAACTTCAATTTAACACAGGGTCATTGAGGTCACTTGCCAAGCCTATGAAGCCCGTGAAGCCTTTTGGGCTGTAATTGACTTCCCTGGTACTGACCTACCCCCTCCCACACTTACATGTCAATACTCTAAGTGGGCTACATATTGGTGTTTTCATTTGACTTAATGCATTCATATTATACTTAACGGCCTATACTTAAAGTTCTACCAATTTTTCTGGACACACTTGTTGTATTAAACGTGCTCCGATCAGCTGATCGGTGTTATGTTTACGTTTAAGGTCAAGTGTCAGCAAAAAGTAGTTCTCACTTTTGGCTTCTGTATGTGAAAACCAGCGGTGTTTCAAACTTGAGTGCACACATGCATTCCATTGCCAGTAACTGTTAGTGACTTGTAACATTGTGAACTTGTTAATTTATTACAGTAGAATAGATTTGTTTTTATACATTTTTATAAAGATCCCTTTACACGCCAGAGTTTGTTTATTTCTTGGTAAAGCTTAGATGGTAAATTCCTAGCTAGATTATTCAATCCCCCTCCCGTTGTATTGGAATTGAAATTATTGACAGAAGCCCATTTGTAGCCAGCTGGTTATTTGTGAACAGACACTTCAACTGTTAATTGTCTTTACAGATACTTATTAGGTTGTTTCACGTCTGATTTCTCTAATGCCATGGCTTTACAGAATGCACACTTTTGTTTCCACTGCACTAATTTCTCACCTGACCTAATATATCTACCCTGTGGCCATTACATCTGCTTGTATTGCAAAATCTTACTGACATTGACTGACCCCCAACATTACCCTGAGCAAGAGATTTGTGCATGTACTTTCTGCATAGACCAGTGGGAAACAGATGACACTTGTTGTCCAGTTTGTTTCGCAGAGGTATCCTATCAAGGTCAATTGCACGCCTGTCCAGGTAGTTAATTATTTGCTCACATGGTAATTGGGGGCATTGTCACACAAGATTTGCAACGTTCTTAATTTTCCTGATTGCTCAGCCTGATTACCCTACATATTATTTACCAACATATTACAGTGAAATCTGTCTTTGATCCACTATATATCATCTGATTACAGTGAAACTTGCATTTGCCCACTATTTACTGTATGATCACAGTGAAACCTGCAATATCAAACACCTCTTGTATCACATACACAAATGTGTTCATATGAAGTCACGCCTTTATAATGAACACCTTTCTATGGTGAACATATTCTTGTGACTTCATAAGTGTTCAATTCCCACGAGTTTCACTGTACTCAGAAAATCTTTAACCAGACTAATCAGCTGATTTCTGACATAGTGTTCTTAATAAAGCCCCTGTAAATGGCTTTCCTGTTCAACTAACCCCTCCCACTTTGAATTGACAACCCTAACCATTGCAATCTAGTACATGCAGTACATGTTCTTAATAAAGCCCCTGTAAATGGCTTTTCTGTTCAACTAACCCCTCCCACTTTGAATTGACAACCCTAACCATTGCAATCTAGTACATGCAGTACATGTTCTTAATAAAGCCCCTGTAAATGGCTTTTCTGTTCAATTAACCCCTCCCACTTTAAATTGAAAACCCTAACAATTGCAACCTAGTAAATGCAGCACATGTTTTTAATCCAGCCCCTGTAAATGGCTTTTCTGTTCAATTAACCCCTCCCACTTTAAATTGAAAACCCTAACAATTGCAACCTAGTAAATGCAGCACATGTTTTTAATCCAGCCCCTGTAAATGGCTTTTCTGTTCAACTAACCCCTCCCACTTTGAATTGAAGACATTAACAATTGCAAACTAGTACATGCAATATCTATTATTTGAGACATCAAATATAACTTCCTTTTCTGTCCGATTCCCAATCACGCTACCACATACGGGTCGTGACAATACTAGAGCACGGACCAAGGAAGAAGATTTAAATCCCCCCACTCACTCTATACTGTAAAAAATAGTGAGTGGGGGGATTTAAATCTTCCTGGGCCTGTGCTCGAGAGCGACCAGTGGGAATGCGAACAAATGTTAGATAGAGTTTCTGATCGCCCGCAAAAACAATGCAATATTTGCGTAATCGGGTCGATTTTTGGCGGGAGACCATTCGAGCGAGACGAATGTTACAGTGTCTGCATATACGGCTGTTTCCAGCGAGGACGTGTATTATTTGACAAAGTGAAGCTGTTCACAATGCCTTGTTTCCAAACTAAGAGGAGTAAGAAGCAAACAAAAATTACAGATGGTAAGGCAGTGCTCGGAGGCAGGATTTTTTCTGTGACAAGTGGATGCAAAATTCTTGATTTCTCAATTTAGACCAAATTTGATTATACATACCTATTCATTTTCAGGTGGGTGTAACTGGATTCTCAGGTGGTTGTGCACTAACCCATTTTTAAAATCCAGTCGAGTGCAGAAGCCTGTCCGAAGGGGGGGGGGGCGTTAGAAAAAAACGGGTACCCGGTAGTAAATCCTCCATGCTGGGTTCAAACTTGGTACCCGGTACCCGGTCGAAAATACTGGGTACCCAAAAAAACGAATAATACGAATATAAAACATAATAATTAGATCATTAGAAAACGTGTAAGATTTGTTTTGAATTCACAAAAATGTATGCAACTTCCTTCAAAATTGAGCTAGAAGCTTCAAATAAAAAGCATTTTAAGACTCTTTTCTTCCTCTATCATAGTGGTCATATTTTCATTGGTTATGGGGGGGTGCGATCGTACCATCGAACCCCCTCCTGGCTACGCCTATGACATTGTAAGACGATTTGAAAAACATGACAAATCAATCTTACTCTATTTTCAATAGTTCGTATGTTGGTACGTTAATTGTTTTGATTATGATTTAAATCTGTAAATAGCTATACTTTAGCAGAGAGGTGACGTGTGTTAATTTACATGATGCAACGTGTAAGATTTTGATTATTTATCATAATTTAAGTTATCCCAATTTTCGACGAAACGTCCGCTGAAGTTTAAATTGTTACGTCTTACAATGTCATAGGCGTAGCCAGGAGGGGGTGCGATGGTGCCCATAACCAATGAATATATGGCCAGGATGATAGAGGAAGAAAAGACTCTTAAAATGCTTTTTATTTGAAGCTTCTAGCTCAATTTTGAAGGAAGTTACATACATTTTTTGTAAAGTCAAAACAAATCTTACACGTTTTCTAATGATCTAATTATGTTTGTATTTTTTGTTTTTTGGGTACCCGGTTTTTTCGACCGGGTACCAAGTTTGAACCCAGCATGGAGGATTTACTACTCGGTACCCGGTTTTTTCTACAAACCCAGTAGTAAAGTGCTAATTAAAAATACAAAATAATAAAGGATGCGTTTTCAAACTAAACACCTGAATTGTTACTTCCTGCGAAAGCTATGGGGATTTTGATAATAGCTTTCCCACGGAGCATTTGGACAGCTGAATGATTGTGACCTTTGAAATCGAATTAAGTCGATCAGCGGCTTACTTTTGGTCTCTAACTGTGTCTTCCATCAGTATCATCAATCCGTGCAAGTATTGGAGTGCTGAAATACTTCTTTTTCGATCAAGACTTGTAAATTGTTCATCGAGTGAATGTTTTTTCGAACCATTTCCAATATGGCGGTATTGCTAGGAGTGAGATATGCAACGAACGAAATGAATTTTGAGAATGAGTTAGGTTCGGACAACCTCCGGAGATTTACAAAAATGTCCGAGCAGAAAACGCCATATTGGAATTTGGCAGAAAAAAACATTCACTCAACTAACAATTACAAGTCTTGATCAAAAAGGAAGTACTTCAGCGCTCCAATACTTACACGGAAGGATGATAATGATGTATGACATAGTAAGAGAACAAAAGTAAGCCGCTGGTAGACGCTGATCGACTTAATTCGTGTTTCAAAGGTCACTTTTATTCAGCTGTCCATTTACCCGTTCGAGAGCCATAAGTTTCAAAATCTAACATGGCTCTCGAAGTGAGTAACTGAATTGCACTTCAATATCTATTTACTGTACTTGATGAATGTTTTCAGCTCACCATAAGGAAGATGAATCAGATGTTGATCCAAATCAGAACATTGTGCTGAAGCCTGGAGAGAAAGACCAGATATGGAGAATTGAAGGTCAAGTCTCAAAGACAAAGGTACCCAAGCAAGAACAGATGAGGTCCAAAAGTTACCTGGCAGCTTTAAAAATTGGTGAGTCAATTATTAGACATGGGCAGCTATGAAAATTGGTGTGTCAGTGGTCAATTGGTAATAAGCTGGTAATAATAGAGAATAACAATTCCCATGAATTATGCTGTAACTAATTTCAATTTTGCTTTTAGATGACACCCCAGACTCCAGTGACCCAACTAAAGCTCATCAACCAGTCATAGAAACCACACGCATAAATACCAACCCACTTATCACTGTGGAGACTCCTGGAGGAGCTCAGTTCTTGGCAGAAAACTCTACATTGTGTCCATCTAGGTTGTTTAGTGGGGTCTATGATGACAATGACCTTCAAAGTGGCTCTCCTATGCCAGGTGATGTCAGTTATGATGACCCCTTTGCACCTGTGTTTACGCCTTTAGGTAAGTGTTCATTGGTTTCACATTTACACTACTTTAAGCAAGTGTTCATTGGTCTCACAATTTCACATTTAGGTATTCAGACAATTACACATTTAAGTAAGTGTTCATTGGTCTCACAATTACACATTTAGGTAAGTGTTCATTGGTCTCACAATTACACATTTAGGTAACAACAGTTTTAAATGTCCACTTGCATTTTTCTCATCGGGTTGCCCAAATAATTTGGGATTGGTCATGTATTTTTGCAGGTCTGGTCAGATACTCTTTCAAAATTATGCAGCTTTTTACCATTCTGAGCACTTTTTGCATGATTTTTTGCCAAAACTGTCAAAAAGCTCCCCCTTGGTAAACCGCCGGAGTTTCTCTCTTGAACGTCTACGTCCAAAAATATCCTAAAAGTTCTCTAAAAAGTTCGATATTTAAAAGAACGCCCATGGGCTTTTCAAGAGATAAATCTCTTCAAATAGACGATTGTCGGTAAAACAAGCAACTCTGGTACATTGTCTCAATAAGCATACATGAACAGCCTTAACATTCAATGAAATTAGTCATCACTCATGTAACCATTGTCAAATTCTTCGGCAGACATAAAAGTAACATTGTCATGTGGTATAATAAGTAGCTGATTGTAAGTGAAAGTAACGCTTTGGCCCAGATTTGAGAGTCGAATACTTTTTTTCAAGGTTAAGCCGTACCCCCTTCTTCACTCCCCATGAGAAAATATTACACAAACTCAAGATTACCATGGGATGTTAACATTTTGACAGTCAAGAACTAACATGGGGTTTTACACAGTCGGCGTAATTTGAAAATGTACAGGGAACGTTGTACTCTTCACATCAATATTTCTCTATTCATTTGATCCCCAGAACAATATAAAGAAGGGGGAATATAGACGGGAGTATAATTAATTAAATTCCATTACATTTATCATAAATATTATCACTACTCAACATAATTTGACAATAAAATTAACCCGTTTCCGTCATGATTCCCATTGACTTCTAATGTGTTAGGATTTTCCCGCGAAAATCTGCCCTACTCTGACGTCAGAGTTTTCAGATTTGCTAATTATAATATTCATGAGCTGACTTTGGGGAAAGGTGAATAAGCATGGCACACTGTCCTATGACACTTTTGGTAGAAGGCGGCCATTTTGAAAAATTTTTGGAAAAATGGCTGCCATTTTAACATATTTTGCTATAACTCGAAAAGTAGTGGAGCGATTTTGTTCATATTTGGTATGTGAATACTATAAGCATGGCACACTGTCCTATGACACTTTTGGTAGAAGGCAGCCATTTTGAAAACAATTTTGAAAAATGGCCGCCATTTTGAAAACAATTTTGAAAAATGGCCGCCATTTAAACGTATTTCACTATAACTCGAAGTATAGTGTAGCGATTTTGTTCATATTTGGTATGTGAATACCATAAGCATGGCACACTGTCTATTTCTAATGACGCTTTTGGGAGAAGGTGGCCATTTTGAAAAATGGCCGCCATTTTAACGTATTTTACTATAACTCGAAAAATAGTGGAGCGATTTTGTTCATATTTGATATGTGAATACTTTAAGCATGGCACATTGTCTAATAATGGGTAGTAGTCGGCCATTTTGAAAAATGGCCACCATTTTTATGTGTGTTTTATGTGAATTTACAAGTACGTGTGTGATTTTTCAAAAATTTTAGAGGTGGCTACTTAAAAGCATATTATTTCTTCTGATGACAACTTGGCTAGTGAACAACCATTTTGAAAATGGTGGCCTTTCTGGTGTGTTGTTTTATGATATTTGCGCTTCGTTTTTAAAAACGCCAGCCATTTCTGTTCGATGGGATTCGCTACGCTTTGGCGTTGCCGTTGTTCTGGTCTTTTCTTGTATTGGACAGATAACATTTTCTTTTACTGGACATATTTTAATTTGCATAACTATTAGATACATAAGGGTCATATGAAAATTGAACCACGCAAATAATTGTAATTTAAGTTAAAGGGAACTTTCTACTATACCCGCCATGCTATCTGACCCGAATGAGCCACCTGGTGGTGAATCTGGTAACTACCTACTCGCATCTACGTTATTGGTGACATGCTCACTGGAGACTGTCCTCTCATTATTACCTTATATGTCCGCAAGTTATTACTTTCTGTCGTCATTCATAGAAGACTTACCACTCGAAATCCGACCCCAGAAAGTGTGCATTAAACTGTTACAGGCAAAAGGTAAAACGTGATTTCAGATTCAGATTCCTGAATCAGATTCAGATATGTCCTACTTTTCAGACACCATATCTAAAAAGTGGGTCAAAATACTTCCTGATGGCAAAGGGCTACAAAGTCTTACAAGCCTCCAATAACTTAAATATTTTTCAAAATTATCTGATTCGTCCTTCTGAAAATTCAAAATGGCTGCCTAGAGTAAGAATTTGCTATTACTTAGAGATCTCTTTACTTCAAAGTTTGGTTATATTATACTATATTAGATCTCAAATATTGTATTGTCTTTATGATAAGTGCCTTTGAAGCTCCTAATTGGTCACCAAAATGCTTAAATTGGAAATTCTGATAAATCTCTAATATATGTATTTAATTCCTTTTAATATCTGCCAGATGGTAATTAAATATTACATTCTGACATATACAGATTCATGAATATAGCGTTCGTTGGGATTCTCTACTTTGAGAGGTTGCTAATTTCTAGTTTTGTTTTGGATATCTTCATAATTGATAAAAGTATAACTATTTCTATGATACTTTCAATGAAACCTTCTGGGGCATCTTTAGGTACATGGGGTAATGGATCCTTTATGTTTGAGAATATCAAGATTGTCAGCATGAAAGTTGTTAATTCATTTGATATATGTAGTCGAACGCTAAAATGGACTGTGTTTTCTGTTTGTTCAAAGGTCGTAGTCTTGAGGCAAACTATGGAGATTCCCGACCTATCAATGAGCTTACACCCAAAGAGGTATTTGAAAGATTGCAACTGATACGTCTGAAGAATCATCTTACTGGAGCTGAAAAGATGGATAAACTCCACCTTAAAGCTAAAGAGGTTAGTCATGGCGTATTTGAAATAGTGAATGTTTTTTATAGGCATGACATAGAATGACGAGAGCAAAATAATAATTGTAAGATTGTACTTTTTGTACAATGTACTTTTAATGAAAATGTATAAAGATCATAAATACCTGTTTTACATTGACCCTTTGATTGGATAAGAAAATCATTGTTTCAGACAGCAAGGTGTAACGAAAAAACATGCCAGGGGTCTACAGTTTTCCCTAGAGGGATGGTGAAAAAAACTGGCAAAGCAAGATCAAAGGAAGAAATCTTGTCCCATGCTAGAGATTTTATAAGAGAAATGTTTGAAGCTCTGGACAGGTGAATTATGTTAATATTTATTGTATTTTATGTCATAAGAGTTAGATTCTTTGTTTAACCTCCATTTACTTGTATGATTTTGAGTTAATAGTAAATCATTGGTCATGGTTGCCACTTATTGCTTCGTTTTTAGAGAAATCCCAATTTTTACAATATGCAAGTCTGTACCTCCACAGTGTTTCCAAATCAGATATTATTTGTTGCCATTGCCATTTCTCTTCATAATGTATAGATCTTGCTTACACAGTGCTTTCATGAACTATAATTCTATCATTTTGAATTACCTTATTCTATTATACATGTAGAACATATCCCTGACATATTTGTAATTGGCCTGCTTTTCAAATTTCTCCTATACGTTTCCTATTTGTCATATTTTCAAAAATTATGAATGTCAAAAAATGTTTTAATGAGTATAATGTGTCTTCATGCATACCAAATTGTTGTTGACTATAATAAATGACAGAATTATTGGCATAAATTATGTCAGTTTTGGAGTCAGGAATTAATTTAAAACTTTGAAAGGTACCTTATTGAGAATAATTATCAAATCTGTTTTCTAAACACACAATTTTTGATACATATAGAATTTCCATTTTGTATGAGAATGCCCTTACCCAAAATATGAGTTTCTCATTAACCAAAGACTATTTTCAGAATGTCAAGATGGCCAATTCCCATGTCAGGCTGGGGTTGCCTGGTCACTTGTATTTTGGATACAGGTGGATGTACGTTCTCAACTAATAAATAACATGTTTTGTAATTTTGCCTCTTTACTAGAAAGGTGTCCAAGTGCATGAAGTATTCCCCACTTACACGAGTCTGTTGAATGTTTCAGTGTTGACTCAGCTGAACATATTGCACGTATAAATGCAATTGAAGATGACATCTTTAAGACAGGTTCCTATGCACACACATACCAAGAGCTGGTGTTTGGAAGTAAAACTGCATGGAGAAACACTTCTAGATGTGTTGGAAGGATACACTGGACATCATTAAATGTAAGCTTACAAGCTTTTATGGAGTATTAGAACTTTTGATCTTATTCTCCCCATTGCTCAAAACCTCAATTGATTCTTGATTCAAGTCTGAATAATGAAGAAAAATGAGGCAAAGCAAATGATGTAATTTTGTAGGTGTTTGATGAGAGGACAGTCAAGACAACCAAGGGGGTCTTTGCGTCACTATGTCACCACCTTTTTCATGCCACAAATGAAGGCAATATCAGGTATGTCACCACCTCTTTCATGCCACAAATGAAGGCAATATCAGGTATGTCACCACCTCTTTCATGCCACAAATGAGGGGAATATCATGTATGGCCCGCCTCTTTCATTGAACAGTTGGATGGCAATATCATGTATGCCCCGCCTCTTTCATTGAACAAGTCCCACCTCTTTCATTGAACACCTGATGGCAATATCACGTTTGCCCCACCTCTTTCATTGAACAAGTCCCACCTCTTTCATTGAACAACTGATGGCAATATGATGTATGTTTCACCTCTTTCATTGAACAACTGATGGCAATATCATGTATGTTCCACCTCTTTCATTTAACACCTGATGGCAATATCATGTATGTTTCACCTCTTTCATTGAACAACTGATGGCAATATCATGTATGTTCCACCTCTTTCATTGAACAACTGATGGCAATATCATGAATGTTTCCCCTCTTTCATTGAACAACTGATGGCAATATCATGAATGTTTCACCTCTTTCATTGAACAACTGATGGCAATATCATGAATGTTTCACCTCTTTCATTGAACAACTGATGGCAATATCATGTATATTCCACCTCTTTCATTGAACAACTGATGGCAATATCATGAATGTTTCACCTCTTTCATTGAACAACTGATGGCAATATCATGAATGTTTCCCCTCTTTCATTGAACAACTGATGGCAATATCATGAATGTTTCACCTCTTTCATTGAACAACTGATGGCAATATCATGAATGTTTCACCTCTTTCATTGAACAACTGATGGCAATATCATGAATGTTTCACCTCTTTCATTGAACAACTGATGGCAATATCATGAATGTTTCACCTCTTTCATGCTAAACATGATTGCAATATATGATCACTTCTTTCACGTTACAAATACCAGCACTATTAGGTTTGTCAACACTTCTTTCACATTACAAATAATGTCAATAGTAGATATGTCATCACCTCTCATAGTCAAGGGTATCATTAGCAGCCTGTAGCAAGCAATTTTTGGAAAATCTATTGTTTCTGCTAAATAGCCCGTTGTTTAAATGAATTTTGCAATTGTTTCCATGTTAGAATAATAATTTCCAATAATTTTGTCTCATTTTTAAATGTATGATATTTTCATGTTGACTTCAATTTTATGTTTTAGGTCTTGTATCACCCTTTTCCCTCCAAGTGAGGGGTCAGGGGCAAGAGACACAAGGATCTGGAACAGTCAGTTGCTGGCTTATGCTGGCTACATGCAAGAAAATGGCAAAATAATAGGAGATCCTGCTAATCTGGAATTTACTCAGGTTAGAACTCATGTTATACAGTCTAAAAGCAAAATACATGTACATACATAATTGTCATGTTTTGAAAATAACTCTTTTGTTAGGCACTTAATCATTACATCATACATTAAAAGAAATCAAAACAGCCTTATCGATAATGGTTTATATTTGAAACAAATTGAAAATAACTTCATTATTGTTTTATCATTTAGATTTGTTTAAAACTTGGCTGGCAGGGGCCATCTAAACAAGGCAACTTTGACCTTCTCCCCTGGGTGATAGAAGTGAATGGTGATGACCCTGAAGTATTTGACATCCCCCCTGATATTGTTGTGGAGGTCCCCCTGAAACATCCTGAGTAAGTAAACCATGTAGAAACCCTGAGTAAATCCATTTGTGAGCAGTGAGCGCCATTGGAAAATCCTGTATTGAGCAATCCTGTGTTGTGAGCATCTGATCTTGTATCTAATAGTTGTACTATTTGTGTATATTAGGGGTCCCACGATACATTATGAAACGATACGATACGTATCTCGATACTCAGGTCACGATACGAGCAACGATACGATTCATAATAGTGTAGTTGAACCAGGGGCGGTGCAACACTGACGTAGCTGAGGTTGAGTTGAAAGTCTATCACATGCTGTGACATTTGATTCAGATGCAGCATAAAAACTATAGTCAAGTATCAAGCCTACCTGCTGTGTAGTAGTCACTAGTCAGCTATGCATATTTTGCAATTTTTTTTGAAGTCCGGCGGTGCTTTTTTTTATGTTATAGTCTCAGCCTTTACTGGGGAATGTTCCAAAGTACTACAGAAGATTTTCTATTGGGGGATATAAGGATAACACAACTACCCATGTTTGATGCTTACACAGCCATAATTCTATCAATTGTGTTCAAAACTTTCAAAAAGTTTCAATTTCTAAACTCCGGTCAACATTAATACTCCGAACATTAATATTGTTCGGTTGTTTATTAGAGTTATCAATATAAGTAGGCATTTTTTAACGGGTTCTATCCAATAAAAAGTTCAAAGATTATATTTATTCATACTAAATTGTCAAAAAGTATATAGAATTATAAAACAAAGTACGTTGATATACGAAGACACGAGTTATTTGTTCGCATTTTGACTGTCAATCCGCTAAGCATTCTGTTCGCATTTATACAACATTTTGGGCGTGTAATGTCCAGTGAGAAACCAAACAAAAAATATATAAACAATTTCTCAAAAAGTCAAATATTCAGTAGATTTCGGCAAAATATGATGGATTTCAGGTATGTTAATAATATTTTTATCACACCATCGGTGGGATATAGTCGTCATACTGGTCGTGATCGTGGTCGTGATCGTCCCGCTTTTTGTCATCGCCGTTTAAGGAAAACTGCTCATCAGATTTTCTCCAAATTCGCAGAGATGATAGAGCATATGAAGTACTAGAGCTGATTAACTTTAATTTTGAAGGTTTTTCGAAAAATCTTGTCATCGCCGTTTCAGGAAAACTGCTCATTGGATTTCCTTCAAATTTACACAAATGATAGAGGATATCAAGTACTAGAGCTGATTAACTTTTGGGCGGCAATCTTGTTTTCTGGCAGCCATTTTGAAGATTTTTCGAAAAATCTTGTCATCGCCATTTCAGAAAATCCGCTCATCGGATTTCCTTCAAATTTACAACACATGATAGAGGATATCAAGTACTAGAGCTGATTAACTTTTGGGCGGCCATCTTGTTTTCTGGTGGCCATTTTGAAGGTTTTTCGAAAAATCTTGTCATCGCCATTTCAGGAAAACCGCTCATCGGATTTCTTTCAAATTTACACAAATGATAGAGGATATCAAGTACTAGAGCTGATTAACTTTTGGGCGGCCATCTTGTTTTCTGGCAGCCATTTTGAAGATTTTTCAAAAAATCTTGTCCTCGCCATTTCAGAAAATCCGCTCATCGGATTTCCTTCAAATTTACACACATGATAGAGGATATCAAGTACTTAAGAGGTGATTAACTTTTGGGTGGCCATCTTGTTTTCTGGTGGCCATTTTGAAGGTTTTTCGAAAAATCTTGTCATCGCCATTTCAGGAAAACCGCTCATCTGATTTCCTTCAAATTTACACAAATGATAGAGGATATCAAGTACTAGAGCTGATTAACTTTTGGGCGGCCATCTTGTTTTCTTGTTCTTGAAATTTGTAAACATAATAGGAGAACAGTTTTCCTGGTTCATAGTGTCTGCCTATTTGATGGTGTGATCTCGTTCACGTCCTGTGCCTTGTTTGTGTATCGATTTTTGAGTCTTTGTGTCTTCGAAAGCTGTGTAAAAGTGTATAGCAGGCAAGTTGTGGACTTAATGCCATTTTTTGCTCACATGGGGAGCATTTGGAACTTCCTACTCATCCATCTCTGTCTGTCTGTCAACATTTTTGGACAAATATAATCTGTAATTATGGGGGTTCATACTGCTAATAACATATGGAGGTTCATACTGGTAATAACATAAGGGGGTTCATACTGGTAATAGCATGTGGGGTTCATACCAGTAATAACATAAGGGGGTTCATACTAGTAATAACTTATGGGGTTCATACTGGTAATAACATAAGGGGTTCATACTGGTAATAACATATGGGGGTTCATACTGGTAATAACATAAGGGGGTTCATACTGGTAATAACATAAGGGGTTTATACTGGTAATAACATAAGGGGGTTCATACTGGTAATAACATAACGGGGTTCATACTGGTAATAACATAAGGGGTTCATACTGGTAATAACATATGGGGGTTCATACTGGTAATAACATAAGGGGGTTCATACTGGTAATAACATAAGGGGTTCATACTGGTAATAGCATAAGGGAGTTCATACTGGTAATAACATATGGGGGTTCATACTGGTAATAACATAAGGGGGTTCATACTGGTAATAACATATGGGGGTTCATACTGGTAATAACATAAGGGGGTTCATACTGCTAATAACATATGGGGGTTCATACCGGTAATAACATATGGGGGGTCATACTGGTAATAACATATGGGGGGTCATACTGTTAATAACATATGGGGGTTCATACTGGTAATAACATAAGGGGGTTCATACTGGTAATAACATATGGGGGTTCATACTGGTAATAACATAAGGGGTTTCATACTGCTAATAACATATGGGGGTTCATACTTGTAATAACATATGGGGGTTCATACTGCTAATAACATATGGGGGTTTATACTGCTAATAACATATGGGGGTTCATACTGGTAATAACAAAAGGGGGTTCATACTGGTAATAACATATGGGGGTTCATACTGGTAATAACATAAGAGGGTTCATACTGGTAATAACATAAGGACAGGTAATAACATAAGGGGGTTCATACTGGTAATAACATATGGGGGTTCATACTGGTAATAACATAAGAGGGTTCATACTGGTAATAACATAAGGACAGGTAATAACATAAGGGGGTTCATACTTGTATTAACATATGGAGGTTCATGCTGATAATAATATAGGGGGGTTCATACTGGTAATAACATATGGGGGTTCATACTGGTAATAACATAAGAGGGTTCATACTGGTAATAACATAAGGACAGGTAATAACATAAGGGGTTCATACTGGTAATAACATATGGGGGTTCATACTGCTAATAACATAAGGGGGTTCATACTGCTAATAACATAAGGGGGTTCATACTGGTAATAACATAAGGGGGTTCATACTGCTAATAACATAAGGGGGTTCATACTGCTAATAACATAAGGGGGTTCATACTGCTAATAACATAAGGGGGTTCATACTGGTAATAACATATGGGGGTTCATACTGGTAATAACATAAGGGGGTTCATACTGGTAATAACATAAGGGGGTTCATACTGGTAATAACATATGGGGGTTCATACTGCTAATAACATAAGGGGGTTCATACTGCTAATAACATAAGGGGGTTCATACTGCTAATAACATATGGGGGTTCATACTGGTAATAACATAAGGGGGTTCATACTGGTAATAACATAAGGGGGTTCATACTGGTAATAACATAAGGGGGTTCATACTGGTAATAACATAAGGGGGTTCATACTGGTAATAACATATGGGGGTTCATACTGCTAATAACATAAGGGGGTTCATACTGCTAATAACATAAGGGGGTTCATACTGCTAATAACATAAGGGGGTTCATACTGCTAATAACATATGGGGGTTCATACTAGTAATAACATAAGGGGTTCATACTAGTAATAACATAAGAGGGGTCATACTGGTAATAACAGAAGAGGGTTCATACTGCTAATAACATATGGGGGTTCATACTAGTAATAACATAAGGGGTTCATACTAGTAATAACATAAGAGGGTTCATACTGGTAATAACATAAGGGAGTTCATACTGCTAATAACATATGGGGGTTCATACTGGTAATAACATAAGGGGGTTCATACTGGTAATAACATAAGGGGGTTCATACTGGTAATAACATATGGGGGTTCATACTGCTAATAACACAAGGCGGTTCATACTGGTAATAACATAAGGGGGTTCATACTGGTAATAACATATGGGGGTTCATACTGCTAATAACACAAGGCGGTTCATACTGGTAATAACATAAGGGGGTTCATACTGGTAATAACATATGGGGGTTCATACTGGTAATAACATAAGGGGGTTCATACTGGTAATAACATAAGGGGGTTCATACTGGTAATAACATATGGGGGTTCATACTGCTAATAACATATGGGGGTTCATACTGGTAATAACATAAGGGGGTTCATACTGGTAATAACATATGGGGGTTCATACTGGTAATAACATAAGGGGGTTCATACTGCTAATAACATAAGGGGGTTCATACTGCTAATAACACAAGGCGGTTCATACTGCTAATAACATAAGGGGGTTCATACTGGTAATAACATAAGGGGGTTCATACTGGTAATAACATATGGGGGTTCATACTGGTAATAACATAAGGGGGTTCATACTGGTAATAACATAAGGGGGTTCATACTGGTAATAACATATGGGGGTTCATACTGCTAATAACATATGGGGGTTCATACTGGTAATAACATAAGGGGGTTCATACTGGTAATAACATATGGTGGTTCATACTGGTAATAACAATAGGGGGTTCATACTGCTAATAACATATGAGGTGTTAATGTGGGGATTCTGGAACTAGATTGATTAGTTATTAGGTTCATGAGTTTAACCAGGATCTGGGAAGAGGTTAGGGAAATTTAAAAAGGCTACAATGCATGTAATGCTATTAACATTTTGTTTTAGGTTTGACTGGTTTGAGAAGTTTCATCTGAAATGGTATGCTGTGCCTTGTATAAGTAACATGCAGTTAGACCTAGGTGGTGTCATTTATCCATGTATTCCTTTCAATGGTTGGTATGTCAACACTGAGATTGCATCTAGGACCTTGGCAGATCCTAATAGATATAACATGCTGGAGGTAAGGTTTTAGTGATGTGATACATCTTCCTGCTCCACACCACCCAAATTTGCCTTTAATGTTCATATATTACATTAGAGTGCATCATATTCTATTGTCTCTATCATTAGTTGTAAAGTTTGACTATATACAGGGTGGTTAAAAAAATGGGACACACAGATTTCAAAAATAAATATTGATTTTATTTATAAAAACATGTCATATTATATATACCAGTGGATGGGGAATTTACTTATCTTTGATTTGGTATTTCAAATTTATTATAATGTCTTTCAACCAGCGTCCATAATATAAATGACGTCATTTTCATTCCAAAACGGGTTTTCCAAAACCAAGTTTTATCGTCAACTTTATTTATATAAACAGACGTTCAAAATGTCTACCATTTTGATCAATTATAGCCCTCAATTTTGGCCTAGACTGGTCAATAGCACCATTGATATGCTGTTGAGACAATGAATTTCACATATCAATAACTCAATAAGGGAATGAATAGATGTAAAGGATTTATGATACACCAATTCTGTTAGGTCTCCCCTTTCGTGGTAGTCGCAGACGTTGGGTGATCAGGTGATCTGGGGTAGGCAGTGATTAAAGGGGGATGAATCTAGGCACATTTTCCTTTAAAAACTTGACAGTCTTGTGGAATCTATGGCTTGGAGCGTCTGCTCACCACTAGAGCAGACTAGAGCGTCACCACCACTAAAACTGATGAATGTTAAAGTTTAAGGGAACTTTGTAATACCCTACCATGTTATTTCGCCAGAATTAGCCACCTGGTGGCGAAACTGGTAATGTACCTACTCCCATCTGAGTAATTGGCCATTGGCATTCTAACAAATCTTTGAAATCTTGGCCATATTGAAATTAGTCGGAAACAATCCTACTGTCTTCTAAGAAAAGAACTGATAAAATGCCAACATGTATCTCTCTTTGATTTTCTCTCTATTTGTAGAAAACAGCTGTGCGTATGGGCTTAGATACAAAAATGTTGATATCATTATGGAAGGACAAGGCATTGGTAGAGTTGAATAGAGCTGTATTGTACAGTTACAAGGTACACTTTCATTGTGATTTTTTAGAATAGCTGTCCATCTGTCTGTTAATCCATCCCTCTGTCGGGCAATAAATCAAATACCTGTTGACAGATTGTTTTCAAATTTTATAGGCCAATGTCTCATGGGGATAGGACTTCAGATTTTTCAAGATTGCAGCTTGATTCAAAATGGCCACCATTTTTCATAAAAAAGTAATGTTTGTAACTCAAAACAGGATTTTGGCTGGTACGGGATCTGATACAGGATATTTTGAATACCTATTATTTCCCCTATTTTCCAGGATAAATATGTTATTATGGAATAAAAGTATAATCAAATATAAATTGTTGGCAGGCCACATCATGGGTGTAGATCCAAAATACTACCCCAAGTACTACTTCGTGATTATTTCTATCATGTAATGTCCAAAATGAGTGGGGATTTGATAAAATATGTTTTGCATGGTGGGATTTCACCACAGTTGCTGTTATCTAGTTGATATTTACATATTGTATATGGCTAAGGGCTGTAGCAATAAATCGGCATCTAGTAAATAAAATCTTATACAGCTAGCAGCAAGCCTTTTAACAAGGGCAAAGAAACCTTTATTACATACTCAATTGACATATAAAGTATACACAAAGACCTAGTAATGTATTCACTATGACATACATCTCCTCAAATAAACCTAGTTAACAAGGGGTTTAACCCACATCAGACCAGCATTGACATTGATTTCGTTTTTTTTTCACTTTGTATTGATTGTCCACTGAAGTAAGTGCCACAGTTGTTACAGCTTTAACTGCATATTGCAGAAAGAAAACGAAGTTTTACAACTGAATAAAGTGAACAGGTGTGTAGTGAGTACTCTAAATTGTATAGAATGTCATTATATCAACAATATTCAGTGTTGAGAAAGAATATTTGTCCAATTCATGACATATTAGTAGACATTTCATCCAGGGGATAGTGTGAATTTATTTATCATCCCATCGAGCGAAGTTCATAAGGATAAAGAGAAGCTGTCTGTCAATCAGTCTGTCCCTTCATCTGTCCATCTGTCCTTAAATACAATTTATTGACCCAAATTATTATTCAAGTTACAGCATGGGTATAGATTTTGCCAAAAGAAGACAATACCATTTCCTGGTTATTTCCATTATTGCTCCAAATGTGTAATGGAAGGGCAGCATAGAAATTAAAATATAGATAACTGCAAAAGTAATTAAGGCACTCTTAAGGCTCACATGGGAAAGCTATTATAATCATCCACTATTGTAATCCCCTTATCTGACCTGTCTGTCCATTAAATATTAATATGGGCAAAACCCATAATTAATAGCATACTGGATATGACAATGGACACAAAAAGATCATTGATCTATCATATAGTAAAATGTTAGTCAGGATTGATCTTTGTGTGAAGCTTGTATGGTTCTGCTACTCTTACCCGCTTTTATGAGGCAGTATATTTATATAATACAAGACGACCATCCTCAAATAACTTCACTTCCACAGAAACCCCCACTCCATTTGAGCTCAGTACCCATGGTACCATTTATGTTCTACTTATAGCAGGCTGGAGTTACGATGGTGGACCACCACACAGTGAGCAACAGTTTCATGCACCACCTAGCTATTGAGCAGCGTACTAGAGGGGGTTGTCCAGCAGACTGGGTGTGGGTGTGCCCTGATCTTTCTCCCACTGTGTCCCCTCTCTATCACCAAGAAATGCTTAATTATCACATACTCCCAAGTTATGAATATCAGGTAAATGCATTTATATTTCTTCAAAATGCTTTTGTGTGAAAGTTATGCTAAAAGTATTGGGGATTTTCTTGTTGTTTGTCCAACTAGAAAATCAATACTGAAACAAATTAATTAATTTAACAAGTTAATTATTTAATTTGATTTATTTATTTAACAAGCTTATTTTTGTTGCTTCAGGACATATCTCACAATATGAATTTAGACCATGTTTTGTATTGTTCATATTCATCAAAGCTAGAAAATTTTCACAAAAATGTAAATTGGTGAATTTTCACCAAATTAGCCAAAATAATGCAGGAGCCAATTTGTGTTATTTATGTGTTTTAGAAATTGATGATTTGTACCAGTAGTTTGAATAAATCTCATGTAACATTGAAATCCAGATATGAATGTTCATTACACTAAGATATGAAATGCATTAAAATTAAATCAATTCATGTATTTTTTATTGATTTTATTTAAGTTAAGTCCATGGTACACCCACAAGTGGCAGGATACAAATATGTGCAAGAAGTTCCGGCAATATGTCAGGGCTAAAACCTACAAGCTACGCCACGTCGGATAGTAAATATATATTCATCATAGTATCTGCATGAAGTTTTAATTTACACAGAAGTACAAATTTCATTTTTTGTATAACTGATAGTGACCCTTGTTTATCCATTCACCATAAGACCACTTGAACATATTTGGTGCAACTTGCTTTGCAGCATAATGATATTCATTAACTGACAATCACAATAACATATTTGGTGCAACTTGCTTTGCAGCATAATGATATTCATTAACTGACAATCCCAATAACACATTTGGCGCAACTTGCTTTGCAGCATGAGGATATTCATTAACTGACAATCACAATAACATATTTGGTGCAACTTGCTTTGCAGCATAATGATATTCATTAACTGACAATCACAATAACACATTTGGTGCAACTTGCTTTGCAGCATAATGATATTCATTAACTGACAATCACAATAACACATTTGGTGCAACTTGCTTTGCAGCATAATGATATTCATTTCTTCACTGCTGAGAAAGATGATGTTGAAGAGACCGGAAGTGACAATACTTTACGCAACAGAGTCTGGAAAGTCTGAAAGATATGCAAAGAGAATAAGCCAAGTCTTCAATAGGGGATTCAAATCAACTGTAAGTTTTTATTATCAGATAAACAAGTACACATACACAAACATAACTCATTTTCTTGTTTGCTCATTTCCAGGCAGACTGTATGATTGGATGATTTGAAATTTTCAGGAATGTTTCTTGGAATGAACTTAGTCCTAATTTTTAGGCATAATGGGTGAATTAAAAAACAATCATTTTTATTAACAACTTGTTATAATGTTGTTTGTGCTTTCTGGTGTAGGTTACATGCATGTCAGACATGCTGGCTGATGACCTGATTACAACAAAACTTGTTGTCGTAGTAACCAGCACATTTGGCAATGGAGGAGCTCCCAGTAATGGAAAACGATTTGTACACAGACTCAAGAAACTTGTTAAGTCGAGCAGTGGAAGCTTTCTGAAGGGCACCAGGTAAGAATTTGTGTAAATTTGCAAAAAGCAAATGGCAAATATATATGAATGAAATGAATGAATATGTTTTTTATGTCACCACCAGAAGGGGTGGCGTATTGTTCTAGTCTCCAACTTATGGCTGGTGTTTGGCATCTGTAACAGCATTTGGCTGTTGGTGTCTGTAACAAAAAGTGAGGTGGTGATATTTTGCATGTTAACACCTTGTATTCTCTTTTCATTTACAAGAGGTCCATATTTATAACTCAGCCTAAAGATAGCTCCCAAGCATGACGCTGGATAAGGTTTCGCTGTATAATTTTTTGTTTGTATATTATACTGATTAATGATATCATGATGTAAATAAAGCCGTGGGCATATATGTGGTTTATCAATTTTTGGGGCAAGACTTTTGAAAGACCTCAGATATGAATTGATGAGTGTATGATTACTTTTCTACATCACTCAACTGCTTCTGCATTTTTGTTGAATATTTAAATATGAAACCTATTTATTATTTTCTTCAGATTTAGCGTATTTGCCCTTGGATCAAGTGCTTACCCTAATTTCTGTGCATTTGGTAAGCTCATATACCAGCTGCTGGGAAACCTGGGGGGTGAGGCACTTGCTGCCTGTGGGGAAGGAGATGAGCTGCAGGGGGAGATTGATTCATACCAGGCTTGGGCTCAGCAGACATACAAGGTAGATGCTCTTGAGATAGCTGTAAGCCAGCTACAATGCATGCACTTTCTCATATCTGACGAATTGAGCCTCAGGTTTCTTTTTCTCATAAAATACAGCCATCTTTCATCATTAAAAGAAGTCACAATTGCAAGATGAAAATGATGTCACAAAATGGTCGATGACAACAGAAACATTCATTGCTTATACATGTATTATTTGTTGTTTGAGTCTAGATATTCTGCTATGTCGCCATAAATGAAAGGTAACATGCATGTACAAGTACTGTACATGTAGATGTGATTTTATGTTTCTTTGAGTTACACAGGAACTGAATGCTTTACTTAAAAGACTTCACAGGAGAAACATGCATATGTGACCAATTCTGGGCACAATTTTCAAATTGAAACATTGATCCTATAAATGTTATCTTTACTATAGGCAGCTTGTGAGGCCTGTAGCATTGAGTGTTTATCAGAGGACCCTAACAACAACACTGTGAACATGTATCCTATAAATGTTGTCTTTACTATAGGCAGCTTGTGAGGCCTGTAGCATTGAGTGTTTATCAGAGGACCCTAACAACAACACTGTGAACATGTATCCTATAAATGTTATCTTTACTACAGGCAGCTTGTGAGGCCTGTAGCATTGAGTGTTTATCAGAGGACCCTAACAACAACAACACTGGACATGTATCCTATAAATGTTATCTTTACTATAGGCAGCTTGTGAGGCCTGTAGCATTGAGTGTTTATCAGAGGACCCTAACAACAACACTGTGAACATGTATCCTATAAATGTTATCTTTACTATAGGCAGCTTGTGAGGCCTGTAGCATTGAGTGTTTATCAGAGGACCCTAACAACAACAACACTGTGAACATGTATCCTATAAATGTTATCTTTACTACAGGCAGCTTGTGAGGCCTGTAGCATTGAGTGTTTATCAGAGGACCCTAACAACAACAACACTGTGAACATGTATCCTGCCAACAACTGGGCTCCTGGCATGTTCATTCTTGTCAAAGCTGAGAAGGAGGTGGATTTACTTGATGGTAATCTATAAGTTGCTGATTCTTTGCATTGTTAAGTATAGCACATAGCCCTTATAAATCAGGGTCACTTTGGAGTATGGTTTGGCATCAAGTGCATCATAAGTTCATGTTCTTTCCTAAAGTTTTCATTTTAATCCCATTGAAGTTTTCTGATACGTTCCCTTCTAATTGTCCATATCTGTAGTCAGTCAGTCTCATGTAGTTTCTGCCCTCATTACCATCTTACTACCCACCTACATGTACTCTGTATATTCCAGTCCCCTTTGCTCGTCAACTTTGTCTATTAAATCTTTAAATTAGAATTGATTCATGATCGGTGATTTACCCTGTACCCTACATGTATATCACATCCAAATCAGTAGTTGTTTTGAAATAGCATTAAAACAGCTTTACTTGACCTCCAACAATAATAGGTGTGTCAAATGAAACGTGTATGAACGTGGTCTCTAATATTACATATATTCACTATAGGTCTGTCACGTGCTCACCATCGCCATGTACAGTTTGTAACAATGCTCTCTTCAACTCCCCTACACACTAGAATAGGGTAAGAGACACTTTTAAGGTAATCATCAAGGATCCTTACTTTAGGCTAGAAACCTCAACATTAATGTCCTGTTTTCTAAGACAATACAATTAAATAAAACTTTGAAGAAAAGCATTCAACATACATATGCAGATGGGCACAAAAACCCTAAAAAGTGTTGATTATGCACAACCTTATAAGCTTTAATAAGCATATCCCTAATAACTGAGTGAAATCTACAACAAGATCAGCAAATATGGTTGTATTTTTGCATATTGTACTGTAAATTGCCATTGAATTCTTATCTGTTCTACTTAAGGAAACCTGCCTTCAAGATGGTATTTAAGCCAAATGTAGAGTCCAGTATGAGTTACCATCCAGGGGATCATATATGTATTTACCCACGCAATAGTGAGGATGTGGTTGACAAGATCATAGCTAGAGTGGCCAACACTGGGATTAACTACTGGACACAACCAGTGCAGGTTCTCTATAATGATGACTTCAGTAAGAAAGCTTACATGCAATGTTTATTTCCCTGAAAGGACTGCAAGTTGTTTGTAGAATGAATCGAGGGAGTTTTTTCATGCATTTTGCTTATATGTTTTTCATCTAAAAAACAACAATACACTGTAAAATATTTTATTGACTATAAGATTGCTCAATATAATCCCCCCAAAAAGTTCTCATTTTCAAGGATTATCTATGGATTAACACCCAGGTATTTTTATTAATCAAACTTCAGAGGGCTGGGAATCATTGTGCCAATGATTTCTCAAATTGTGTAAACTGCACCAATTCTTTAATCCCTAGAATATTCTCTTGGAGGAATTTCCCATGTTAATCCAATGGTTTGGTTCCAAGCAGATTTTGAGATAAAGGGAAGGTTAAACTTTAATATACACCTTATTGGGTTGCGATATAAATGAAAGCAATTGGAAATAAATAAAGAATTGGTGCAGTTTACACAATTTGAGAAATTGGCACACATGAAACCTATTTAAAACAGCATTTATATTATTCAAAAGCGTCGTCCCCTAATTCATTCTACAAACAACTCGCGTCCCTTTACATCCACACGCACCTTATTTTCTAGTCTTGGGGGTTGTATAATCTTACCTTGAATCGGAGAATTATTTTTCGTATATTATAGGTGCACATGAGGCTTTACCTCCTTGCTCTTTGAAGACTGCCCTGCTGCAGTATTTAGATATCACTAACCCCATGAGCCCTGAGACCCTGGCACTCTTGGGGATGCAGACAGTCTCCCTGGGGGAGAGATCAAGGCTAGACATACTAGGGAGGGTAAGGGAACATACTACTTAAAAAGAAATCTTATTGTAATAATCTTATAGATCATTGGTGATAATAATAGGTAAAGGTATTAATATTTAGAATAAAATGTAATGTAATTGCAATTTGCAATGGGATTAGTAACAAGTATTCCATACCAGTGATGAGGTTTCAGGGCCATATCAACCGGGAATATATTCAATATCTGGGCAAATATTTTTCGTATGTCCCGCTCCAACAAAGATCAGGGACATATAAATCGTATGTCCTGCATACGCTGTTCTCCAGGACATATGTATATGTCCCTCCTTGGGAATTCACGTCATAACTATTTCAGCATTGAACTAAACAAAAGACAGAGGTGCCAAATGAACAGAGTGAACAAAATTTAAAACAATTAATTGAATGAATTCTTATTAACATAGAAAATGAACACACCGCAAAGAAACTCGTTTAGATGTTCAAGTAATTAAGAACTCTGGCCGGTTGACGACCTGCTTATTATTTCAAATCTCATTAGGTATGGAATACAACAGCTATGCATGGTCGGTTTTGATACAGGAAATATCCCTTGGGATATACAATTTATCTTCCCTTGGTCCCTTCAGGTCCTCGGGAAGATATATTATATATCCCTCGGGATATTTCCTGTATCCAAAAGCTCCCAGTGCATAACCCCTATGTACTTGACTGCGTACTCCCTTAAATATACAACAGAACTTACAGTACTTCAGATAGTCTCACCCATACAAAACAAAATTAGTTTTCAATGTATGGTTTGTTGTCCCCAATAGGGAGAAGAGGACTATGTAGAATGGCGAATGAAGGAGGCCCCAACCCTCCTTGAAGTGTTGGAGAGTTTCCCAGGTAATAATGAGCATTTACTAGAAAATGTATTATCTCTAGATATCTATTGTTAGTTAAAAATCTCTGGAGATGTGAAATTTTTCATACTTACATCAACTAAATTAAAACTGGTCTAAGTGGAGCACCTTTGGTTGGAACTTCTGAATAGTCTTCTACTTGGGTGTGTTCCACAAGAGAGGTTCATTCGTCATATTAAGTCAGTTGGTCTGAGAAGCGTTCCACTAACAGAGTGCTCTACTTTTCGGGTATCTCTGTGAGTGGTAAAAGAATTTTGAGATGAGCAAGTAAAATAAGCAAGAAAATGTATGATGATAAGTTCATTAAATTGTGTGTGATTTAAACAAATTGTCTTTGTTTTTTGCAGGTATCCATCTTGACCCTAGCTTCCTCCTAACCCAGTTACCTCTCCTGAAACCACGCTTTTACTCCATCAGTAGTTCCCCATCAATGCACCCAGGGCAGATACACATCACATTTAATCTTGTGTCATTTAGGAAACTCGGTAAGTTGTAGGGTATCTTGAGCTCAGGGCACATTTTGGAGCATTAAATTTTATTTGAAATGCATACACAATTTTTTTATGATATTATTATATAAATGTTATATCAAAATTGCAGGTTGAAAAATTGTGATGTTAAAATGGGTGCAAAAGATTTGCTGGAATTTATAATATTTTTATCATTGAATTAGCGCATTCATTTTACTGAGTTCAGGAGTACTTGATGATTAAACTGTCCTAATATCTTCAGTATTCAAATCTTTCATAATTCACTAATTACAGGATCAAAGAGTCTGATTCAGAAAGGAGTCTGTTCCTCATGGCTTGAAGATCTTCCTGTGAATCACCATGTTCCAGCCTTCATAAAGGAGTAAGTACAAATAGTGTATCTTTGTAAATATGCTCTTCGTAAAGTTTAAAATTAACATGAATACATTCAAACTTCTTGTATAATGTGATAGGAATTAAATGAGACTACTGTAGAATAAGGCACATGAATGTATTTCCCATAATCTCTCTAAGAGATTGTATGCCTTCCAGAGCACCTTGGTTCCACCTGCCCTACACCTCATCTGTTCCTGTCATCATGATAGGCACAGGTACAGGAATAGCTCCCTTTAGGAGCTTCTGGCAGCAGAGGGCATATGATCTAGAGAGAAATGTTCGTAAGTAGAGCCATTCATCTATTCTTCCAATACATGCATGGTCATAAGTCATATCATAATAAACTAAACTCAGGCCACAACACCTGAACCTCGAGCCTTTACTCTGCTGCTCGTTTTGTCTGATACATAAGTTTCTATTTTACATAAATTTCTATTTTAGAATTATTTTTGCAACAACTTGACAAGGATGATTGGCAAACTATCTTATAAGCAAATTTAAGTCTCTCAGACTAGGTCATCTTCAGGAGGAAGTCCTTGTTAATGTTATAGTAAAAACCTTTCGGAAAAATTTGTATTGGCAAATGACATTTTAACATTTGTTTTTCCAGTTTCCCCAAACAGTTCTCTATCTAGTGACCAAAGTTCTCCCTGGACTGTTAACCTCCCTGAAATAGGAGACAAACCAGAGTCCCCAGAGATCACTTCACATCAAACTCAAGACATTGCTAATGATACTCAAGATAATCTTGACAAACCACAAGAAGGAAGACAGAGATCCAAGAGTGCACCTGGCCTTTCAACTCCACAAGCACCTCCCCCACTTAGTGGTACATCTGGAAGTAAAGTAACATTTAAATCTCCACCATCAATACCAATTTCAAGTCCTCCCAGACTAGAACCCCTGTATCACCCTGAAGATAGTAACTTACTTCTTGACCGCCCAATGCCCCACTTCCAGAAAGCACACCAAAAGGCCATGTCACCACAGAAGCATCCTGGGACTCCTACATGCAAGAGGTCAAAGATGTTCCTTGTGTATGGATGTAGGGGTTTGGATCAGGACAATCTCTACCATGAAGAGGTGGCTGAGATGTTGGAGAAAGAGGTGTTTTCCCAAGTCATGTATGCCTACTCTAGGGAGAAGGACAGTGCTCAGGTTTGTATTAGTGTTTGCTATTCACTCTGGACGTTATTCATATATCATAATAGCATTTTCTATTTCTTGTACATAGCCAAACTAAATGCATCTTACTTCCACTTCCATCAAGACCTCTCCTTCATCAATATCTCTCCTGTATCTTGTCTCCTCTTCTTCATGAATTCTGACATTTCCATACCCTACATATTCAATAACTTCTCTTTGATCAAATTAAAATGTCTGTCTCTTTCTTACATGAAAGGGAATCTTCCCTCTCCTTTACCAGAACCTCTCCTTCATCAGTACCTCTAGAACATATTACATTTATCTCTCCTTCATCAATGTCTCTCATTAATCTGCCCTGCAGATCGAGAAGGGCATATACCATTTTTCAACATAATTTTATAATCTACTTTGAATAGATCATATATCCACTTATTCATTGCAGAAATATGTACAGCATGCTTTGTGTGAGAAAGGCTATTTCTTCTACCAGAAGATAACAGAAGAGAGGGGCCATGTGTATGTGTGTGGTAGTGCCCAAGTGGGGCATGATGTCATGGAGACAATAAAATACATACTGAAGCAGTGTGGGAAGATGGATGATGCTCAGGCCAAGGAATATATTGACACAATGCGAGTAAGTTTACCTGAACATCTGAGGGGGAACAATTTCCAGAAGTTATTAATAAAGGAGTTACATCTATTGATATAAATAAATAAAAAATAAAGGAGTTAAGTCTTATGTAAAAATCGCATATTCCATTGTATTTCAGTTCCATAAATGTATCCTCTTGAAATTCGGTTGAATTTTCAGGTGATTATGACACATTTATCTTAAACCATGTCATTTGAACAACTCAAAATGTTACGATGCCAATCAGTTTTTGAGTTAATTCTTATTTGATCCAACTGGCATGAACTCAAGGTGGGCATTGCATAAAATGCTCCAAGTTAATTACAAATGAAGTTCTCTGCTTACCTGAAGTTTAAAAACCAATACTGTATGTGTATGTTTATATTCTAGGAGACTGGACGGTACCATGAGGATGTATTTGGTATAGTGACAATGGACAGTATTGTGGAGCATAGGATTAGGAAAGCTAGTGATGCTTGTACTTTACGCAGAAAAAGGTAAACAGTACACAGTACAAGACATTCTAGTATAGTAGTGTGTAGTGGTTGTAAATAGTTCTTGAGAATCCAATAAAGTATAATGCTTATGAATTAGATAGGGCCTCAATATTCATAGATCACTTTTGTCCTTATCTTAATTATCCCATCGAACGAAGTTCGGAGGGATATAGGGAACGCCTCCATCTGTCCGTACGTACGTAGTACGTCTGTCCGGGCAATAACTCAAATACCGTTGGCCTGATTTTGTTCATATTTTGTATACATATACCCTATGGGGGTAGAGGTTCTGCTCAAAAGGAGATCATCAAAATGGCCGCTCATTTAAAAATGGTGGTCATTTAAGTGCCGATTTTACAGTATTTTAGGTGCAATATGTAAAACTGTAATAGCAATATGTTTTGAATGTAAAAAAATTATATAGAACATTAATAAAGCTAGAAATGTAGATATTAAAGAAGCACATGGCAGCCATCTTGAAAAAGTAGTGGAGCAATTTTGTTCATATTTGGTATGTGAATACTACAAGCATGGCACACTGTCTAATGACACTTTTGGTAGAAGGCAGCTATTTTGAAAAATGGCCACCATTTTAATGTATTTTACTATAACAGGAAAAGTGGTGGAGCGATTTTGTTCTTATTTGGTATGTGAATACTATAAGCATGGCACACTGTCTAAAGACACTTTTGGTAGAGAGTGGCCATTTTAAAAAATGGCTGCTATTTTTGCTATATACTTTGTTTTATTTGTAAAAATACCAGCCATGGCTGTTCGATGGGATTTGCTACGCTTTGCCATTGCTGTTGTCTAGTTACAATATGTGTACAATGTTTTTTAATATTCTGCAAAAAAGAATTGAAATCATATTAGGCCTACCTAAATTCTATTTTATTTCAGATCTCGTGAAACCAGTTCAAAAATGGTCACAAGTCTCTAAGAATGTCCAACACTGTCACCATGGTTTCATGTGTCTCCAAGACAACTAATCTATGGTATCTGATGTTGTCTAATTGTTAAAAGTGTGGACAAATTTTTCCCAATGGTATCTGTGAACAATGAACTGAAATTACATGACTATGATTCTCCAACAATGACTACCTTTATCACAGTGTCTATATCACCATTTATAACAAGATTTTGTGGACAACTCACATCTAACTTTATTACCATAGATACACATCCATAACTAAGGACTACTATAACTGCCATCACAATTACACATCTCTATGGACAATGAATGTTATTACCATGGTTACAATTCTCTTAAGATAACGAACTTTATGTCTATGGTGATAAGTAAATAATCTTTCATCAAAGATTTAGTATTTAAATCTATTTTATTTGATCCAAAGGGACGTAAATGTGCCAGTAAATCATAGTGAGATTAGCAAAATATGCTTACTGTATTGGAATGAACAATATTTATAAACTAAATGCAGAGGATAGATACAAGGAAATTGGTAGGAGTGCACCAGATCAGTTGTTTGAAAATAATTATTAACTTTTTTGATAAAAATGATCTTGTTATTTTGATATATATGTATGATATAATATAAATAAAATATTCATATTTTGTGAGAAAAAGATATAGGAACAATAACATTTTCAATTTAGTATTGTTATCTTGTCTACACCTTTTGGTGAATGTTCAGAAATATATATTTCTAAAATAAAAAAAACAAAAACATTGTATTGTGATTTACTAAAACCAGAATGCCCAGACCCGTAAGTAAAGTATTAAAGCAGACCTAAAATGGCATTTTTAGTGACTTATATCAGCTTTGTAAAAGATGGCATGCTATAAAACCATGCATTGCCAATAGATGGCTCTCACATCAAACAATTTTTGCCAAGTGACAACTCAACATGGAGAAACGAATTTTTATTGCAGCATGAACAAGGAGTTTGACCCTTTGAATTGCTTTGGAAATATATGGTCACCTTAGTTGCAGGTAGCAGCATGTAATGCATAAACTATACGATGTGTAAAGCCCTTTTCTTGGCCCTTAAATCTCCACTTGGCCGTCTTTCCATTTATCAAAATCTGCCATTTGTTTGACCATATCCATTTTATGGCAGTCTATGCTGATTTATATAATTTTTTCGGACAAAGTTAATGGTCTGCTACAATGAGGTTATATTCGCATTTGTCATCAGACATTTCATCATGATTAAAAAGGAGGCCAGTCATTGTTTATTTAATTATATATTTAATATCTTTCTTTCAAATACACTTCTGTATTCTACATGTTTATTTTGTAATATCATTCTATCTCTGCCTGTGTATATTTCAAATGATTAAGAATATGGCAAAGTTATATACAACTTCATATTCATATTAATCATTTCAGAAAATGCTGACTATTTATGTCAAATTAATTTTCCTTTCAGAATATAAATATTAACTACTGTTCACAATCAAGTTTTCATAAAGATGCTATTGAAAGCAATTCTTGAATTATTTTCACACTAGATTAAGTATCTGACTATTTTGGTTACTTTATTGCACAGTTTTGTATACATGTGAGTAAAAAATAGTATACATGCTTTGCCAAATCAAGTTAAGCTAAGGGAGAGATCAGAATATCTCAAACCAGCAATTTGATTTGTCATTTACCCTGCAGAAAAAATCATTTAACAATTTTAGTTATAGTTACAATATTCATTATTATTGGCATAGTTGGATTCAGTTCAATAATTGTGAGCTGCATTCTTTAAAAATCATCATTTAACTCATTTTTCATTCATTTCCTTCTTTAACTTTGCCAGTCCAGCTAGTCTGGCATCCCTCCAAGCTCGCCTCTCATTAAGTTTATCCAATGGTATTCTGCTAGCAAGGTCATTGTGAACTATCTCTAGAGTTTCACCCTCCATACGAGGTGTTGGGCCGAAATCCTGAGCAACATTGAAGATTGTGTCTGCGTATCTCTCTGAGTAACTCTTCCAACCTGAACGGTATGATAAATATAAAATATCAGATCATTTTGAGTGATAACATTTTTATTATCTATGAGTTGATATCAAAAACCAATACAAGTGATTTGATTAGAGATATCCAGTTTATCTCTTCATTACAATCATATTGATATGTGTTTATACAAGTTTTCAACAGCTGTACAGTATTTTCTCAAAATATGTTGGCATTTTTGTTTACACTCTTATGTGCGTTATATGCGTCTGATAAATGATTCTAGAAAGATATCCCAGGGATCTCTATAATCTTAGAAGTATTGCTAGCTAGCTGTTAAAAGATAGATTGCACTCAAATTCTGGGATAAACTCAATGTTATCAATTCCTAAAAAAAATGGATGATGGAAGGGTTCGCCGTCCACCACTGTATTGTCATAGCCACATTGTTTTGGCGACATGTCTGTAATAACATAACAATGTTGTGTTCTGTTCGAAAAATGATCTAATCCAATTATGTTCTGCTGCTATATGTACTGTACACATACTATAAGATACCTATAGACAATAATATACTTTATAATGTATAATGTTTACCATCTGCATTGAGGTATGCTGTTTCCAAGGGTCCCATGAAGGCATATCTCATACCTAAGCCATCTGACATCACCTTATCAACATCTTCAACACTAATTGTCCCATCCTGAAATATAAAGGGATGGACCATTAATTGCCAATCAATTCAATTTTGGCACCATTCGTAAATTTTACAGAATTGTTACCATTCGTTTAAGTCGATGGACTATTGATGAGTTCATAAAATCCAACTGTCATGTAAATTAATGTTGAAAATAAAGAAATCGGTGCACATGCATAACCATTCGTATCTTTCCCTGATCTTAATATACCTGCACAAGGCGCCAACATTCATTCAACAGTGCATACTGTATACGATTTAACACAAATCCAAGAACTTCTTTCTTTAGCACCACTGGAGTTTGCCCTATCTCCTCCAAGAGGGATTTAGTATTAGATATCACTACACCATTTGTCCATGGTGCTGGAACTACTTCCACTAAAGGTGCATAGTATGGAGGGTTTGTCTAGAAATAATAAGAATTGTGAGACACTGAATGCTAAATACCTGGACAAGGCGCCATATTTCTGACATCATCCCCCATTGAAGGCGATTCAAGGCAAAGCCAAATTTTTCTTTGTTTAAGAGAACAACACTCTGGCCTATTTCTTCAAGTATTTCACGAGTATTTTTGGTGACATGTGGGTAAGTCCAGGGGGATGGCACTAGCTCAGTTAGAGGGCAGTAGAAGGGAGGGTTTGTCTGAGAAAAAATAAATTACATATGCGATAAATACTTCTTGATCAATACACAATTGCCCAAAATCGAATAATGAATTTTATTAAAGGACTGAAATAAATACACATCCATGTATAATCAAACTGAACATTTTCTTCAGATTCAATATCCTTTGCAATGTTGTATTGTGTGGAACTATATAATGTACTTACAGGGTGTGCCACAATACATTGAGCTCTATGTGTGAGGTGTTCAGTAAAGGATGATGCTGGCATAGTACTAGTAGAGCTACAAAGCACCATCTTGTCATCAGCCACGGCATCTAGCTGCTCAAACACCTTACGTTTCAGCTCAATTGACTCTGGTACACATTCCTATAATTCATGATTCAGAGAGTAAAGACCATGCAGGACTTAACTGCTATTAATATATTAAAATTTATGGCAATGTATTTAAATCTCCTCTCATTTTTAGCTCTTAATTAAAATTGTAAGGATAACATATAGCTGCTTTTATAAAGATTACTTATAAATATACTTTCTTTTTACTGTTGCTGCTTTTAAAAATCGGCTCTCATAATATGTAAGGTTACATTCAGTTGGATGACCAGTCAACTTACATCACCATTTTACATTATATCATGAGTCTCATAATCCTCATATAGAGCATCGTAAAATATTTTTACACTAAAGAGATTTGAAATGGAACTGTTGATTGTGATTGTCGTAATACCTGAACATGTTTTGCGATTGTTGTAATACCTGAACATGTTTTGCGATTGTTGTAATACCTGAACATGTTTTGCACCTGCAACGCACTCCTTGAAGTCTGTGCACCCTGTGATGAGCTTATGCTGCTCAACAGCAGATATCTTCCCCCTCAATAGACCACTCTCCTCGAGTTTCTTCAACTGCACTAGGATTTCCTTCAGGGCACTATCTATTTGTTCTGACAGGATGTCATAGATGCACACTTTATAGCCAACACTGGCAAAGAGCATAGCCCAACTGCGGCCAATCAGACCACTGCAAAAGGGAAATAAATCATCATATTGTTAATTTATATTTAGTCTAGGAATGAGCTGAATAAGGTAAGGAGAAGTAGCATTTGGTATTGTAAGCTTCATGTACCAATATTTCAAAATTTGGAGCATTTGGGGGAGGAACCATATGATACAAAACACTGTTTATTGAAAAAACATCCATTGAATACTTCTAATATTCTCATTTATGATAGAAAAGGTAAAATTGAACTATAAAACAAAAGTTAAACAAAATCTTAAGATCCCTTACCTTCCAATTATCGCAATCTTTTCGTCCCTTGACATTTTCTTGGTGCAGTCAGCTGCTTTCCAAAACAATAAGTGGTCACGAAAGGGGTGAAAGGTCAGGTCAAAGGTCGACTTCAAGACGAGGCTACGATATTTCCGGAAAGTTTTAATTCAGGTATTTTTGTCCATTTATAAGTTGGTATGTGCACTAAAATGACTAGATTTCAGTTTAAATTAGGCATATGACTTCATTCTACCATATTAATATTGTAGATATTTCATTTATAAAAGATTGAGGCTAAAAATTGAAAACAAAGTGTAATTCCGGTTCAAAATGAAAAAAAACAATTTCAGATTTGATGATTGATTTCTTTAGGTTGGAGACTTCAGAAGAGTTTCCTATAGATGACCATTATAACATTTTACCTTATATCTTATTAACAGTTAGTATCCAAGCCTAGTGCAACATACTAAAGTGTTCGGGGGAGACTACTAGCGGTTACCGTTGGTTATTTAGAGATGGCGGAGTGATTTTTGAGACTACATGTATGTAGAGCAGAATATTTTTCTGAAACAGGTAGCTTTACAGTGGTAGCTCTCTCCAGATTCAGTTATCTCAAAAATGGTGTGGTCACCGTATGCTTATTTTGTAACGGCAAGCTAGACAAGACTCCGATGAACACTGGGCACTGTTTCGCTGAGCTAGATCTGTGCCCATGAATATATTATGAAATGAAACGTTATAATGGTCGTCAATGGGATTTTTTACTGCAATCTTGACCCTATACAGAAAACCAAATCACTCAAATATCCTTGTTATTATTTTGATGGCATACTAATAGCGCCCCTGAAGACCCCTTAGAAAAATTGAAAAATATCCTTAAAATACCTGAAAAACATAATAAGGAAAAACACTTCAATTATGATAAACTAAACCTTATAATTTAGTAAAAAAATCACAAAAATAATACGATAGAATAGATTAGATACATGTAATCATGGGAAATATGTTAATATTCACTAGAACTTAAAATAGGCGAAAGCCTCTTGTCTGATCCATTTCGTCAAATTGTATTAATATAATGTAAAATATATAGACGAATAAAATATTTTTAATAATAATAATATTCACTAGGAAGAAGTGTATATAACTAGTTAAATAGCGCCCCTCCATTTATGAATTCACAATTTATGATAAAAAATAAATGATAGATAGTATTGAAGTTACAGGTTCCTAAACTTTCAAAAGTTGATCTCTCAGTTTCACAAAAATGTGAGTTGGGACATTTTTATTCTCATAGGGCGATGTATAGTCTCAAAAATCGGCTCAGTGGAGTGAGTTACTGTTTGTCAACATATCTAGCACTACTTTATATGGCAAATTAGGCAAGAGTAAATGTCCTGTGAAATTGGCGAATTTGACAGGAATGAGCCAAAATTAATGCCTTAACTGTCATCCCTTCTGACAAAACATAAGCCAGGTAGATATAAAATTGAAAAAACGAAGCTTACAGTCATTTGTTTTCTTACATGCCTAAGCATCTGCACCTCATGTGAGATGTACATCACTTTAGTGTTTAATTTGTTGATTTTATTTCAGGTGTATCAGGGGGTCCATGTAGATAGACTGAACTACTACATTCAATATTATCAATCACGTATGGAGTAAATAAGATTTATTCATCAATAAAATCAGAATTACATTGTAATGATAGATTTTGAACTACATCACATGTAACAGAATTCTGACAGTCAGTGAAATACATCTACAAAACGTGACTGTCACAGCTGTAAAATGGCGACCCCAGGTCCTGGAGGTAGTATGTTTAGGATGATGGATGAAAAGATGCCTAAACAGAAGAAACTAGATCTGAAGACAACACACACAGGAAATAAGCAGAAGCAAGGTATAGACTTATTTTTCATAATGGATCCTAAAACCTAAAACTCATTTTAAGGCAATCCTATGATTCAATTTCATTGTCACTGTGCTTTGAAGCTTCTCAGATACTTTTTATTCATATTTTAGAGATATACACAGATACATATGGTTTAATTTGGCATAACTTGAACAGAATATCTATTCATTTATGCTGTGCTCCGGTGTAAGATGAGTTGAGTTATCACTTTTATACATGGTTAAGGCCTGTTAAAAATTAGAAAACTCATATACCAGTAAATGTTTATGTTTTAGGTAAAATTTCTGAGACACCAACATCGGGAAGACCATGTCAAGAACATTCATTCCTCACAGATGTGGCAGATGTTCGCCAGATGGAGCAAGGACTTTTACAACTATTGGATGATTTTCATTCAGGCAAATTACAAGCATTTGGTGAGTTTATACAATTGATTATAATCTCTGTAGTATCTGAGCCCCAGTGATATTGTTATTATTATATACTTGGCAGCTTGGGTGTGTTTGGAATACAGTACAGAATAAATGGTTTGTTGATCCTATGTGCATTAGTATATGCATTAGTAAACAACATCTTTAAATTCTTGAGTGTGAGGGTAATGACTTTTAGAATAACATAGCGGGAGTAACTATTGTCATATTCAATCTAAGATGAAAAAATCATTTATTTCTTCATTCTAGGTTCAATTCAGTTGTTGATCAATGACAATTACGCAATACATGTCAGCATGTGTCTGGTTTACTTTTATTTTTTGGTATCATAGCAACTATAAGTTAGGATGTTACCGGATAAGACAAGATAATTTGAGTTATCCTTTATGTAATGTTGACTAATTGGCAACAATTTAATGCAAAAATTATTTTTATATATTTTATATATCTGTTTTTGTTAACATTTTTTGTTTTTAGTTTAATTGTTTTTTGTTCCTTTCTACCAATTTTTGAGAATGAAATAAAATGTGTTTATGTCGTTTTGTTCCAACGAGGTTCGGATAGATGTTTCATTTCATTCCGAACATATGATACCAAGAACAAAAGAAGTGTCTGATGTGTTTTCTAAAACAATATAGAGAAAAGGATGTATATTTCAAATTATAATGTTACCATCCAAAAGATTACCATTAAATCGACGATGTGTAAATAAAACTTTCAGAATGTTTTGATGACTGGTTTGAGAGAAACGCGTGTTCAAAAAGTTCACCATATCGATACCCCTAATTTCAACTTTAAATGTAAAGAGTATAATTTCAATATACTGTACACAGGGTCGCATATTTGTTAGCTTAAGTCACACAAACTCTGAGATGGATGGCATATTAAGGAGAAGCATAATAACATTGTATAATGAAGGCTCTTATACTTATAATTATTGATGTAGTTAAGTGACAAACACTTCAATACATTGAACTGAAGTATGCTACATGTAACATATTCATACAATATAGATAGTTAGAGATAATGTCATTTAGCACTTTTAATTCTCTTGTGAATTAAGTGTTCTCATGTTGAATTTTGAAATATTTTTCGCAATATTATTTCAATTTTGTTGGGCATGTTTTTAATCCCTCAACTCAACAAGTTATCGCTTTTGCCATTGCTATACATGCAATTGCAAAAGATTCTTGGAAAACAAAGTGATTTTTGATTTGTTTATCTTATCAGTTTAAAAGAAATAGAAAAGAGCGTAAAATGTTTGAACCAATACTCTCAAAATCCGTTCTCATTTTATTTGCAGAGAAAAATAATCCATACTAGTCCCTCATGTCCCTTTCATCTCTCCACGCATCAATTCACTTTTTAAAGTTGTGTGCTTCCATCATCTCATAGATCAATTTAAATATTGTTTGTTTTGCTAAAGGTGAGCATATTTGTTTATTTCATAGGTCAAGAATGTCCATTTGAGAAATTGGATGAGGTGAGGGAACAACAAGAAAGACTGGCGAGACTTCACTTTGAGGTAGACAGTCAACAAGATCTACAGGGGTATGTACGATAAGAACATGGGTTAACATGACTTGGGTTGAGTTGACCAGGAAGAAAGCTAGACATATGGGCTTTGATTAAGCATCTTGAGTACCTTTCTTGTTTTGTACAGTGTTTATACAGTCCCTTGCATGAGCCAAAACTCAATTAGGATTTTGTCAGCCTTGTAACTGTACTGCTTCATAAAAAAGATCACATTTGAGTACTTTTTCCAGTTTGTATGCAGCAATATACAAGCCTATCTCTAATTCTGTAGTACATGTTTAAGTATTAGATGCATGAGTGGATGTTGAGGCCTACAACTGTGACAGGGCGAAGATATTAGATATTTTCAAAGCTTTTTAACATAGAAATCTATGGCAGATTAAAAAATTGTGGCAAAAAGCATTCACATTTTCACATTGAGAGGTGTTCATAATAGAGAGGTGTTTAACTTAACTGTACATATTTTGATGTGAAATATGCTATGGTATAATTATGGCATAATTTTGAACGAGAATATCATTTGTACCACATGACACTAAAGAAATGACACATACCCACATAATGTTTCATAACATTTTTGTCTGAAGAAATTCTGACTTGTTTTTTCGCACATTAAACCTACACTCCATTTTGCAACTTCACAAGAAGTTTCAAATGACTTATGACTTATGAGCGTTACAAAATGTGTCATCTATTCCTTTGCTGGCACAACTGGATCTTACACAAAAAATTACACCCACCTCTTGTAACATAATTTGGGAAATTTTGTGTTTAATTGAATGGACTTCATTTCCCTGAATGTACAAACCAAAATCATTATTATTTACAAAGTTATGTTACAAAAGCTGGGTGGCATGTTTTGTGTAGAATACGGATCCACGCGTGTCTGCAAAGGAATGGACAACATTTAGAGCAAATGTTGTAACACCACAGTTGCCAACTCCCGATTTAAATCGGGAGATTCCTGTTTTTTTAAACCATCTCCTGCGCAATTTTGCCATCTCCTGATTTTCTAATTTTGTAATTTTTCATCATCTCCCGATTTTTCTCCCGATTTCCCCCGATTTCTACAAAAAACTTCGCATGTTTTAGGTAAAAATCCCCCGATTTTGTCTGTGTCCTCCCGTTTTTTCCTCCTTCCTCCCGATTTTTAACTTGAATCCGAGTACTCATCGATCGTCTCCAATATCTTACATATAAGTCAATTAACTCCAGCGACATCTAATCATGAAAAACAAAGTTAATCTAATATAAATGTCCAATCAACAACAAGGAAATTAGCGCACGCGCAACAATTTTAATCAGTAAGAGCGAATCCATCCTTTATTACGATCCTAGCGCATGCGTATTACGTAGATAATCTCCTGAGTGGAGGCGATAAGAATCTGCGCAAGTATGTCTGAGAAACAGGGTAAGAATAATTTTGTCTGTTTATGCACGATTGCGTAAGCCTACCAAGATTAAGCATGTATATACATTAAGAGAAATCATGTTAAATAAGTTTGAATGATTTTACCATTGAAGTTTGTCAAAGATTGAGATTTATCAGTCACATTTACGGTAAGCTTTTTGGTTTTTCCATCCTGGACCAAGGAGGATTGGCCCCAGGATGCAACATCGATACCGATACTCCCTATGTCGTGACTACAAAATTCGAATTCAAACTGCATTTTCATTTGAAAATAAGACCAAAATTAACGATACAAATGTTGAAGTGAATAAAATAGCGGCTGTTTGAATTCGAATTTTGCAATCATGACATCAAGAATATCGACAGAGTATCGATGTTGCATTCTGGGAGCCAATCCTCCTTGATCCTGGACCTAGACTCCTGCTTTTAAAGAAAATCTCCTGTTTTGACAGAAGATCTCCTGTTTTTTACTTGGTATCTTTACCAAGAGAAACTTCCTGTTTTATAAAGAAGTCTCCTGTTTTCTCCTGTTTTTAAAGAAAATATCCTGTTTTCTCTTGTTTTTAAGGAAAATATCCTGTTTTCTCCTGTTTTAAAAGAAAATACCCTGTTTTCTCCTGTTTTTAAAGATAATCTGTTTTTTCATGCTTTTAAAATAAATTGTTTTCTCCTGTTTTTAAAGAAAATCTCCTGTTTAGACTGAAAATCTCCTGTTTAGACTGAAAATCTCCTGTTTTCTCCTGTTTTTTAAAAGAAGTCTCCTGTTTTCTCCTGTTTTTTAAAGAAAAATCTCCTGTTTAGACTGAAAGTCTCTTGTTTTCTCCTGTTTTTAGATGGTAACTTGTTTTCTAATAGAAACCTCCTGTTTTCTCCTGTTTTTTAAAAGAAGTCTCCTGTTTTCTCCTGTTTTTCAGTAAAAGTCTCCTGTTTTTCTCCTGTTTTTTGCAACATATCTCCTGGATTCTCCTGTTTTTTAAAAAAAAAACTCCTGTTTTTTTTTCTCTGAGAGGTTGGCAGGTATGTAACACTCACAAAATTTGACCCACTTGAGCTACACATCTGAAATTTCCCGAGGTCCTTCCGCATTATGTCTACTTTAAATGTGCCAAGGGAGTCAAGTCTATATGTTAATGGACAAGCAAGTTATGCAACTTAAGGTGGGTGTCATCATTGTGTCACCCTGTATGATATTATTACTTTTAATGAATTTTGAATATTTGATGATAGAAATTAAACTCTTTCTACTCGCATCTACACTATTGGTACAACATGTTATTTATATAAAGATATCTTTACCTTATTTCAGCCTACAATCTCCAGAAGCCAGAAAGGCGGCTAACGAAAATATGACACAATTAATGGACAATGTAAGTGACATGCTTAATGTTGGACATATGTTACATATTCTGAGTTCACTTTTGAGCTGTCAAGCTTTTCAATTTCAGATTTTATGAAATTAATATTTGATTACTTTATGATTCTATGTTTTTTATGATCACCTGATTTTACCACAATAAGTACTGTAGTTCACTGTGTCATTTTGTATATGTTATCTTGTAGAACTGATTACATGCATTTCATATTATGTTTCTTTGTCATTTCCAGTTGCAGGAACTCTGCACTTCAATGTATCCTTTAAAAAGAATTTATTCTGTAAATGGGTTGTCAGTTTTGGGTAAAAAAGTGGAAACCTGGGTGTTGAAGTTCTTCTCCTATCTTTCCAATACATGTATAATGTTTTTCATCTCTTTCTAAGTTGGATTGCCATTTGAATCTATTATTGTCCACTGTTCCTTAACACATACAAAGACAAAGTCTACAAAAAAGTGGCATGGCAACGGACAGAGCAACAACACCATCCAAACCTAGCTGATGACAGGGTTCCCCCTCTGGTCATGTGTATGGATGTGGGAACAAATGTGATAAAGACAATGTATGTGGATAAATCTCATAATATGTTACGTCACAGTTGACCATTTAGTATTGGATGGGTCAATTATTTGCAGGATTCTTTTGAGTGTAGTCTAAAATGTTTCAGAGATCTTGAATTGAATTTCTTCATTTATGATTGTGACATAATAGCTTAAAGCACTGCAAAACTAGGACATGTTTACAACATATGGACATAATTGAGGGAGACTAATATGAAGTTTATTCTTAATTTATTTTAGTAAATTATTTGTTTTTGTACATATGTTATTACCATGATAAATGGATCTTAGTTGTAAGTAAATAAATGTATAAAACACAATATTGTAATATTCATGTTAATTGATCAAGTTTATTTGCTTATCATCAGACATGTGTTCAAATCAGTAATACCAGCTGATTAAACCCAAATATAAACCCAAAATGTCAACACCCTTATTATATGGTTGCATTAATTGTGAAAAATTATGCCTGGGTCACATTTGCTCCGATTTTCACTTTGGCGCCTGGCCGATTGAGTATTTTGTTCAAAATTTAATACAAAATTGAACAAAATACTCAATCGACCGGGCGCCGAAGTGAAAATCGGAGCAAATGTGACCAAGGCATAACTAGTGTAAATCCCTAATTTGTTGACCATGATATTCAACATTGTTTTTGGATGCCTGTAGCGCAAGTCAATTGCCTAATATTTATATGAGTTATCTCGCCAGGACGTATCACAAAAAAAAGATCAATAGGCCCTGCGGAGTAAATAACATGGTCACATGTTTTCAACAAAAACAGCTCATCCAAGCGCACTCACACTGCTTAATTCCACTGTGACAATCTTGTCACTCACACTCGCATTGCCTTGTCACTGATGCACCACAGGAGTTCCATTGCAATAAACCAAGGCATCTTTCAAAAGAATTATGTGAGTGTTACAAGTGTTAAGGTGCCCTTGGATGAGCTGTATTTGTTGAAAACATGTGACCATGTAATTTGCACTGCTGGGCAAATTACATGGTAACAAATTGTTATCAGGTGAATTTATCTTCAGTTATAACTGATTACTCCTTGAAGTAACTAAAGCTTAAAACTACACAGTGCGTATAAAAATTGCAACACACAAATAAATCATGAAACCACAAAACCATTCAGGTCAGGAGATCTTCCAAATAGTACCAGGCCTGCGCACTGTCTTTTCCAAGGGACTGCCTCTTTCTGATCCCAAAATGAATCAAAATCAGACCTTTCCATCTTTTGCTAAACCAAAGAATTACAAGGCACACAAAGGCAAAATGTCACCACCTGTCATTTGTTACAGACACTGACTGATGACATGTTTCATTTCGATAAAATCATAAACAGATGTGTGACATGATTGATACAAAGTAGCCATGGGAATGAAGGTATGTAATACATGAGTTATATCACTATGACATGAAATATGCCTTAGTTCTTGCCCAATAATACAGCCTCCCAAGGTCAGCCTATATTGGTAGAATTCAGGCATATTTCACGTAATAGTGACATAATCTCTAATTATGTATTGGTCAGGTTCATGATGTCATATTTTGTTGTAGGTAGCAAGGTTTCAAATGTCTAAATGGCTGGGAAAGGACCTTGTATATGTAAGATCTCCATCAGAGTAATACTAGATCACAAAAATATTATATTCAAGAGACTTGATAGATGGATTAAAGAATCTATTTTTATAAAGAAAAACGATAATAATATTAACAGGGATCAAGGGAACTATAAATTGGCGGGAATTTGGAATGAATTTTTGGTGAATTAATATGACGTAATATTGTTTTTATTTAATTGTTTTGCAGCGCTTCAGTTCAGTTTTTATACAGTTGAAAAAGGATCCAGACAGGATCCGAAACATCCTGTTTAGTAAAATAAAGGTTGTGAAAAGAAGAAAAAATATTTTTGTGATTTGATAATCCAACCTGAAGAACATATTTAAGAGTATACTAGATGTTTTCATGTGTATGATTTGAAACAAGAACACCAACAGGCATGTAAACTTAATGAACATAAAAATGGCCAGTACATATTTTATAACAGAAAGCATTCTGTACTCTATATGAATAGAAAGTATGCACACTTTTAGAAACAGCAAGAAATATATACACGCTATATATAAAGCATAATATGGACCCTTTATAAACAGAAAGTATTATGCCAGATAATATACACATTATATAGACCAGGGTTCTCACCAGGAAATTTTTAGAACCCGTTAACAAAAATTCAACATTCACGGCATTACCAGTAACCAGAAAGTATTATGTACACTCTTGAAATATCATGTTGTTGAAGGTTTCAAGTTCAACACCCTCACAAGTGAATGAAGACAAAGGAAATATATACAGTATACAGTAGAACCTGCTAAGTGGAACATCTCCGTAAGTGGAACACCTCGGAAGTGGAACGCTTTTTCAAAGTCCCGTTCTAAAAACCCATTGACTCAATGTTAATTGAACCTCTGTAAGTGGAACACCTCCAAACTTGAACAGTGAACACCCCATATTGAAAATTAACCTGCTAAGTGGAACAGTCAATTTTCCATAAATTTCAATAGTGATACTTATGTAAACAAAATTAACCTCCAACAGTGATACCTGGGTATGAAAACAGGTAATAACATGATAATTGGCAAATTAGGATTTAAATGGATTACCATATAGTCAATTGGATTAACCTCCTGTAGAGATCAACATGTGATGCTACCACTAATTAATTTGATAATTAGCAAATTAGAATTTCATAAGATTATCATTCAGCAAATTGGATTAAGAGATGGACATGTGATGCTCTTGCCTCTTACCTCTTGCTGTTTGTTTCATACTTAATAAGTAAGCTTAAGAATGTCAGTTAAAAAACAAATGAATTATTAGCATTAGGAACAAGTCTTTAAAACTTAATTGCCAAATCTTAGTGTCTGAGACTGGCAGAATGAGGAGGATTGAGAATGTCAGAAAACATTTTTGGCCGAATGAGGAGGATTAAGAATGTCAGATGCCTTTTTTAGTAAAACAAATAGATAATTGAGGCTATATAGCTGCCCTGCAATGATCGGAGAATCTTATTTTCAGTGATACATATCAACTCTATATTTAATCTTGTATGTTCGTTAAATCCCCGCAAACCCAAATCCTCCGTAAGTGGAACACCTCCTAAGTGGAACGCTTTTTGGCAGAACAGAGGGTGTTCCACTTACACAGGTTCTTCTGTACATATATGTGCATGCATCTAATTAGATAACTGAGACTTCAATTTGGACAGCAGCATTTTAGCAGTACCACTTAGTGCCTTGCCTTTTTCAACTCGTGCATCTCCCCTAGCTGTTTCACCATCACAGATTGTAGACTCAGAGTTTTGGGATGTATCGTCACCCTCAATGTGACTATCTTGTTTCGGTTTAAACTTGAGAGACCTTCGGTTCTCTTTCAGAACACCATCTCTTGGAGATGAATTGTCAGTTTTCTCACATTTAGATTGTTGGACTTTCAGGTTTTCTTTATTCGGTGTAGTCAATGGTGGAAAGAATTTGCTGGCCTTTGAAGTAGGTTTATATTGCCCCGTACGTTTGGTTACTTTCTTAGGAGGGCTTTCCTTGGGTGTATAAAAGTTTTCATTAGGTGAATCATTTGAGGTGTCATTGTTATTGACAATTTTCTTCTGAGATATTGGTGTTGGTAATTTTGTACCTCTAGGTGGTGAAGGAGATTTTGTCAACTTAGAAGCCATTGTTGGTCCATCTTTGGTTTGCATTGGTGGAGATTTTGACCAATAGGAAGAGCCAACAGGTGATGGTGACCTTGACCTCAAGGTAGGAATTTTACTATGACCTTGGCCCTTTGGTGTGGTCATCATAAGGTTCTCCTGAAAATAAATCACTTTCAATATTGCAGAGTGTAAAGTATCGATCAATAAAAAGAACATGCTGGATTTAATATAAACTACATGTAATTTTTAACTTGGTATGTGATTGAACTATGATTTCTTTCTCAAGTGAAACTACAGAACTTTCATTGTGAGTAATCTGCATGTATAAGTAAGTGAAACAGTCAGGGAAAATGAGCAATTATCCTCCACTCTCTCATGTTGATCCTATCATGTTTATAAATATTTTTCATTCATTATATATACATGTTTACAACAAAAGCAATGCTCTTTAATCTTAAAATGCATGAATCATTTGATCTAATCCTGATGATTATAGTCACATCTGTGATTCATACAATGATAGAGTTTCCCTTACCTCTGATAGACTCCTGCCTGGCTGATTGTTTATTACAGCTTTATGTTCAGTGCCATCCTTGTTGCCCTGAAGTGACAATATCAAATATCATAACTATGTGAGCAAATACATGTACATGAAATAAGAGTAGATTTGCATTGATGTTTTCTATAAACACACGTAATGATGAAGTCGGTGCAGTTAAAGGGTGGATTAATTTGAAAGATCATTTTTAATGCCCTTTAATTCATAATTTAAGGTTCACGATCACCACCATATTAAGGGTCATAGATCTTCATTTTGCTATGGCAGAAATTACAGTCTTAGCTGAATACTAGCCAAGAACTTCATGATTTCCATATCATAATCATTAAAGTCTTACTAAATGTTCCTCAGTTTGATGATTGTGTCAATGCGTCAATATGATCATAAAACAAAGCATAAAATAGTGTTACGTAAATACATAGTATTTGGTAAAAATTTTCAAGAGGGTAAATCTTTCCAGTTGCTCTAATTATGGGATCACTATTATATATTGTATTGCCTACTAGGAAGGAAATTAATGCCGTGTGCTTCAGCCAAGTATACACAGTGTCTCCGAAATGGAAGATGGAACATTGAAACACCTGACTGGATAGTAAGCAACATTTTCTTGAATATTCCTTGTGAGCGCATTTCTCTTTTGATAAGGTAGCTATAACAATTAATTTACTTTTCATATTTAGCTCATTAAAACTGCAGTGCTCTTTTCATGTGGGCTGACATCTTTTAAGATTTCACAAAGGAGATGTGATAAATTGCAAGTTGAAGTAAAACATTGGAATTATGGTTTATATGGTAATGTTCAGTAACCCACCTCCTATAAAATATTTTTCACTTGTCATTTTTCAAACCATTTTTATTCATTCATACAAAAAGTATAAACTACTTTGAAATATCTAGGATGGATCTCATTTTACATTAATGCCTAGTGAGCAAAGAGACCCAACACAAAACATTCCACACTTATCCATTGATGAGGGGAATTATATAAGTTGAGTGTAAACAAAGTATATACAATGGTTAGTAAACATTGGTGTATGGCACATAACAGAACAAGTATAAAATCAATACGCATATTATACATATTCAGTATACAGCCTTTACAAAAAAGCTCAGTCTGGTGATGCTTTAAAAATGCACCAATAGAACATAAAACTGTGGAATAAGTAAGTAATAAAGAAAATGGTATATAAGATTTACTTTAAATTATCAATTTTCATTTGTTCAATAATTTACAACTTAGACATATAGACTAATATAAATATTCAGTGGTTTCAGGGAGGGAAGTGCATATAATTCAGGTAGCAGCTACCATCAAGAACAGTTAGACGTAGAGCTCTTCAACAGCAGGCACCCTAGGGAAATATTTATAATATAAGCATCACAAAGCTGACATTAACAACATACTTAAGTATTACCTTTATCAAGGTAGGTGGAAAATGGTGGGCTTTTTAAAATGTCATGCATGGTGGTTACTGAATTTATTATTCGGATTTATTGTTAGAGATAAGAGGAATGATGGATTAATGTGAAGCGTTATATTATATTTTGAGATACTTTTCAATGATCATCATCCATTTAATTTAATCTACAGCTTGTGGTTTTCAATTAGCTTGCAATGCCATCATACAAACTGACATACTTCAATGGACGAGGGAGGGCAGAGATTGTGAGGTTTGTCCTACTACAAGCAGGAGTTACCTATGAAGATAACAGAATAGAATTTGAAACCTGGGGAAAGATGAAGAAAAGTGGAGGTGAGAAGGAAGTATGGATTACTTGAGGGAAGAGGAAGATATGGTTATGGATTAATTCAATACATTAGAGGGCATTGGGTTTCATTGCATATAAAATTTCACAAAGTACCTAGAGTAGACTACTATAATTATCTAAGATATAAATATATTCCCTTATATCAAATAACAATCTGTTTCTATAACAGCTATATTTGCCAAGAAGTGACAATCGAAAATCTAATGTCAGAAATTGGTGCAATATTATAATCTGATTTCAAATGAAAATATGGATTAATGCCATATAAAATAAAGAGGTGACTTATCATCTGAGACCATTGCCACACAGGTTAATAGGAATATCTGAGCACTGTATCTGCTGCTATACATATCTACCTCAATAGCAGTATATTTCCGGGAATGTTTTCTGAAGATTTTTCATTTTCCAAAATATGGTTCCATATAAACTGTATCACCCTATGCAACAGTGCTATACGGAAAACAATTGGTGTAGATATTATGTGCGCATGGTGAGAATTTAACAGGTTTAAAAAGATACTAAATAAACTAATCCGGTTTGGATATTCAGTATATTAATGTATGTGTACCTAATAAAAAAGAAATTGTGTAAATGGTTGCGTAATTGATTCTATATACAAACTGATGAGACTCTATTTTCTATAAAGTCACAATAGACTACAATGAATGTTCCCAAAGAACAAAGAGTCAATAGCAGGAAGTGCCTCATGCTTATAACAAGCACTATAAATCTGTTTATTTCTAGTTGCACCATTCAGTCAGCTTCCAATACTAGAGCTAGGAGATGGCACAGTTCTGTCGCAGAGTGGAGCTATAGCCAGATTCATTGCAAAACAGAATGGTAAGAAGAACACATGATCATTATGGCATCAGCAAGCAAGCAAGCAAGGAAGAAAAAAAGTGCCAAAGTAAAAAGTATTTCCAAACTTGTTAAAAAAGTGACAAGGGAAGCCCCTCGTCTACCTCATCCTGGCTATGCTACAACATTTCCATTAAATTCAGATTCTTATGTAACTCAGGCAGAAAATCGAATGTAAATTATTCCTCAGAAATATGAATAATTTAAAGTTATCATTAATAGAGGAATATTTCCCAAAGGATGTTAGAAAGTGACGAGGCAAGTGCCTTTCTTATCCTGGCTACGCTAGAGGATATTTGACAGGTTCACAAATGTTAGTTGACAATGTACAAGCATTTATTAATGAATTGATGCAAGAAATATCATTTGTAAATACATTCTAGTAGATTCCACCATTACTAGGAATGTTATACTAAAGTACCCCAAACAATAATTAGTCACAAACTTGTATCATGATTTTTAACATTTTTCATCAGCTACCACCATCTCATTTGTGATTGGCTTGATAGAATATGTGGAGTTTTTGCTAAATCAGTCTCTTCTTTCACTGGATTGACAGTTTACTTGCTCTCACTGATGCAACATGAAATGAGAAAGAGAGCTATTGGTAAAGATTTCAATAGACACCTTGCAGGAAGTATAAAGTGGCAAGGTGGTGAAAAACTGTAGAAACAGAGCCAAATATGCCTGCCATGTATCCCAATGGCCTGTAAAGCATACATGTATATGAATCAACACAAGGACATGAACCACTGTCTTCGTAATGCTATCCACCAGTTTTTAAAATTCATAGATCAGTACTGTATTAGAAAACTACTTAGAAAGTTATGGTCCATGTACATTAATTCCACCCTTCACTCTCGAATTTATTTAATGTATATACAGTATATACTATAATGTCTACAGGTCTTGCTGGAAAAGATCTGATTGAGCAAGCACTGGTTGACTCTATAATGGATTCCACAGTGGACATCTTCAACACAATGGCAAAGATCTACTTTGAAAAGGATGAGGGACAAAAGGTGAAGCCTTTAATATAATGGAAAAACATTATAAGGTGGAAAATGTATGATCAACTATGAAATTGAAAGATTTTTGTTTAAAAGCCAAATTCAACACAAGCTGTTTCAAATGAAAGCCTATATACTGTACTTTCATTTCAATAACATTGTTCACTACTTCTTATTCTACTTCTTAAAATTATTAAAGTGAAAAATAAAACCTTGATGTTTTATTTAATGTGCCCTTTTTGGTACAGGCTACTTTGAAGAAAAAGTTTATTGAGGACACTTTCCCAACATGGGAGACAAACATAGGGAAGATCCTCCAGCAGAATGCATCAGGGTGGCTGGTTGGTAAAGCTGTGAGTAGTGACGTTTTCATTATGTTTCATATAACGTTCATATTTTCATCATTTATACAGAAAATAGTAAAAGTCAGCATGTCATATTGTTGTATAATTGATTTCCTCAGCACTGAACCACAGTGAACCAACCATCAAATTCTTAATTAACAAAATTGAGAATTTCAATACCACAGAAAAACTCAAAAACAAAATTCTTAGAAATCCCATTTATCTCTTGAACACAATTATTTCAGTTGACCCTGGCTGACCTGGCTGTGTTTAGACTGGTTGATGAACTGAAGCTATCGGGTGGTGATGCACCTACTGTAAAAAGCCCTCTATTGAAACAACATGCATCTAAAGTGGCAGAGCTGCCTAAAATTGCCAAATGGTTGAAGGATCGCCCCAAATCAGACTTCTAAAGACAACATATATTCATAAGCTGTGTGCCATATTGTAAATATTAGACTGAGATCACATACAAGACATCACAAAACTAGAAAATCCTGCAATTAATAGTTGAAATGTCTCCATCATGTGATTTATTGGTATAAACAGTTTGCGAAACTTAAATTTCATTTACCTTTTGCTGCTCCCACAAAATATAAAAACATCTATGAATTATATACTCACCAAAGAGGCCGACCTCCTTCTGAGAGAGGACAATCTAGGGATGCTACGTCGTCTGCCTCCAGGTGATACGTCTATATTTGGACATGGATCATCTGTTTTCCTCTCAGGGTGTGACGATTTTGGGGTCAGACATTCATCAACTACCACATTCTCACTTGTGACAGGCTTGATAGAATGATGTGGAGTTTTTGCTGAATCAGTCTCTTGATCCACTGGATTAACAGTTTCATCTTTGAGTTTGTCCTCTTGACCATCTATTGTTTCTACATTTCTTAAAGGATTTTCAGCATTAGTCTTAGTGACATCTGTTTGCTTTACTTTAGCTACAGAATTGTTCTCTTCAGAAGACTGTGTGTCGGATTCAGTAAATGTAGCTGTGATTTCAGTGTTCTTTGGGTTGTTATTTGTATTGATTGTGTTGTCATAGCTATTATTCCACTTGATTGTGTTGTCATAGCTATTATTCCACTTGATTGTGTTGTCATAGCTATTATTCCACTTGATTGTGTTGTCTTGTATAATACTGGTTGTAAGATTTGGCATCAATTGGAGGGAGGTTACATTATTGGTGTTATTCAACTCATCACAAGTGTCCTTTGAATCATTATTGTTAACAGGGTCTTTGTCAACACTTTGAGATGATTCTTTATCAGCACAATTATTTTTATCCATTTGACTCCTCACATCTAATTCATCATTCAATTTGGTTGAGTTGTACTGGTGTATTTCTGTATCTTTGCTTGTACCTTCAGTCAATAACATGTTATCATTTCTTTCTTCATTTGAGCCTTCTGTTGCATCATCATGACCATCATTATCAATCATGTGTGTTTTGTCACTTTGGGGTTCTCTGTTGTGTAGTGCATTATCATTATTGTGTAATACATCACTGTCTGTGTGTAATACATCAATTTCTTTATGTAGTACATCACTTCCTTTGTGAAGTTCACTAGATGCTTTGTTTAGTTTATTACTGTCTGTGTGTATTCCATCACTCTCTTTGTTTAGTATATCATCATTCTCCTTTGCTTTCCTTAAAGGGGTTACAGGCTGTGCTTTGGTGTGTATGACAAATGTTTCAATGTTGTCACACAGCTGTTTGATCTCCTCCTCAACAGAGCATGCTGAGCTACATCTGGAACCTTCAGCCCTAGTGGAATATTCCAGAACATTTCCTTCATTATGTGATTTAATATGTTCTATCTCTTGGTGTGATTGGTCATTATTGTCTAATAATTCTGTCTCTGCAACAATGTAAGTGATATCAGGTGACCTGGATGGTTTGTGGGTAATAGCTTTACTGCCAACAATTCCAAGGGGTTTGAAATATGATGTGATTTTGTCTTGGTGATGGATTCCTTTACCCATAAGTCCAGCTATTTCAACATCAACATTCGAAGTGTTGTCATTACTTCCTCTGCAGTCTTTCCTATCCTTTGCTCCAATTCTTTCAAGAATCCTCTCAATAGAAGTATTACCATCTTCTTTATCACTGTCTCTGTCACTTTGATTATGCTTTGAATTGTCATTATCCATATTGTTAACCTCTTGAAGAGTACTATTACTTTGAATCCCATTCATCTTTATTTCATTTTCATCATCAAGCCTAAAGGCATCTTCAGCTGTATTTTCTTCTTTTTGGCTGCTCTTGGTCTCCTTTACAGCATTGCTGCTGGGAACATTGAGTGTGTTGAGAGTGGTATCAGGGCTGGGAGAATTCAGATGTGAGTCCCCAATAGCTTGTGTTATGGGGGTCAGGCTGTTCCCAGCTTGCTTATGGCTTATATAATGGATAGTCCAACTTGAGGAGATGGGAGAGTCTGATGTTGGCCCAACTGCTTTCATGTGAATACTGGAACATCAAAATAAATATTGAATGAACTAAAGTACATTTGTTTGGTATGAAGGACTACTAATGCTATTATCAAAATGGATGAATTGATTGTTATGTAAAGGATCCCCTGATTTAATGAATAAAGCATTGATTTTTCTAAATTTTTCAGACTTTTTAATTCAATGTTTCCAATTTCCAAAATTCACTACTGATACAAATACAAAGCAGAATTCTTGTCCAACACTTACCTATACTTAATATCTTTATCTAGTCCTCCAATATTAGCTGAACACCCTGTATTTACCATTCCCCTGCAGGCTCCATTTATGAACACCCTGTACCCCAGCAGAGACCTGCCTGTGTCGACACCCTCACTGTTGAAAACCTGAGATTTCTTCCACTCTATGTACATGCTGGAGTCAGTCAGGTGCAACATTGTACAGATAGAGGGCGCTGTAAGGCTAGGGTTGTCTGCATGTGCACTATTTGAAACTTCAGTGCCCTCTGAAGAAGACAAAATGAAATCCTTTTATTGAAGTTCCACTGGAGAAGAAAACTAAATCTTTTTTGAGTTTTCCCTTTTTGGTGGTTGTGGCTAGTTTTTCATATAAACTACATGTATTTAGTTTCGTAACATATGCAAAACTACACTTGTCCTTAATATCATGAGGGGAACATACACATGCATTAGGATTAAATAAATCATATACACCTGTTATAAATTATAGTTCAAGCAAACATAAAACAGCCAATACATTGTACTTTGCTCAAGAAACCACATTTTTATTTGTAAAAAATGCCTCATACCCCAGTGATCATCTGGAATCTTAAGTTCACTTGGGTTCAACTTAGAGCATCCTTCAATCTTCAACTCTGTGTTAGTTGCATTAATTGATGGCTCAGACTGTGCTGGGACAACTGCCTCTTGGCTTGGGGTGTTAATTGGAAGATCATTTGGTGGTGGAATGTCCATTCTCTCCTCAGGAGATTCCTCAGAAGCAGCTGTTCTCTCTTTCTGGCAAGATGTCTCTAGCTTGTCTTTGTTCTCATCAGCAGCATGTGGCAAAACAGGGGTCTGTGTCTAAAATATCATTCAGATTTTGACATAAATTGTACTAGTTTTGAGACTAAATTGGTTTTCAGTTTTTACAAGAAAAAATCTTATTTAGAATGTGAACTGGAAAATGTATATGTAAGACCTACTGTATATGGAGAAGGCTGATGAGTGAAATAATTCTGTTTATTATCTTTGATGGCTTCTCTTAGTCTATGTATCTCTTCACTCTGTCTTGTTTTCTGCTCATCAAGTTCTGCCCTCAATCTGCTAACATCTTCCCTCTGTGTCTCTTGGCCTTCCTTCCAGCTTTGGAGGTCTTGCACCTAAGGTACATAATGCTTACATTATTATACAACATCCCTAGAAATCTCAATACTGTCAAGCTATATGTCTGGCAATGTGATGCTGCCACTCGCCATTCTACCAGCTGCTAAGCTGACAACAGAGTCATAGTTTTATACATGAGTAAATTTAACAATTTGAAACTTAATATTAAATGTAAAATGATTTAGGAAATTGATTAAAATATCAGGTAATAAATAGACTATACATACTGTACATGTACTTCAATTGTTTTAATGAAAATAGTTGTACATACCTGTTTGTACAAGACTTGTATTGTCTCTATGAGGACCTGTCTAACCTGTTTCTCCTGCTCATAGCCCTGCTTACATCTAAAATATTAAAACATGCATTATATTATTACATCTGGAATATATCATAATGACATCAATACAATATTTGAAAATATTAATTAGCTACTTACTTGTATGGTAAGCAGCAATGGTAGTAATGGCAAACTAATAACAATTAATATGAAATTAATTGGTTTTATGTGTGTTTTATGGGAGTTTCTGAAAGTCATTTCTGAAAAAGGTAACCCTACATCTGTGGTATGATTAGATGTAAACAAACTTTAGTTTCCAGCAAGTAAAATGTAGGTCAATGCACTCCACATGTGCAGAAGTCATTTCCCATCAATTTTTCTAACAATCTAGAGGGTCAGTGTACAATCTGATTGAATCCTGTAAGTATTTGCCCGCCAATCCCGCCCCCAAAACCACCCATGAATTATCCCCCAACTAAGGTGAGATCAAGAAATTGGTAAGAGTGAACATATGGAAAATTTGAACCAAATCTGTCTTCTAGTATTTGAATTATCAAATATTGAATATTCTTTCTTGAGCAGAGGTCCTACACCCAAAGGGCATAACCCTAATAAAATTTGAATTAAACTCTTGAACCAGTATTTGAGTAATCACCAGGACAGTGGATGCATCAACAGACGAATGAAAGGACAGATGAAAATTAATTGTGGGACAATGAAGTCAGAGAAACAGGCATGAAGGCTAAACAAGGACTTGATACAAGACAGTGGGTAATTACCTCTCAACCTCCAAACTGAGGTTGCTTATATGATCCTCCATGTGTCTAAACCTCATTTCATTCCTCACTGAGACAGCCTTTATATTGTATTGTCTGGTGTAGTAGCCCCGCCATGTTGACTGGATTACAATTGCTGCAGCTCTATGGCGCATAGCTGCAAATAAAGGTATGAGAAGATATCAAGCCTTCATATCATACTGCCTGGTGTAGTAGCCCCACCATGTTGACTGGATGACAACTGCTACAGCTCTATGGCGCATAGCTGCAAATAAAGGTATGAGAAGATATCAAGCCTTCATATCATACTACCTGGTGTAGTAGCCCCACCATGTTGACTGGATGACAACTGCTACAGCTCTATGGCGCATAGCTGCAAATAAATGTATGAGAAGATATCAAGCCTTCATATCATACTGCCTGGTGTAGTAGCCCCACCATGTTGACTGGATGACAACTGCTACAGCTCTATGGCGCATAGCTGCAAATAAAAGGTATGACAAAATGACAGGTTTGAGCTTGTTGACATCATTAATATACATGTATTTCAAAAACCCATTAACTTTTAAAATATTACTTTAAATAATACAAGAGTCAAATCATTCTACTTCAGACCTACAATGATCTTCACACATTACCTCTAATCCCTATTTAGTTACTTACCATCATGCTATTCTACTCTATTCAACATTCCAAACCATGATTGCTGTGATATTTGCAACCTCCAATGCAAGCTCAAGATGAATGTTAAGGCAAAGCAAATGAGGATATCTTTACATTGTAATCTTGGCTCTTACCTTGCTCAAAGTTTTCAGTTGTGTTGGAGGATCTAGTGGGACCATTGTCATTCATATCTCCACCACCCCTGATCATATCAGAATCTTCTGAGTTGATGCTGCCAGTTTGTTCAATTTGGGATGAGTCTCTTGATGTTTCACATCTTGTTGATGTGTTGGCATTTTTTGCTGCTTTATCAGGTTTTCTATTGATTGATTTCTTGGGGTGACTCCCATGTTTGGTGGGTGTGTATTTTTGTGGAGTATAGGGTGCCTTATATGGTGAAGATTGAGGTGACGATTTAGGCATTTTTACAGGGGTCAGTGGTCGATCACCTGACTTTCTGACAGCCATCTTGACTCTACGTCCTGAAGTGATGGCACGCACAAGGTTCAAACCAGAATCTGGCAGACTGTCATCAGAATCCGTGGTGGGATATTCATTGCTCTCCTTTGTTTTATTGGCTGTTTTAGATCTTCTGTAAGGTGAGGCACGTTTTCTCTCTCGTGCTTTGGCACTAAGAGGTGACACTCTAGTTTTTGTGCTCAAAGGTGAATCCCTTGTTTTGGTTGTTAAAGGAGAATCCCGTCTCTGTGTTATATTTGGAGATAGTGGTAAATGTGCCAGATTGGCAGTAGTTTTACTTTGGTTCACAACTCTGATTGGTCGACTGTTATATTCCTCATATTTAGACATTGGCGACAGAACAGCCTGTTTCACAAATGGAAAATTCTGGGTATTATTGTTTCTTGGGTTCATAGCTGTAGATGGTCGATCATCATGCTTTGAGGCAATCTCAGCAAATGATGTCATGCCATGATGTGATGCAGGTGGTGCTGTCATTGGTCGATTAGGAGTGTTGAATCCTGGGAGTGGTATGTATCGTGTTTCAGATTCCAATATGCTAGTGTTTTCTGGGGATTCAGAAAAATGTACTGGAAAATGAAAGATACAAATCGAATACCATCACTTAGCAAAACTTCATTAATAATTGCTTTTAATTTACATTTAATTTTTAGCATGATATCATTAAAGATCTTTAGTTAAAATCAAGAATTCAGTCCAATACCTTGAGAATTGCCATTGTATTTTATATCTTCATGTGTGAGGTCAATAGATTCTTTATGCAGTAGTTCAAGTCTTGTCTGTTCCATACTGAACTCAGGGTTACCTATACAAGCACATGATACACTTTAGACTGTGCAGAAACATACAATGGATGCATTTAATGTACTTTAGTGACTGTTATCAAAATGTGGAATCATTTGGCAAAAGCCTGCAAGTATTAGAGGAGATCAGAGACACATTGTTCTGCAGGGATTCATTATTCTACAACCAAATGTGTTATCTTCTTACCCAATGAGAAACAAAATAACCGAAACGTAACAAATCAAAATTGACTATTGAAATCAATATCTCAAGAGCAAATGGTGAATGTTTGAATGGTGCTCACTATTGGTCCAAGCCCTGACTGGTGATCTGTTGTAAAAGTTGGTATAGAGGCTAGTAGGTGTTTCTATTGGGTACATCTGTGGTGATGTCACTTGTTGCTTATTGTGGCCAGCTTGGGAACCTAAATCAGAGACAATAAAGCAATAGATAATAAAACATTAACATGCAAAATGTCACCACAACAATATGTCACCACTCATGGTGGTATAACATATGAAGCACAGACAGGTGATCAGTTGTCAAGTTGATATATAGCCTAGCAGGGTCAACTGTTGAGTATACATACAGTTGTAATGAACAGGTTGACCCAAAAGGCAACACTCTAGTTTTGAAATAACTCAATATATATGTGGAATCTTGTTATGTAGTTTTCAATGGAGTAAGCAATAATAGCATTTTGACATTCTTTTATCCTATTATTTTTTTAAACTTCAAGTACATCACAATTTGCTCCACTGAAAAATCTCTGTGAACAAAAAAATTCATGAAGATTCCATTAAGATTGAGAATATTAAATTGGTTGCAATATCAGTTCACCCAGTACACCGTACAAGAGTATAAGCATTGTCATGGATTTAACTTTATTGCATGAACATATCCAAAATGGGTTAAGTGTATACAAAGCAAAATTGAAAACAGTATAACACACATAACAAACAAACATGTGTTTACAACTCAGTCATTCGGCATGGGTTTAAGGTCATATTTGGCATAATTAAACCTTGTTTAATTTTCTTTCACCAGACAGGAACACCCCAGAGTTTTAGCTTTGGTTGTAATGTCTATACTAACAACCCTTGGAACATTGGCACAAGAGAAAATAAGAAAGGTGTGAACCATTACACGAGACGTCTGTGCCAGTGTATTGAAAAATTGCTGAATAACTGAGTTATTAACATTTGTTTGGATTACCTTTTTTGGCTCACTCTGTATGTAAGATACAGTACAGATACATACCTGGCACTGGTGACTTTTTCTGCTGTCTGGGCTTAGGGGAGACAGACCTAGGAGGTTGCATGATCTTTGCCTCTGGTGTGGCATGTACACTCTCCTGTATTAACTGCTGCTGGTGGTACTGCTGCTTGCCTAGTACTTTACTCAGTCTTGCTTCCTCTAGAGTCTCAAGCTGGAGGTGGATATAATATGGCTGATATACAAGCCACCTTCATGAATTTAAATCTCCATGTTAGGATATTCTTAGAACAGAGTCATGGATATAGTAACATGAGTATTTAATTTTATTCGAGATAAATAGGTTGTCATACTGTATATCTAACAGAGGGGCACAACCTCAGAATAACATTACATCTAGAAATGTAGTCATTATGGCGGCTTTAGGTGAGGAAGACATTTATCAGTATTCTTCATAAACTTGTGAAAGGGTCTCTAAGTCTCAAGCTGTGCATTATTTTTTAACTGTTCTGCACAATACATTTAGTTATGTTGAGGTAGGGTTGCAACATGACATGAACAATATTTTCTCACCAATTCTCTCTCCGACACATCTGGATCAGACAATACATAGTACTAGGTGATCAGCAACTAGATGCAAGATTACAACTGATGTATATCTTACCTCTGTCTGTGCTGTGAGGGGACATGTATGAGCCAGGTAGTGAGAAAGATCTGAATGTTGCCCAGGCTTGAAGTGACGTCCTTTACCCTGACTGTACAGCCATTCTGCCTTTAGGCTAAATCAGAAAATAATTCCTACATATTCTTATTATCTGTACCAGACACTGAATAATAAATATGAACACTAATAATAAATGTTATCTATTTTTAACATCTCTTTAAAAATATCTATTTTGATGAGTTTGCAACATTAGTTTGAACAGTCAACTGTCAACAGATGTTCTTGGACCAAATATGAATTCACTACACTGGTATTTAAAAAATGGATGTGATAGACAGTATCTTTAAATCTAAATACACACTGATGATATCCCCGAATCAAATAATAAAAAGCCTACTCCCCTCCGATAACAATAGGACATGTTAATCCCATATGAGAACATAGTGACATATTAATACCATATGAGAACATAGTGACATGCTATTCCAGGTATTCCCCTCTGATAACATAGTCTATGTCTATGTCAATAATCTGCAAAGGCTAATAAGCCCATATAAAGCAGATATGGTGACATGTTAATCCCATACGAGAACATAGTGACATGTTAATACCCTATGATATCAATCAATGTGACATGTTAATCCCATATGAGAACATAGTGACATATTAATCCTGTCTTCTGCAATAATTACTGACCTTTCCTTCTGTTTCACAAGATAACCATCTAGTATTCTCAGAGACATACACCAGTTTATAACAAATGGTCTGTAGTCAAATCCACTGAAATAAATCATAAGCATTGGAAATGCAGAGTAAATGGTACATGTTATTTTCTTCAAATCAAATATCTTCATATATTCTAATGTTTTAAAGATATTTCCAGACAAAATGCAGGCAAAATGACACATATAAAGTTGCTCTTATTAAGTGTTTACATGGATACGAGCCCTTAATGGTGAGATTTTCAAAAATGTACATCTATGTGTAAATGTTGGGTTTTTAAATTCCAGAATGTACCACATATAATTATTTCAAATGTTTCTCATAGAAATGAAATATTATAAAAATACATGTAGATGACGATGTGTGTTCAGTATCACCCAAATGGTGAGTAAATATAGTGCTTTTCTTGTTTAACTTTCATGGAGTTGAATGATATGGTGAATAGGACCTAATCATATGATAACAGAAATTCTATAATAACCTTTCAGAGTCTGTCATCATAACACATGGATTGTTCATAACAGATAGCTGCTCTAAAGATGTCAGCCCTGACAGGTAGCTCACCTGAAAGTAAACAAGCAAATAATTTTAGCCAGGTAGCTCAACTAAAAGTAAACAATAATAGAAACATAAGTAGTTAATCTAATTGTAAACAGCAAGTAACACTGGCACCTAGACCTAGGTAATTAAAAATGCTGTCTATAATTTATTCTTCGGAATACCAAGGTAGCAAGTTCATATTTGCTACCAGAAAATCTGTTGATCTAGCAGGCATTCTTATAGAAAAAAAATATGTACTCTCAGGGCAAATGTCAATGAAGACCTGACCAACAGTGTTTTAGATACCACAAAGCTCATGACAGACAACAGAGCCATTCTGTATATTTCCAAAATGTTGTTTCAACATATATGGGTCTGAAACATACTAATGGCAATTTATACCTTGATTTGTTAACATAATTGCCAACATAGCACACTAAATAATTTATCACTTTGGACAAGTGTGTAACAACTTCTATTTACTCATTAATTGGATACAAGTGTTAAAGTCATATGCAAACCTGTTTTTTCTATCTACACTATCATTATCAGCTCCCCATTTCATGATCTAACAACAGGTCAATGCCATGGACTGGTTGTACCCATGTGAGGAGATTATTATAAATTATTGACTTCCATTAAGGCCAGTTATAGGGGCAGTGGTATATTATTTCCCAATGGAATATTTCACTAAGTGGATTACCATTAAAAATATTTATTACAAAACATATGACAAAAGAGCCATGGCATATTTAGTATAATGATGATAAAGCTGTAGCTCTAAACTATACTGGATAAAAAACATCAAAATAAAAAATTATAAGAGTTGAACTATGATAAAGAATCTGAACTGAACACATATAGTCAGAGATTTCCCCCAATATGAAATATTGTAGAAAAGTAGTATACACACTTTCCAGCTTTCCAAAATCAAAACTATTTTTAATGTGGATAGTCAAAAAATCGTAAAAAAAGACAATCTTACACAGGTGCTTTGAGAGTGTAAAACCATTATAAGTGTGGTTGTTAATCGAGAGATGATAACCTGGCATCGAAATTATATGTAATCTACATTTAATAAGGCCTAAAATGAATGATATCCTATATCCCAAAAACAAATATGACCCCTCCCACTGATAAGTCTTCCACATTTAACCTTCTTTACCAAACACTTGCAAGAGCAACTACAGTTACTATTACACAAAGAGAATGAGACTCAATTCAAGACATGGATCAACACACTGATTTTATCTGGTTTCCACACATTGACATTGAGCTTGCTTATTGACAATTGCTTAATCAATGAAAATGTATTGACCTTACTTTTATCACCTTGTGTGTTTCTCTAAGGTGACCTTGTTAACAATGTGGCATACTAATAACAATAATTTATCTCAAGACACTGAAGATGGTGTACTGCCTTATCATGGTTTAATTTACATACTAGTATTGTAAATGTCCTCAGACAACTTGTATCAGTTCAAGATGAAGTTCGAGAGGTACACCATTAAAAAAAGATTGGTAGTAATTTTGTTCTAAATTCAATATACTTTTTGCAATGCTGATATTTTAGCTATACAATTTTTCTTAATTATGTGTCATGCATGGACGATTATAGGTCATTTTAAAGAAGGTAATTGCCTACAGACACCTAGGTAATTAAACTAATTCAAACCTATTTGATCCACTGAAACAGATTTAATCATCACATAAAATAAAAACAAGACACAAAGTGATAATTCCTATACATTAAGACTGTATTTCTGTATGCCCGCATTGTTAGTGAATTATTGCGTCATATAATATATCGCCCCAGACTGCCAGATGTCACTAAAAGAAAAATAAGCCATGCAGTGCAAATTACATGCTCATGTTTGTTCAACAATCATAGGTTATCAAAGTCACCTACACTCACATAATTCTTTTGAAAGATACCACCGTTTATTGCAGTGGAACTCCTGCGGTTCACTAGCAACAAGCAGACGCGGTTGACACATGCTAGCAGCTGACAAGGTTGCCACAGCGTAATTTGCGGTTTAAGTGCGCTTGGATGAACTGCCTTCGTTAACGCATGGGGTCATTGACAATTCACGAGAGTTATTCATCTCTCAACTTAAACACCATCTTAGATGCACAAATCTAAATTGAATCTGATAGGTGGTAATTTGAATAAAATCTATTAAAATATTCAAAATGGTCAACAAATAATTTACTTGAGCATGCTCCAATAGTGACTGCCATTGAGGGCAATAGTGTAAATTATTTCCCCAAGGGAATATCCTGCGGCTTCGGGAATAGTAAATTATAGAGGATATTCCCAAGGGGAAATCATTTACATTATTGCTCGAAATTAGGCAGTCACTATTTGTTTTATTATATACCCTATACTGACTCTTGTCCCATTTCCTCCGCGAAGGCCAAAAGAGCTTACAAAGCCCCCTACCCAGGTCCATTGTTAGCATTATAAGCTGTGATGTCATCATATGCTCAACAAAAATTTTTGCCTATGAAATTTCTGAGACTCTTACTTGACAAATTCAATTGCGATTTACATGCGAAATAGATTATCATAACACTTGAAATTACACAGACATATTGAGCTTAGGGAACTTTATCCACGTTGCTTATATTGTACCGTTCACGCACGTCTGTCATGGTGAACGGAGTTGATTTGTGTTTGTGCTCATCCTCCATTTTTCTGTTTTTCATCTGTGCAGTAATGATGCACAGACGTTTCCAAGGGTAATAGAAGTTGCAATCGTGACGTCAGCGGGCAATAGTTCAAATGTATTTTCCCGCTGACGTCACATTTGAGGGAATATAACTTTCGAAGGGAAATAGTAAATCTATTTCGGAACACGTGACTAGGTATTGACCAATCATAATTAGTGTTACATATTGGGTATATAATAAATACTATGATCCAACTCTAATTTTTTGGAAGAGAGTATTAATAGTAATACTATTGACTTATTAACAAACACAAGATGACCCAAATGCTTCAAAATCAACCAGTAAATAATATAAAATTGTGAACATGTTTTAAAACTCAAGTATAGAGAACAGAATGCAATAAAAAGGAATACAGGAAACACCCATATGTTTCGAATCAGAATTGTACAAAACTGACAGAAAATAAGACATTTCAATAAAATCTTTGAGAGATATGGTGAAGATGGAGTTTGTAGATAATGACAGTTAACACACTGGCTTCAGACATAAGAGTCAAGTGACACTCAAAAATTTAAAATCAGAATTAATATTCAAATCTGATCTGCAGGTGGTTGATTTTTGCCACTACAAGACACATACAAGGAATAGAAGATTCTAGTGATGTTTGGTCTAAAAGCCTTGCTAGCACTGTTGCTGGCCAATGACATTGCAGCTAAATTTGTAGATTTGACCTACAACATCAACCCAGACATAATGAGATGGCCTGGAACTCTTCCTTATAAATCTACAGTTGCCTACTATGGACCTGTTTTGGGTGTACCTTTGTAAGTATCTCATCATCTTTGTCCAAGCTATAGATAATCAAAGAAATAAAATAACTTATTTTTACATGCTTCATTCACAAAACTATTTGGACGTGGTGAAAGTTTTTGCTTTGTCAGAGCAGACTGTTTTTTAAAAGAAGGGACTTTATAGTTTTCAAAAATCAATGTCTTGCCATAGGGTTACTAGTATTAGTGAAACATTTGTATTTTCAGTGTTGCATCAAACAACTTTGAAACAACTGAACATATTGGGACCCATATTGACACTCCATATCACTTTGCAAAAAATGGGAGGAAACTACATGAAATTCCGTTTGCTGATCTACATGGGGCCGCTGTTGTTATTGACATCAGGAACAAGACTGTTGATAACCGGGATTATGCTATTACTGTGGAAGACCTGCAAGCCTGGGAGACACAACATAATCAACCAATTCCACATGGTGCAGTTATCGTCATGAACTCTGGTTGGGGGGCTTACTGGGGAAATCAAAGTGCATTTCTTGGGAGTAACAATACCACAATGTTGCATTTCCCTGGATTTGGAGCACCTGCTGTTAAGTGGGCAATTGATAACAGAAATGTCAAAGGATTTGTGACAGATGCTGTCAGTTGTGATGTTGGACAAGCAACTGGTTTTCCAGCTCATCAAGCAGTATGTGATGCTGGGAAATGGTGTGTTGAAAATGCTGCAAATGTTGAAAGAATCCCAGCAACTGGAAGTGAGATATACGCTATGCCAATAAAGATAGAAAATGGTACTGGAGCGCCAATACGGCTATATGCAGTTTGGGACCATGTGAATCCATGGCACGTAGGAGATGCAGGCTCAATGGTAGTTCACTCCATGATATCTATATTGGCAAGCCTGGTTGCAAAATATCTGTTCATGACATAACATCATATGACACACAGAAATTTATATATTAGGCAACATGTGATCATAATAACTGTGCTTGGTTAGAAATTGAAAAACTGCACTAGTACATTAGTGGGATGATGTTGCTTAAACACATCAGATTTTGCAAACATTTTATAAGGAGATATCTCTATGAACAATGATTCATGATCATTCATCATCACTGATATACATGCATAATTTTGATTACATTTAAGATTAATAATAACCAATGGTAAAGATTTCTCTTTAAAAATGCACAAGCAGTCCATGAATTAAAAATAAATATTTGGTAGCTCTGATTCACAGGCTGGTATCGAAAGATTTGTCCGCTGTGACGGAGCATGCTATTTTTCATAAAAACGCTGAGAATGCTTCACGATTTATTTTTTAACTCATATGTTTCGTTATATCAAATAAAATTACTTACTCCATGCAATGGATATATCATTTGCGGGTAACCGTCACTTCTGTTTGAAGTCCAATAACACTAGGAGTAAAAGCTATTGAAAACGGTAGCGGTGTAACGAGTGACTCGGGTAATCAACTAGAACTCGAATGAGCCTAGAAAAATGATCAATCGATTGAAAATTTGAAAATCGTGATCCTGAAAATTTCTGAGAAAAATCGCGATTTACCCTCCATACTCACGATTTAAGCAAGGAATGTAGCTGCCTTTACGTTTTTCTAATTAATTACATACTTCTGACTCTATTCTGCAGATTGTTTTGTTGATTTAATGGTCATTTGATGAGAATAACGTATGAGAATCGTATTCATTGCTTTTCATGTTTGTTTACATCCGGTATATCGCATGCGCATGCGCATATGTATTTGGACGGAAGTGGGAATTTCAAAATCAAAAAATCCATAAAAGGCTTATATCATTGCTAATATACGGTAAATGTGCGTCTAAAACATCCAAAACGGAACCCAATCCGTTCAGAACTACATCATTGAGTGGTCATTAAACCAAAAGTCGATGTAAGTAGTGACAAATGCCTTGATTTTCCAGGTTCTAATTTTTTGTAAATTTTTTTAAAAAATAATCGCCAAAATCGTCTACTCGAGTAGAGATTTTGGTGGCGAGTCCCACCACTAGAAAACGGCGCCAGAGTATCAAACTCTAAAATGTACCATTTCTTTTTTAACTTTTTAATGGCATGATATTGTGACACGATAATATTAACATATGTTTTCAGTATAACTCTGAATGTATTAATGAGATATTAATGCATTGCGTCTTTTTAATTTTTTTTATAAAAAATAATATTAATATTTTTTTGTCCGCTGTGACGGAGCATTTTCACAGTTCACATTTGCAACTGCTCCGTCACAGCGGACAGAAAAATTAAAAATTATTTTTTATAAAAGAATTAAAAAGACCAAATACATCAACATCTCATATACCTTCTTAGTTATGCTGAAACCATGTGTAAATATTATCGTGTCACTATATCGTGCCAATAGAAAGTTAAACAAGAAATGGTACATTTTGAAGTATGATACTCCGGCGCCATTTTCAATAGCTTTTCTTCCCAGCGTAATTGAACTTCAAACAGAAGAGAAAGTTACCCGCAAATGATATATCCATTGCATGGAGTAAGTAATTTTCTATGGTGTAACGAAACATAAGAGTTAAAAAATAAATCGTGAAGTATTCTTAGTGTTCTTATGAAAAATAGCATGCTCCGTCACAGCGGACAAATATTTCGATACCAGCCCGTGTGATTGTGACTAATTGTGGTTTCAGAATTTTTTGCAGTGTTTTGGTATACTCTCTGGTGAATTGTCTCTTTTGACACCCATGCTTTTATACTATCACACATACGTTTTTACAATGCATTGCACTCAAATGAGTGACTGTTGTCATCAGTTGGCTGCCAACAAGAAAGCTTCAATATTGCACCGTTACAACATGGGTTCCATCGAGGGATATCCCTGTCACTGAACACAAGTGCCCACACACGCCTTGAACCAGGCAGCCAATCAGGCTCAGAATAAACTAATGACCAATGAGATATCACAGAGATTTCTCAGGTATATTCAAACTTCAAATTAAATTGATTTTTGCCAATGTCAGTACATACACGCAAAATTAGCACTGAAAGTGGGACATTTGAGACTTCTTCGTTGGTAAGTTGATAAGTAAGAATGTCAATTTGCAAAAACGTCCAGGCCAGTCTTGACTGTGATCTCTTATGTCTGTTATATAGGCGTGATGATATTTACAACATTGATAGAGTGTGGACAAAGTTTGAAATTGCCTTCTGTATCCAATGATGATTCATCATACTTTATCAAACAAATTATAATTGATGTCATGATTATATTTTAGATATTTCTGACCAACATGAAAAATGAAAAAATATAAATGAGTTTTTATGTTTACAAAGTAACAACTTGAAGATAATGATTCTAGCTAATGACCAAGACAAGACAATTATAAGTTTATATCTTTAACGTCCATAAATGTTTGTTAAACTGAACACCTCTTGGAAGAGTAACTTTACAGCTCATTTAATAAGAAAAAATGCAAGTTCCAACCCATCTCTTGTTTCTTAATTCTACAAAACGAAAAGGGAAATAATTTAAATAAAATGAAAAGATTATTTATAAGGAGTGTATTAGTGACTTATTAACAAACACTAAATATGACATGACATATATACTTCAGATTCAACCTGTAAATAATCTGAAATCATGAATATGTTTTAAAACTCAAACATCGAGGAAAGAATGAAATAAACAAGGAATACAGAAAAGGCCTATATATAAATTCAAAGTTGTATAAATTTACAAGAAAATAAGACACTTCGAGCTCATTATAGAGAGATATAGTGAAGAAGGAGTTTGTAGATAATAACAGTTTGCACACTGGTATCCTAAATCTATATTTAGTGTCCTGACATAGCAGTGTAGAACTTATCATTATCAGATATATTTTAAAGTGGAGTTCCTAGCTAGCTTTCCATTTTTGCCATTTTAAGGATAGGACGCATACAAGGACAGAAATAACGATTCTACCAAAGATGACTGGTCTAAAGGCCTTGCTAGCGCTGTTGTTGGTCAATGAAATTGCAGCCAAATTTGTAGATTTGACCTACAACATCAACCCAGACATAATGAGATGGCCTGGACACCTTCGTTATAAATCAACAGTTGCCTTATATGGACCTGTTTTGGGTGTACCTTTGTAAGTATCACATCATGTTTAGTCCAAGCAATAGATAAACAAGGAGAAATAAGAGAACTCATTTGTACATGTTACTTTTACAAAATACAAATATTGGGAGGAGGGGGTGAAAGATTTTTGTTTTGTCAGACCAGATTGTTTTTGGTTTTACATTTTAGGGCGCCGTCAATGTGAAATGTAATTATCTTTTGGAACAACATAGATGAATTGTCCTGTAAATGTCAAAGAAAGATCATTGAATATAAGCATTGACATAGGGTCCATGTGTGCAAGGTCAAGAACCCATCATGTTATATCATTCAAGTTGTGGACCACTCAGCCAAGTATCATTTTAAATTCATAAATACACTGAACACTTTTTGGCTGAGGTCAGAATCAATTCCTGAATATCTTGCCAATTATGAGTATAACATTTACTATTTCAGTGTTGCATCAAACAACTTTGAAACTTCTGAACACACTGGGACACACATTGACTCTCCATATCACTTTGTGAAAAATGGGAGGAAACTGCATGAAATTCCTTTTGCTGATCTACATGGGGCCGCTGTTGTTATTGACATCAGGAACAAGACTGTTGATAACCGGGATTATGCTATAACTGTGGAAGACCTGCAAGCCTGGGAGACACAACATAATCAACCAATCCCACATGGCGCTGTCCTTGTGATGAACTCTGGCTGGGGAAATTATTGGGGAAATTACAGTGCATTTATTGGGGGACATAACTTTACAGAGCTGCATAACCCTGGATTTGGAGCACCTGCTGTCAAATGGGCAATTGATAACAGAAATGTTAAAGGATTTGTGTCCGATGCTGTCAGTTGTGATATTGGACAAACAACTGATTTCCCAGCTCATCAAGTGTTATGTGATGCTGGGAAATGGTGTGTTGAAAATGCTGCAAATGTTGAAAGAATCCCAGCAACTGGAAGTGAGATATACGCTATGCCAATAAAGATAGAAAATGGTACTGGAGCGCCAATACGGCTATATGCAGTTTGGGACCATGTGAATCCATGGCATGTTGGAGATGCAGGCTCACTGGTAGTTCACTCTGTGTTAGCTTTATTGGCAGGCCTGGTTGCAAAGTATTTGCTCACATCGTAAATGAATGCAGCATATGTACAGAAGTACATATGTAGATTCACATTCTGCCAATTCATAGACAAATATTTTCAGTTTGAAGAAAAACTAAGCATTTACACAAACATTTCAGATGAATGATTTAGTTATCATACCAGGGATCACCCCACACCTCTATGATGTACATCAAAAAATCTCTAAATCCAAAAATGCTGCATTTATAATTACAAAAAAAACAAGAAATAAATTTCTCCACTCAGAAATTTGTATAGAGTGACTTGTAGAATTGATAAATAAAAGACCTTTGTATGACAATTCATAATAACTAATTTTCAAACAAATATCAATTTCGAAAAACATGCTTCCTGCTGATATTGTGGATATTCTAGTAGAAATGAATAAAACGTATGACATACAATACAGAATTAGTTTTAATTGGTGCAATATTAATTCAGACTGCACTTTATACCATTTTGATGACCATGTGCCTTTTTGGATGAACATAATTCATTTCAAACACAGTCTAAGTCTTTCATGTTTTAATAGAAAGTGCTTTAGTGTACCCATATTACTAATTGAGTGTTCATTTTTTTAGAAGATGTGTACAACTAGAAAATTGAGCGGTTTTCTTTTCAAAATTTGAAAAAATTCTCATCATTCAGATCTGTCTTAGGCTTCCTCACATATGAATGAAACCCCCTGACATCAACTTCTGTGTATTGGTGAATAGGACTTGAGTACTAATTTGTCCTATTATTATACGAACATTGGGATGTTCATTTGGCGAAGAACCCTTTCGGAAAGTTTCTGACGGCTTCAGAAGCATGCCAAACAATGCATTTTGGTTCACCAAAATTGACAATTTATCCAATTCGCAAGAGTGCGTTTAGTGGATTCCTTCATTCGTGAGGAGGCCTTTATCTTTTATTACAGTTGAATATATATTTAGACTAGTTTCACTAACAAACGAAAACAATTAAGGTTTTATCTGTACTGAAGGTCAATTTTCTGAAAAATCTATTTTTGAACATACTACTCTAAATAACATGCTATGATAAGTCAATGTCCCTGTAACACCATCCATAATACAAGCCATTTCCTGTGAATGAATGTGATTTGGGATTGTTAACTTCCAAAATTATGAAGAATAAAGATAACGCTAGTAGATCTGGAGAGTTACTGGAAGTTACACTTAATTTACTGAGAGAAACCATTCTATTGTTATTGTCCCAATTTAATAAAGCAATTGATTACTCATGATGCATTTTTAAAACATTGAAGTTAATATTTTGAAGTCTTTGTTGGAACAATATTACCCTGTTGTGGTACTATGCTGTTATTCTTCCAGCATAACAGAGAACGAAAGATAGCTCGAAATGACTTTCTCCACTCAGGACACTTCCAATCATATATGAATACATTTATGAAGCTATTAGTATATATGAAACCATGGCAAATGTTCTCTAGAAGAAACACACCTCCAGTTTGGAAAGATTTAAAATCTTGCGTTATGTCTTCCTGAATGATCCTATATGTTGATATAACAGTGAATGGCATCCATGCGATTATCAACCAACCCACCAGTAAAAACATCATGATTGCTGTCTTATGTTCTTTCCTTGTATGGTGTGATTCTTGAATCATTGTGCTTTCAATCGCCTTTTTCTGCTGTCTTGCAATCCAGAAAATCCTACTGTAAAGTGCGAGAATCACTGTTATTGCCATGAAAATAAGTGGTAGACATACCCCATAGAACACAGGTCTCGTGGCAACATCAAACACCATGCAATGTATTCCAGAATGCCACCTGTTTGAAATAATTAGCGACGAGCTAGCGATCGACATTGATATCCAAATTATCGTCAAGGATATGATAGCAGTTTTTTTGTTCCAGAATAAATTATAGTTCAAAGGATGTAGAATTTTCATGTATCTTTCAACTGTGATAATGAGTAAAGTATACAGAGATGTGCCCGCGGATAGAAAAACTGCAACACAGCAGGCAATGCAGTCATAACTGATTTTATGATCCGCATAACTCATCCAGTATTGCATATATGTACAATAGATATGATAAAGTCCGACTGTCATGTCACATATAGCCAAGTTGATGACATAATAATTTGTCAATGTCCTTAATGTTTTGTTTTTAATAAATGCAACAAATACTAATGCGTTGCTCAAAATGATGACACCCGATATGATCATGTAGTATATCAAAATTATAAGTGAAGCGTCTCTGTTTAAACCACTGATAGTTTTCTCTGTCCAATTCACTGCCATGTCAGTATGTTTATGAACCACGGGCTAAGTGCATTGGAAGTTATAGCCATCAATTAATGTTAATGTACATGAATAATAGATTTGTATCTACTCCTACTAAATAATGTTTTTTATGTTTTTTCTACAGAATGAGACTCCTTAGACCAGCATGTTAAATCTGTTCTCTGTTCAACAGCAAAACAACAGTATGTACTGATTATTTGAAAGTATGTGTAAGATCACACCAGACAATAAGCTGATTAGCTTATATCTCAATCTACTGAAAGCATCAACATCCAAGATAATTAACTATTGGCTATATTTTTTGGACAGGTACATTAGTGCCAGCTAATTGATATAGAATGATTGATAAATGGGAGAGAACAAAGTGAGCATTCACTTTGAATCAACATATACATTACTGAGTTATTCCCTGATGTTTGTCAGTATCAAATCAATTAACCATTATAAAAATACACAAGGCATTAACATGACAAAATGTCACCACCTAAAGGTCAATTTGAAGCAAGTTGAAAACAGACCTTTTTGACCTTTTTTGACCTTGAGAAGGTCATTAAAGGTGAAATGTCAAATCTAGAGTCAGATTTGAATTTCTGAGAACATGTAGATGATTTTGAAAAAAAAAATTAGTCAATTTGAAGCAAGTTGGAAAAAGACCTTTTTGACCTTGAGAAGGTCATTGAAGGTAAAATGTCAAATCTAAAGTCATATTTGAATTTCTGAGAACATGTAGATGATTTTGAAAAAAAATTTTAGTCAATTTGAAGCAAGATGAAAAAATACCTTTTTGACCTTTTTTGACATTGAGAAGGTCATTGAAGGTCAAATGTCAAATCTAAAGTCAGATTTGAATTTCTGAGAACATGTAGATGATTTTGAAAAAAAAATTTAGTCAATTTGAAGCAAGTTGAAAAAAGACCTTTTTGACCTTTTTTGACTTTGAGAAGGTCATTGAAGGTCAAATGTCAAATCTTAAGTCAAATATAAAGTCAGATTTGAATATCTGAGAACACGTAGATGATTTTGAAAAAAAAATTTAGTCAATTTGAAGCAAGTTGAAAACAGACCTTTTTGACCATTTTTGACCTTGAGAAGGTCATTGAAGGTCAAATGTCAAATCTAAAGTCAAATCTTAAGTCAGATTTGAATTTCTGAGAACACGTAGATGATTTTGAAAAAAAAATTTAGTCAATTTGAAGCAAGTTGAAAACAGACCTTTTTGACCTTTTTTGACCTTGAGAAGGTCATTGAAGGTCAAATGTCAAATCTAAAGTCAGATTTGAAGGTCAAATGTCAAATCTAAAGTCAGATTTGAATTTCTGAGAACATGTAGATGATTTTGAAAAAAATTTAGTCAATGTGAAGCAAGTTGAAAAAAGACCTTTTTGACCTTGAGAAGGTCATTGAAGGTCAAATGTCAAATCTAAAGTCAGATTTGAACTTCTGAGAACATGTAGATGATTTAGAAAAAATTTGAAGTCAGTCTAAACAGTATTTGTAAAGTTATAGGAAGTTGTAAGAAATTGTTACAGACACCGGACGCCGGACGCCGGACGCCGGACGCCAACCTCCAACCACCAACCGCCGTCACAAAAAAAACGGAGACCATAACAATATGTCACCACTTTTGGTGGTGACATAATAATAGTAGATTTCTATAACACATACCATGGGCTTTCAATTTTTCAATTAGAAGGGTATGCAACTCTGTGTAATAACATGAGACCTTCAAAATGAGCAATGCCATGCTTCCCTTTTATGCTAATATTTCAAAAAGTATTACATAAATATATATGTTTTATTATTGCTTTGAATAAAAATCAATTTTCAATATAATTAAAGCATAAAATATATTCAATTTCATGTAAAAGTAAACAAAAAAGACCAATAAGAATAAGAGGTATCAAGATGTTCTCTTCAAGTATTGCATTGTGGGTAATTATTCAAGAACACATTCCAAAAAAACTATAATTTGTGGGTGAATGTTCACTTTCTGTATTGTCATAATTACAATGAATTCCATTTTTTATTAAATTATCAACATGTATGTAGATGATCACGTTTTTATTTTTGAGTTATTTCTTTAAATCATCCATAAAAAGGACAAAATAAGATTTTCTTGGAATGTGTACATTCTCCAATTTTGAAAAGCCAAAGGCAATGTTTATGTATGAAATATGGGAAGTTGCCTACCCTTCTAGTTGAATACATACTAAATAGAGATCCCATAATACCCTTAAATGTTACACACATGTATTTCAAGTTTCTTGTTTAATCATAACATATCCACATATTCCTCTCCTCAACGTTTTGTTTAATTTGCGGAATTACAAGTATCAAAAATCAATCAATACTTATTTTAAAATATTTGTTACCTTAGTGACTGACATAAAAAAAACACTGTTAAACTCTCTAGTAAGATCAGCAAACAATAAAATTCACAGGGGGTGAAATGATCAGAATGCTTCTAATATGATGTCTTACCTCATTCAGATCAATGATTTCATTCTCAGCAAGTGATAATATTGACAGGGGGTGAAATGATCAGAATGCTTCTAATATGATGTCTTACCTCATTCAGATCAATGATTTCATTCTCAGCAAGTGATAATATTGACAGGGGGTGAAATGATCAGAATGCTTCTAATATGATGTCTGACCTCATTCAGATCAATGATTCCATTCTCAGCAAGTGATAATATTGACAGGGGGTGATATGATCAGAATGCTTCTAATATAATGTCTTACCTCATTCAGATCGATGATTTCATTCTCAGCACGTGATAATATTGACAGGGGGTGATATGATCAGAATGCTTCTAATATAATGTCTGACCTCATTCAGATCAATGATTCCATTCTCAGCAAGTGATAATATTGACAGGGGGTGAAATTATCAGAATACTTCTAATATGATGTCTTACCTCATTCAGATCGATGATTTCATTCTCAGCACGTGATAATATTGACAGGGGGTGAAATGATCAGAATGCTTCTAATATGATGTCTTACCTCATTCAGATCAATCATTTCATTCTCAGCAAGTGATAATATTGACACGGGGTGAAATTATCAGAATGCTTCTAATATGATGTCTTACCTCATTCAGATTGATGATTTCATTCTCAGCAAGTGATAATATTGACAGGGGGTGATATGATCAGAATGCTTCTAATATAATGTCTTACCTCATTCAGATCAATCATTTCATTCTCAGCAAGTGATAATATTGACAGGGGGTGATATGATCAGAATGCTTCTAATATGATGTCTTACCTCATTCAGATCAATGATTCCATTCTCAGCAAGTGATAATATTGACAGGGGGTGATATGTATTTTGGTACATGATCAGAATGCTTCTAATATAATGTCTTACCTCATTCAGATCAATGATTTCATTCTCAGCAAGTGATAATATTGACAGGGAGGGTGGCAAGTGTTTTGCACAGCTGTGTAAGGTTGTCAGGATGTTGCCATGTAAGAGCAGTGTCTGAAATTGATGAGACAGTATATCATTTGTTCATATCAGTGTAAGAACATATCACAACAATAATTAAAGCTTATAAACAACCACAAACTAACTAACTAACTAATGCAATAAAACAACAATGCCACGCAGTGCAAATCCAAATGAACAAAATATTCATGAATCAATACATGTCACACATTAGGTGGCAAATTTGAATTTTCTGAGAGGCAAATCAGAAAAATTATACAATATTTGCAACCTACTCTAAATTCTCTTTCATCTGAATATCATAAAGTCAGACAGTGCAAATCCAAATGAACAAAATATTCATGAATCAATACATGTCACACATTAGGTGGCAAATTTGAATTTTCTGAGAGGCAAATCAGAAAAATTATACAATATTTGCAATCTACTCTAAATTCTCTTTCATCTGAATATCATAAAGTCAGACTTCAGATATATCTAAAGATAAAGGCACATTGTAACACAGCCAAAAAAAAAATGGTTAAATTTTTTTCCAGGCTTTAGAGTCAATTTCACGTGTAAAACCTTCTCTGGTGATTGTATTTTCAAACTATGCATGAAGGTCCATTCAAAGTCACCTGTTGAACCTTGAAAAGTGGTATTTAGACTGAGGATTGAAAGGGGTTCACGACAACTTTCAGCTCATCTTTATTACGACAGATCGGAAGTGAATTTTCCAGTCGAGTAAATGGTGATAATGTTCTTATTTATGAAGCGGGGAAGTCAAAACATTACTAATAGAAATCATAGCAAGCATAAAAAGATCATTTAGAAGCATTTAAAATCAAATCCACAGCAAAATCTGAATAATCGAAATATTCACACGCTGACATCACAGAACGCACTTCCCGTTTTATAATCAATAATTTTATCAATCAAAAAATATTTTTATGAATTTATCCGACATCTGCTTAAATATGGTATGTATTGTATACTTGTGTTGATTGTTAAATTACAAAATAGGTAGAGTAAACAATATGTCAAAGTCATTTGATCTCCTCCGAGAAGCAATATTTTGTCACTTGTATCTCCCAAATTCCCGGTTTTTCTTGACCCTCACCCATACATGGCTGACTAAAATTTCAAAATGTAATATGGTTTGATTGACATAGACGCATGAATATTGATGATGAAACATCCACTCTAATTCTTCCGAGCAGCTGCCACTGATGGCAATTGACGGCAAAACCCCAGTCAGAGCCTATTCTATTTCAATTTCAATTTATTAAATATATATGCATACAACAATACAAAGATGATGAAGGGAGCGAGACACCACTGAAATCAATCAAAATCTAAAGGCTTCTATTCTTGTATCTGACTGGTATTCATATTCTGCGAAAACAAAATTTTTATGTCCATATAATACTACTAAAAGTTTGTAAAGGATTGAATGTTTGTTTATCAGACTTAACGTTCATTAGAGCTTTAAACTCATCACTTTAAGGTTATCTTGAACATACTTATAGTTCTTGGATTCCAGAGACACTTCTGTAACAGCATTGTACACACAAATGGCACTATCGATAGTGGTAAGTGAATTATCCAATACCAACCCTATAATCGCTCAGTCAGATTTTCAAATAAATTTTATTTTTTCTTGATTTTTGTTACTCTTAGAAAAGTCGGGTGTGCATTTATTAGAGTGTGTGCGTCTAATGGAGATAATGTGGTATGCTCTGGATGGACAGAGGGACTGACAAGTGTCCCTCTTTAACAGGGTACTTTTTTAAATTGAATTCTGTCATCTAGTATTCTTTGTAATCTTACTGGATGGAGGGCTTCGCTTCACTATATCCCTACAAAACTTCATTTGTTGGGATAATTAGTTATGTTTTGGAGAGTAGGGAGTCTATCCATAATATATGAAAAATCAGAAAATGATAAATAACATCTTTAATGGGAGAAGGGGTCAAGATCAAATGGAACTTATTACATTTTGAAAATAGAAAATCCTTAATATAACAAATGCAAGTGTTGTGAAAGCCCACATAAAACAGGTACATGTATTATAGAAAGTACTGGCATCAAATTCCTAACAAACACCTTCAAATGAAAGACTTGGTGATAACATACCTTTAGTTTGTTGAGGAATGTAAGGTCTGGAATGGTAGATATGCTATTATCAGATACATCAAGATGTTTCAGGTTCACATTTGACTCCAAGTGTTCTAGGGCCTGAATAAGAAACATGTTACGTATCTTAGATTTTTATCATTTAAGTCTCTTTAATCATACAAATATAATGGTAGCAATATTCAAACACATATTTTTAACAACACTTAAAATTTAACAGACACATCAATAAGAATGCATATCTAGTCATAGTAGATAAAATGATTGCAAACAGTTGTTTCCTTTTTTGAATGTCTACAATATAATTGATTGAACCTATATTCCTATTCCTACCTTGATGCTATTCCCTGCAAGGTTGAGCCAAGCTAACTGCTGGAGCTCTCTAAGACCTAAAAATAATATCACCATATTAGGGTTATAATCATTTTGTGGTATAATATAAGGAAAATACAGCTGGATTCACTTGGAATATGGTCCATTCAGATAGATTATGTGACATACCAGTTAAAGTCACCAAAGCCAAGACTAATTTTCTTTTTAGTGTCTACTTTAAAAACAAAGAGTAAATACATGTAACTTGATATACTGACCAATGTAAGTGTATTTGACTTGGTTGAGTCTACTTGAGCAACTTTTGGACATATTACCAAATGATATACAAGGCTTTGTGCAAATAAGCCCAGAAAATACTCATTCCACTGAGTCTACTTTGATGGGTTAAAACATATTTGTTTTCATTCAGATATTATTGCTTGAATGTAATGTTAATATACAGTGATAAGCAAGGGACTGACAGGGCGCCTGCATCTAATGTTAAACATTTGAAAATTACTTGCAATCCTATCACAAATCTGTTTACACCCTGTCAAATGATAAAATATTGAGAGACTGAGCAAAACAGATGATATAAAGACTCTGAGCACCCTGCCCTTGAAAAGGGGATATCACTCATTTAGTCCCACTCATGTTTCAATGATTGCATGGAATATGGGGAACTCCTATGTAAGAAATATTAATTTCCTTTGCTCTTTGGGCATCATCAGGAACTAATACTTGTGAAAGTGACAGATTCCCCTCAACACATCCTCCGATCACAGGGCTTCAAAATCCAGAATATAATTATATTCTTTCTTTTTACCCCTTGCGATAAGCAGTTTGCATTTACCCAATTAAGAACTCGCAATCTGATTGGCTGCGACAGAAATCATGTATAAGTCATTGTGCGTAATTAGATCACGTGATTCAGTTTAATCGGGCGCTTCCAAATTGGTTATAGCAGGGGGAAGAAGGAGGCAGGGATTCTGGATGCCTGCTCAGGAGGATGCCTCAACAGAATGAAATCCTTAGTTTACCTTCAATGGCTACAATGCTGTTATTAGGCAAGTTTAGCACTGTCAGAGTGTGCAGCTTGGCAAGGCCAAACATCCGTGTAAGTTGGTTATTACCAATGGAGATCTGCAATAGAAATGCATATACATGTAATAATGCACGAACAAAAAGTTCAACCAATGTATACACAAACCATTCACTTACATTGACCTGATAACAAATGGTTACAGACTGGTTTCATCTATTATTTTGCTTATTCATTAACTGATGCAGAAAGGTTAATACCATTCTGAATAATTTAAAAAGAATAACTTTATATTTATTTATCAGATAACCTACTTGCTGTAGTTTTGTACAGCCATCTAAATTCTCTATTTTGGTGATGTAGTTTTTATCATAGATCAAAGTAACAGCAGCTTTATCCTCAATTGGAAGGATCTTCTTTAAATTCTGGTTGCTGTAGTCTACTAAATGGCCTGGAATCATAATTTAGTGATAATAGCTCACAATAGCTACAATGCACATTTAGGTATTTTCTAAATATTGTCTAAACTTGTACATACAAATAAGTTCTAGACTACCCAACTCGTGCTGAATTTCACCATATCAGATGGCCTATCATTATAATCAAACACTTTGGAGAAGATTCTTGAGAGATTTGGTGGTACGATTCGACACCAGTAAGAAGAACTCTTACTGAAATGTAAAGTTTTTGAAAACATTTCAGTCTGGGATGTCTTGTCAGCCTGTTTCTTTTAGATTAAGTTTTAATTTTTCCCTGCGCAAATGAAATTGTGAGGACGACTGTAGGCCTGCGCAACATGAACCCGTATCAACACCTGACAGTGACATCTATAGGTGACAGAACCCTGGGAATATATCTCTAATAAGAGATAAAGGTTATTTCCAGGGTTTGGTCACCAATAGATGTCACTGTCATATGTTGATACAGGTTCCTGTGGCCTGCGAAAACAGAAATTTCAGTAGTCTAGATCTAAGTTAGATCTGTAAAGTAAGACTGATGATCTAGGCCTAGCCCTGAGCCTACAATTATTAAAAAGATTAGGTTTATTAGCCTAGGCCTAGCCTATAGGACGAGGCTAGAATGATATGAACTTATGTCATGATCATTGATATCTGATAATTAGGCTAGTCCTATAAACATTCAATGATTTCTTATTCGAATTTCAATTTTTGTGGGGATAGCAAAATAATCATCCTTATTTGATGATTCGATGAAAGAAATTTCACTAAGCTACCTATAACATATACATTGCTAGCAGTTTGATTTCCGTTTATAGAGTAGAAATATAGATTTTCCTAAATTTTGTTTACTAACCTGTTTCCACCATTTTGAAATATTCCCGCTTTGCCTAGTACTTTTGTAAAGTCCGTTTTGATTGGTTAAAAGTTTACTGAGGAAAAATAGGTCAAAGTATCTCGTAAATATTGAGATGTTTTGAAGCATTTATGAATTGCTTTAGGTCTTTATATCTGAAACACATCAGAATATGAATGCTTAGATTAGACTAGACAAGTTATTTGGTAAGCTAGCAGAACATTGTGCACATAAATTCCAGAGTTAAAAAAACCAATTGAAATCATTGTAACATCCGGAATCGAGAGATAGTCAATCCCACAATCCCTCTTTTACATCCGGTCATCATGAAGTAAGAAATTTTGTTAATTTATCGACAACAAATCGTAAAATATCCCAATAATCTTATATAAAATGGACTTCTGTTACTATTGATGGTAACCTTCATTCTATTATACTTCATCATGATACCATATTGTTTTGATTTTCAGGACTGAAATCTGTGCATTCAGTGGGTTTAAAATATACCCTGGCCATGGAAAAAGGGTCGTCAAAACCGATGGCAGGGTAAGTTGTGAAATATTTCATTTTTATTCATTGTATTGGTACCAGAAAATGCGATTAGGTGCTCGTAGAAAATAATTCGGAAACCACCTTCCTGCATACTTCTTCAAATTGATCTTGACCTTATGATTTCTTCTCCAGTAAATTATTCATATTGTATTAGGGACCACAGAGGTTTTTTAAGAAATGCATCAAAAAATCTGAAAAAATCCATATTTATGTAAAATTGGCTGAGAAAATCAATGAAACCATTCCCAAAGTTGTAGCTTGAACCATTAAAAAGTTATAGGGGTCTAAAGATGGAAAATCGAAAAAAAAGTTTTGTCAAAAAGTGTGTGTCACATGACATGGGATGCCATATTCTGAGTCACTGATGGGTGTCATATTTTTTAATTTTCTCAAAGTATACAAAAAAGGCATTATTAATCTGAAAACCAAATGTAGATAGCATTATTGGTTCAATTTTTATAACAAAAACAAGAAAAAAGTGTTTTTATCATAAAAAAAGTATTTGTTTGAAGTTTTCATTTCAAGTGTATCAGGGTGGGGAAGACAAATATCTTTTAAACTATGCAGCAAAAAATCTGAAAAATCTACATATATGTGTACAATTGGCTAAGAAAGGCAATGAAATCATTTTCAAATTGATAGGTTGAATGATTAAAAAGTTATAGGGGTCTAAAGACTAAAGATGAAAGTATATGTTATAATAGTCATATGACACAGTATGTCATATATGATGTCACTGATATTTGTCCAATCTTTTTTTACATTGAAGAAGACTAAAAAGCTATAAATATTCTGAAAACCACAAGCAGATAACATGATTGGTTCAGTTTTGATGACTAAAACAAAAAAATAAGGTATATTTTGGCTATACATAATAAATATTTTAAAATTCTGTTTAGTCAAGTATATTGATCAATTCATTCAAAATTATATTTTACAGCTACTAGGACATGTAGGATGGTTTGAGGAATATTTTTATCTTGATGCAAAACTCAGGCTTTGCCTCTTTATTTACATATGAGTTAAGCAGCATGAATAAATAAATCATGAAATATAAAGGCTATTTATTTCGACATTTATGATTTAGGTATTGAGGTATCACTTATCTTGTGCCTCTCTAATATTAACAAGATACCTTTAGATCTTTTTGATGGGCAGCAAGAGCAATGAGACTATTATTAAGTATTATTTGGCTCTCAAAATTTGCCTCCCAAATAATACCTTCAATTATAGAGATCAACTTGTGCCTCTTTATTAATTATTAATAATCAATAATCTTAATAATCATCATGTGCTGTTCAAGACAAGTAAGGGCTCCCCAAGAGGGGGCAGTGAGGTCGCTTTTGTCACTTTTAAAATTTCAAAATTCTCACTTTGTCACATTTAAAATTTACTTGTCATATTTTGTGAGATTCATTCCTTTTAGTCAGTCAAAGCATTTAATGCAACAAATGGTCTGTTATGTTCCATTGTTTGATTATTGGTTAGAATAAGTCATCTTAACTTGCATCAATTTACATTCAGAATGAATTGTATATTTTTGTCACTCTCAAAACACTTGTCAGTCCTATTAATATACAAAATTGTCACTTAAAAGCATCTATTTGTCACATTTGTTCGTTTTTAAGTAACCAAAAGTCCCATTTAGTCACATTTTTAGAGGCCATGTCGCCTTATCAAATACCCCTTGGGGAGCCCCCAAGTAGGAATGCTTGTAGAAATGAGTAAGTGCATCTTAAGCTTGAGCATGATCAATAAGACGTCTAATTTAGATGTGCCTCTTTATGTTTATTCTGTATTTTCAAAAAGTTTAAGTCTAGTAAATGGCTCAAAATATTGCTGATACAAAAATTAAATTCTCAAATATTATTAACCTTTTGATTAAATGTTGCTTTTTGATGAGTAGCAAGAGCAATGTGATTATTTCTGCCTCTTTTAATATCTTGAATAAATACAAATGTAAAGGCCAATTTGTGCCTTTAAATAGTCAGATGGTTATCAATCTCAATTATAATTGTGTCACTCCAATCAATTAGAAATAGATGTGCAGCTGGTCAAGCAGAAGCATAATTATAATATTATGTGCCTCTTAAGAAAATCAGATTATGCCTCTTTAATTCCCAAAAGTTCTAATTTTGGATTAATCCACAACATCATGCAAAATAATATAAATTTGAATCATATTTAGTTTTTTATATTATCATTTAAATGATATATGAAAAGCTTAACAAACGTTATTAACAATTAAGTTCAAGGGTAGACTAGTTCAAATTGACTGAAGTGAATTTGAGCCTATTATCGCCCACTTCCGGAAGTCACGTTTTGCAAAAATTTATAACTTTCTTCTGCTTTCCTGATCAAATAAATGTGATACAGACCTTAAGATGAATTTATAGAGGTAGGTAGCATATATTTCAAACCAAATATGCTGACAGGCTTGCATAAATCTTGGCCAGAAGACTGACTGAGTGACTGATCTTGAACATGACAAAATGGCGGAAGTAGATCCAAAACAATATGGCGGAAGTAGCCTGCGTTTTTTTTAATCAACGGTGCACACCGGGATCACTTGATTTTTAAATTTATTTTTATAAATTTCAAAAGAAAAGTGACTTTTCTTGCGATTGAGCTTTTGACATGGAGTTGACGGGGAGTAAAACAATGTGCAATAGTTCAGTCAAAAATATGCTCCACTTCAAACTCAATTTTCGAAAAATTATAAGCGTTTATTTGGGCAAAATTGAACAAAAGTGAAATATTTCACATGTTATTACTTCATTTCGATGTATTGAGAGTAATTATCTGTCCCCTTATTATTCAAAAAACGGTCATCAAAACTTGGGTGAATTGCCAATGTCAACAAAAATTTTCGAAAATGGCGGCGAAAATGGTTTCACCTCTCTCATATTTTGCTTCATAACAATCAGCACAAGACAGGTTACGCTACATATTAAATACCCAATGGTACAACTTTGATTAATTATTAATTTGAGACCGATTTCATGGAATTGGGTGCAATAGTTTATTGTAAAATAAATTGTAAAGTTTCATAATTTAACATGTGAACAGATACGAGCTGAAAATAAGCCTCAACCTCTGTGGTCCCTAATTGTATGCTAATGCCGTAATGTCTATCCCTGGATGGCTATGTCATAGGTTAAGATTATGCTAACCAAACTCGTCTGGCCAGTTATTTACTCCCTGATTCTGAAATGTCGGAGATACTTGGCCAGATGGGGGGGGGTAGGTATGAGATATTTCGAGGAAAATGTGTGACATATACGGTATCCGTGTGAAAAGTCCGAACAAAATGCGTTCGTTTTTTTCGGTGTTCATTTTTGTGCTGAATCGGCGATCATTTTGTGGAAGTTTTTCTACAGGAATATTTTTGCTGGACAATAATCAGGTAAAATGCTTATTTGCGTGACATATTGTGTCACGCAAAAAAAACTGGCGTGACTTCAAATTTTCCAGTTAAGGTACAGCTGGAAAGTAACATTTTGGTAAAAAATTGCTATACCAGCACATGTTATTTTCTGGTACAAAATAAAGTATGAAGACATGTGTCAATTGCCTTGCTTTTTTCAGGAAAGTATCATTACATTGTCTTCTTTAAGAATATCTAGTTGGAGTTCAATGGGAACTCCAGGAAACTCTGATATTTCACACTTTTTATTTTTCCAAATTTTCTTTCAAAGTTTTCAGACAACACAGGAGCTACCATTGACCTGTTTCCAGGTTTACTAAAAGTAGACAGTGTAATGATACTTTCCTGAGAAAAACAAGGAAATACGCACATGCCTTCATACTTAATTTTGTACCAGAAAATAACATGTGCAGGTATAGCAATTTTTTACCAAAATGTTACTTTCCAGCTGAACCTTAAGGTCAGGGTGCATGATGGGAAATTTTCTGCATTCCTCAATTGAGTCACATGTTATTTTTCAAACGAGAATCACTCCTTCCCTTCATTGTCTATATCTTCCAGTTTTGCACAAAGAGTGCACTTATGTGCCTAGAAAAGACTTGTGAGAAGAATGTTTTGATAAAATGTATAAAAAACAAGAAAATTCAGTGAAAAAAATCAGAAAATTTTCAGACATTTTTTTCACTGAATTTTCTCATTTTTTATGCATTTTACAAAACAAACCTTCTCACAAGGCTTTTCTATGCACAAAAGTGCACTCTTTGTGCAAACTTGGAAAATGTAGACAATGTGGGGAAGGAGTTATTCATGTTTGAAAAATAACATGTGACTCAATTGAGGAATGCAGAAAATTTCCCAACATGCACCCTGTCCTTAATGCGTGACAAATACGCAAATGCGGGACAGTTGGAAAGGAATATCAAGAGTTTTCAGTAGGTTTGTCCAAAATTGCGTCCCAGGGATGTACTGCTTTTCAAAAAATGTGTCCCCCCTCAAAAAACTGCCTCCTGGCCTTGAAAAAATGATCTCAGGAATTCAAAGTCACGTCTTTACACTGGACGAAATAAAAGCGAGTCTAGTATGTCATTGAATGATTCAGATACCATCACTTGTGAGGTATAACTTATATTCAACCATTAAACACACATTTTCTTTGCAAATTTTGAAGCAATTTGCTATTGATTTTGATGGCTCAGAAATATCTTACTTTAGATTAGATTAGGTGTATTGTATTGTATTAGGTGTATTAGGGGCAATCTGCACGAGGTTCCATTTTTGGTTCAGTTTCTTAAATAATGATCACTGATTGCTTTTGACCAACAGAAATCATGTCTTCAGCTAGCGGCCAATCATAGGACTCGTACTGATTATTGCTCTGAAATTGAGTATTGGATAACTATGTGTCCTATCACATGCCTCGTACTATTTCGATCAGAAATTAACTTACGGAAGGAGACTTCGAAAGAAAATTTTATTTCTTTTAGAAATAGAATTTCCTTCAATTATTAAGTGGATTATGACAAAATAAAGAGACTGAAGGTAAGATCTTTATTCTTTATCAAATCATTCATCCAAAGTTGATTTTGGGCATATGACTTGCACTGCGTCCAAAAACAAAGTTCATTTTTATTTCCGAATCCAACATTTTCTTTGCATTTTTTCATTGGTTCGACGGTGTTATTGAAAATACAGGAATTATAAGTGTTGATTCAGCAGTGTTTTCTTTGTAGTAATTCCCCTTTTTATCGTACCTAATAAAGGTACGATATTGTCGTCAGCTTGACGGGCGGGAGGCGTCTCACTTTTCAGCTTGTCTACAGGTTTCCAGCCAAACCATTTGACAGATTCATCTGAAATTTTCAGGAATGTTTCTACGTATCAAAGTTAAGAACTGATTAGTTTTTGGGCATTCTGGGTAAATTTTAAGGTGGCCATTTTGGATTTTCCGTCCTAAAATCTTCACTTTCAAGACTTGTCTACAGGTTTCCAGCCAAACCATTTGACGGATTCATTTGAAATTTACAGGGATGTTTCTACATATCAAAGTTAACAACTGATTAGTTTTTTGGCATTCTGAGTTAATTTTAAGGTGGCCATTTTGGATTTTCCGTCCTAAATTCTTCACTGTCACACTGCTGTGTTTTAGGTACGATATTGTTCACGTCTGTGCCTTGTTTCCATTGCAGCTCGTCTGGCCCAGATCTAAGATGTCGGATAACTGGGTCAGACGGGTTTGGCTAAGGTTATGCATATGCCACAGGTTAACCACAAGTATAGTAGGGATATCATAATTCTTGTTGCACCGTCCCATCGTATCGAGTGCCAATAACAGACCATCTCTAAATTCTGGTCTTGGAATTCTGAATTTGAACCTTCCCTTTCAATCTGATAACTCTCTGGATACATACTTCACTTTGATGAAGGGTGAGTTGAGTAAGATGCAGACTTACCTTAAAACTCGTTTTTAAATGTTATGCTCCCTTGTTAGTTATCCCAAACATACCCTATTGTATTTACATGAGAACAGTGGTTTTAAATCCAGTTCCATGTTCATAATGAAGTCGGTGAAAATCTTATGCTCTATAATTCAATGTTGAACTCTGTTATTTCTCAAATCTTATCTCTTCTTGTATTTTCAGTCCTTTGTATTTATTAACTCAAAATGTGAAAAATCACATGCAATGAAGCGTAATCCACGTAAAATCTCCTGGACAGTGATGTACAGACGTAAGAACAAGAAGGGTCAGCAAGAGGAGTTGTCCAAGAAGAGGACACGTCGTACAACCAAGTTCCAACGTGCCGTTGCTGGCGCCACTCTCACAGACATCATGGCCAAGAGGAATCAGAAGCCAGAAGTCAGGAAGGCACAGAGAGAACAGGCCATCAGGTAATTGAAACACAGTGAAATAATGTATTAGCTACAAGCAAAACTCATAGCAATGATGAATTAAGGTGAACTGGACTAGAGTCTCTGAATGACTTGGAGAAGAGAAAAGCCTTTTCTGAAAGCTATCTTAATTTTTAAATTCTTTGAATACAATTACAATACAATTAAGCCATTCAGGTTTACTATATGTTTATTAATATTAGGTGTTAAAACACAAGGTATCACCAAGACATGAATGATGCCCTCCTGAATCTTTTAAACATTTCTCTATTTGAATTTATTATCATGTTTTTTAGAGCTGCCAAAGAAAAGCAGAGGGCCAAGGATGCTAACAAGAAGAGCTCCAAGGTAAGCGGCAATGTTTGTGGAAAACTACATTTGTGTTATATTATGTTTAAAATCAACTATGACTGAAATACTTGTTTTTTATTGTGAAACTAATAGAATTCTAAACTATCTTGACATGTCTGTCAAGAACTCCCATGCACTATAGCTTAATTGATTTTGTAATTGACACAGAGTTCAATATTGATCCTCCTAATATATTGAGATTCAGAAATATGGACCAAAATGGGTGGTCTTGAATAAGACTAGTTTTAATATCCTAGATGCGAGTAGGAATAAATAGAGGATATCCTATGATTTATGAGTGATATGATTTTTATCCACGAATGGATATGATATCTGCACGAGCGAGCGTAGCGAGAGAGTGCAGATATCAATATCCATGAGTGGATTAAAATCATATCACGAGTAAATCATAGGATGTTCTTTTTATTCCATAGTTAGATTCATCATCAGAATCGTCGGAAATTAAGTTATTTAATTCGAATTTCCAAACGATCCGGCGATGTTGACACTTAGCCTCGTTTTGAGTCTGAAGTAGCAAAAATCCATAAACCATCGCATACGACGTCGTATGTCATGGCTAAAAAACCGTATGTTATGGTTTAGTGAAAATTTGTCAAAAATATCATATTTACCACTGATTACAAAAATACTGTTTTTATTTTCACATGTTATCCTATGAATATCATGCTAACTATGGAATAATCTTGATTTACGTCATTAAAAATTCACAATTCAGTCAAACTTGTCATATTTGGAATCTACATGTAAAATTACATCTAAAAATGTAGTTTTGAAAAGAGTTCATCAACTTTGAAAATTTAATTTTCTTTGAAAATGTGACTTCTAGGTCGGGGAAATTCCCCATAGACCCCATGTTGTGAAACTACAAAAAGTGAAATATCATTTCTTGTATTGAGCAGATACTATTTTCTTTTACTGGACACATTTTAATTTGTATAACTATCACATACATAAGGGTTATTTGGAAAGTGAACCACTAAAACTGATGCATATTCAAGTTTAAGGGAATTTTGTAATACCCTGCCATGTTATTTCCGCCGGATCAGCCACCTGGTGGCGAAACTGGTAACTACCTACTCACATCTGAGTAATTGATATGATGAATTAAGGTGAACTGGGACTGGAGTCTCTGAATGACTTGGAGAAAAGCCTATTCTGGACTTACACATGCTCTAGCGGGCCCCTCTAGCTTCTAAATAATCTGAGCTTTGTATTTGTTACATAGAATACATTAGCAAATTATTCAAAAATTTAAAAGGAGACCACAAGTTAACCAATTAAATAGTTTTTCTGGCTCTGAGTTTTAGAGAAAAAATTATTTGCATCCATTTAGATCTTGAAAACAGAAATTTCGCAAATTTTAAAAATGAAATAAAAATTTTGTTGATTTACAAAGTTAATTTCTTTTTTCTCCGTAGTTCTATGTAAAATGGCACCTTGTGTAGAGTTAATTGCCACTACTCAATCTCATATTTAAGGGAAGGATAAGATTTACAATTGCTAGATCTTGGTCAATCACATGCTGAACCTCGACCTCTATTACATCATCGTTTTTTGATTAGTTAATCTAATAACCAAGTGTACAGGACATTGTTGCAAGTGTCCCATTTATTGCCCAATAACACTAGACAAATGTTTTTAAATTACGCAAAACAAAATGCATTGGAGTCCCAGGAAATGTCAAATTGAACAAAGCCCCGGAGATTAACAGGCAAATTTCACGACATGACAATTAATTTTTGTGGTTTAACCTCAATCGCAAATATAGCAAAACTAAATCACACACAAAAATATGGGGAGTACAGTAGTAGGATTCTTTTAAACCTCAGTGGTCAGAATTAATTTAAATGGAGAGCACATTGAAACATTTTTGACAAAACATATGATTTTTGTCCATAATAAGTTATATACTGTTTAGCCTTATTAATTATATTCATATATGTCCTTGTATTTATGTTTGTTGTTTGTGTACTTTTAGCCCGCTGCTAAGGCTGCCTCCAAACAGAAGGCTCCCCGTGCTGCACCCGCAATGAAGTCACGTGTAGGAGGAAAACGATAAACATTGTTACATATACTGTACAACACATCTATATTGTAAATTAAAGACTGTCTGTGAGAGAAATGAAGATTGTGTTCTTGTTAATTCAAGGAAAGAATGCTGCTGTACTAGCAGTATTGAAAATGCATTTATATTGTTACCACATTTTCTTGCAATAACATCTGATATGATGAGGATCTATTAAGAAATCTGGTAGCAGGTTCATTGAATTGGAATTAGATCCACTACTTATGGTAACTGGGTAATACTTGATAAGCTGGAGCAATAGTTTGTCCAATATCACAATTCACAGTAAACCAGAATTATAGTACACTGTATTGACATGCTCATATTGAATTAATCCTATAGTCTAAAAATCATTTCTTGTCTCCTCTCATTATTGGGGTCAATTCTCAGAAAGTGCTATATACAGTCATCCCTTTTGTACCTATCCATCCAATGTAATCAAAGTAGCAAACTGATCCATCAGAAAAGTTTCATGATGAATCACATACAAGTTTAGTTATAGAACCTGAAATCATCAACTAACCAACTATTAATTAAATATTTCAATCTTTATTACAAGTGTATATCAACAATACATACTGCACTGACATTTTAAAGAAGCCAGTGAAAAAATCTAACCAATAGAAAACATTTCATGTGGCCTCTTAAACACTGTCAAAAATGGTAAGAAATATGATGCACTCAGCTGTTCAGTTGATTCCATTGATCAACAATTCATATAGAGGACATGGGAGTCTTGAATCAAAGCCCACTACTTTTACTGATTATTTCATTGGTAAACACCACAGTGATAGGGCTGTTAAGGTCATACTCCATATTCAGAGGCCCAATATACTGCAATAATAGTCCATTGTTTAGTGAATATAGTATTAAATAATAATTATACTGACATCACACATAAAGGTCAACCTACTGTGCCAACCTAACACTAAAGTTGACTGGAAGAGGTAAAGATGGTCATCCTCATAGTAACATAAACATCTCTATACACTAGATCTGAATCTTCATCCCCATACATTGATTTCATAACCTCCAAGCAGAATTAATGTTCATCAAGTAACTGCCCAATCTCCAGCCATAACCTCCAAGCAGTTTTGGCAAGGTTCATTTGATTTTTCTGCCAGGTATCTACGACATCTTTCACAACGGAAACTTTCAGCTGGCATGACAACCAGTGTAAAGTGGCCAACACTGGTGCTGCCATCTGGAAACACAACAGTGTGAATGTGAAGGGTGAAGTAAAACAGTATGTTAGATTAATAAATTGATGTAATATAATATTTTGTATTGGTCTAATTGGAATATTATTGCAATGTACCGCAACATTGAAAGTTTTTGGATATTATATATCATCCTTGGCCCAAGGGAATTTCACTTTCTTCCTGAGGTGAAAGAGCAGTGAAGTCTTATGATGAAGGATATCATATTGCACTCTCACTATTCTTCCACCATACCTTGCATTGAGACATTGGTTGTGCCATGTAATGTTTGAGACTCATCTGGTAGCACAGCTGGGGGATTCTCCAACAGTGAAGTCCATGAACATTGCAGAACTTCATTCAGAGGGGAACTACATGAGGTCTGCTCCTGTTGTAGAGTCTAAAGACAGAAAACTACTTTCTACAAGATCCTGATAACTGATTTCTGTGTGAAAACTTACTGTTCCATGACAGCGTTAAAAGGTTATGATAAAGGTTCTTGACATGCTTGGTTTAGCAGTTGACAAAAAATTGATATTTTGATAGAATTCTGAAGGGTTGAGAGATGTTTCAAACACAATATAAGAAAAAAATTATCATGAATGAAATAAGCTGAGTGTAGGATTATTGTATTGATGCATCATATAAGTACCTGTAGCTTTTTAAAGATGTCGCCCTGTGCACAGACAACAACATCGAATAACACAGGCTGCTCTTGGCCAATGATTTCATGATAACTGTCCCTTATACCAAGGACTATGTGGAACACATCAGCAACTTCCTTATTGTGCCAACTCTTGTCTGTGTGCAACCAGCCTGTTTTGAATATACTAGGATCACCTGAAACCACATCGAGAAAAGGTACAGCCAGGAAAAGGCTAAAGGGAAGAATATACAAAAAGTAAGACATTGCAAATATGCAAATAGGTTTACAACTCATATTGTTGATGAAAGAAAATGGATTATTTATTAAATTAAAATCCTTACAAGGTGAAGTCATCTGCATTTGTAAACATAGACTTTATTTAACTTTCATTAAAAATGCTTAAAGCATACCTTGTTGAAAGCAGGGATGATGGGTCTGAACTTCCTCTCCCAAGTGAGGCATGATGGGAGAAATGACCTTAGATATTGCAGATAATATATAAAACTGTGTTGTCTGACTGGATAGCCTAGCTGACCCATACTTTTCACTGCAGTACAATCTGGAAGTTTAAGTGTGAAATACTGCAGTTATTCAGTGTTGAGTAAAAATGGAAGGTTCCTTTGTAATGAGAGCCTGGCTATAACTGTACAATATGGATGATCTAAAATTAAGGAAAGGGGTTTGTTTTGTCAAATCTTAAATCAACAAAAAATAAAAACAAAGCATTAACATGCAAAATGTCACCACCATGTGTTACAGATGCCAACAATTGATCGAAGTAAAACCTCCATATACAAATATGTCAAAAACTCACCTATCTTTGACAATGTTGCTATAGAAACCTGACACATGTGTGTTTATAAACTTTTCAGTGCTATGTAGAACCTTCCCAAACTGCATCTCATCATAACTCCTAGTAACCTTTACCAAGAAAAAATGCAATTATTAAATTGACAAAAAAAAGTTTTGAAAGCAGGAGGTAAAACTACAATATATGCTGAACAGCTGAAGAAGCTTGTATTTTTCCTGGAGCCTCTTAAGAATCAACACACAATGAGTGTTATGAAAGAAAAAATTATGTGATAGTTTTGTAACTCTAATTCCCAAACTAGGTTACAAGCAATCAATCTAATCTTATATCAACCCCCCCACACACACTCCTCAAGTTACCTGTGAGCAATAATCATTGAGAAGGTGCAACATATATTGGTCCTGGGGGAGTAAGTCCTCATAGGGTAAAATGTCCTCAGTACTAAACTCTGACAGATTGCCTAGTAAATAGCGCAGTGATTTCCTAATCTGAAACAGAATCAATGGTTCATAGACTACACTGTTGCTCATAAATATGGAATATTTTATACAATTACTATTTAAATATCAGTTTGCATTCTGAAACTTCTAATAATGAATTCATATTCCCTTTAATGCAGACATGCTATCGAATTTCATTCTATCAATATGATTTAGGTCTTCAAAAGCAAAATAACCATTATATGGATTGTTTTTTCCCTAGAATGAGCAAAGACAATAGCTACCTTAAATATAGTTTCCTTTGTTCTGTCGAGGATGGCTCTTCCAATTAGAACTTGTGTGTCGTTATGGCAACTAGCAGCCCACCAACGTAAGATATCCACCCCATAAGCAGCTTCCTTGTCCAGATTCTACAAGAAGTATTATAAAATCAATTTTATGAGACAATTGGGGTGTTTCTTAAAACTATTTAGAAATAATGAAAGTTCAAATAGAAGACTTTGGACTTTTAAGTACTCATAAAATTCTTCATTTGGGGATATACACAATACATTAAATGTAAAAATGTAAAAATAAAAAATCATCAAAAAATATCATCAAACAATAGACCACAATATACTTTATCAAATGTTTACATAAGTATGTCAACATCTTACTTTTCCACCATTGATGACTTGTTGAGGGTCTATAACATTCCCAAGTGACTTAGACATTTTCTTTCCTGATTCATCCATCACAAATCCATGTACCAGCAGTGACCTACAATCACAAAGTAACAAATCCATGTACCAGCAGTGACCTACAATCACAAAGTAACAAATCCATGTACCAGCAGTGACCTACAATCACAAAGTAACAAATCTGTGTACTAGCAGTGACCTACAATCACAAAGTAACAAATCCATGTACCAGCAGTGACCTACAATCACAAAGTAACAAATCCGTGTACCAGCAGTGACCTACAATCACAAAGTAACAAATCTATGTACCAGCAGTGACCTACAATCACAAAGTAACAAATCCATGTGTCAGCAGTGACCTACAATCACAAAGTAACAAATCCATGCACCAGTAGTGACCTACAATCACAAAGTAACAAATCCATGTACCAGCAGTGACCTACAATCACAAAGCAACAAATCCATGTACCAGCAGTGACCTACAATCACAAAGTAACGAATCCATGTACCAGCAGTGACCTACAATCACAAAGTAACAAATCCATGTACCAGCAGTGACCTACAATCACAAAGTAACAAATCCGTGTACCAGCAGTGACCTACAATCACAAAGTAACAAATCTATGTACCAGCAGTGACCTACAATCACAAAGTAACAAATCCATGTGTCAGCAGTGACCTACAATCACAAAGTAACAAATCCATGTACCAGTAGTGACCTACAATCACAAAGTAACAAATCCATGTACCTGCAGTGACCTACAATCACAAAGTAACAAATCCATGTACCAGCAGTGACCTACAATCACAAAGTAACAAATACATGTACCAGCAGTGACCTACAATCACAAAGTAACAAATCCATGTACCAGCAGTGACCTACAATCACAAAGTAACAAATCCATGTACCAGCAGTGACCTACAATCACAAAGTAACAAATCCATGTACCAGCAGTGACCTACAATCACAAAGTAACAAATCCATGTACCAGCAGTGACCTACAATCACAAAGTAACAAATCCATGTACTAGCAGTGACCCACAATCAAAATTCCATGCACCAGAAGTGCATGGAATTAAAGACTTAAAGTTTCAATTCCCAAAAAGCCATAATTTGCTAAATCTGTGGATTAATCTTGCAATAACACAATGGTATTCTAGGATTCATGAAAAAAATAATTCTAAAGATTCATGAACGAAAGCATTCTAACCATGCACTATACGATTATGACATCACCCCATTGTTCACTTACTTGTAAGGGGACGTGCCATTTACTGCAATGCTTGTGAGAAGTGAGGACTGGAACCAACCTCTAAATTGGTCAACACCTTCCAGGTACAAGTCAGCCTGTTTACCTGGAGATTTTACCAACACATACATGTTATGCTCCCTATTTGAGATTACATGTATTGTATTAATGTTTAGACATTTTACAATAAAAGAGTAGTCTCGGTTTGGAGAACAAAGTAAAATTCATCACTTCTAATGCCCAAAGTCTCAGAGCTAAGGCATCATCAGTTAAGGGACCAAGGACCTTAATGTGTGAATTATATGATCAATCAGTAATTGTCTGAAAGAGATTTGCTTATGTGTGAAGTGTCATTTGTTATATGAACAAATAGCATACCTCCTAACACTGCTGCCCAAGAGACTCCACTGTCAAACCAAATGTCCAGTATATCCTCACCCTTTGAGTAGTCGACATCAGGGTCAAGGCCACTCTGCAAGACAGATGCACATGTATACAATTTGGATCATTTTAAAGGCTGAATGTCTGATTGTTCTCTTTCATTCATAATGATAGTCTATTCCCTTCGTGGGATGGAGGACAGCATAATGAGCATATGTTGTAATATTAATTGTATATACATTACACATGGATCCACACATATAAGATTTCTTAATTTAAATAGCACAACGATGACAACAAGGCAACAATACTAATCATGTAGTAGTATTTCAGTTCTAGCAGTCTCCCAGTCAGATATCATGTCATCCCTTCAGCCCAATATTATACAGTTTCACATACTTTTATTAAGACACTAGCTGGTAGGAGTTCCTCTATAGGCAGAGTCCACCAACATGATGTGCCATGCTGCTCCACTAGGTCTCTAATATGCTCTATGGTGTGCCTAAATGGAATAAATATCACTTTTTAACATTTTAATTCCTTGTCAATACATACACTGAGTTGAATGTCTCAAAATGCAGTTTATTTATGCTACTTCTAAACAATAACCTTGCATTCAAAAGTCATATTAGTAGATTCACTCAATAGCCCATTTTGAAATGATCTGTATCCTGTTGACAATACAGTATTAGTTTTAAATTGAACTATTTTTACTAACTGTGTTATGAGAGGTTGTCCAGTCTGAGTGTTGTAGAAAACTGGGATAGGAACCCCCCATACACGTTGACGTGATATACACCAATAGGGACGGGCCTGAAGCAGTGTAGTGAGACTGTGTTCCAGGGACATGGGTCTTACTGTCACATGCTTCAGACTTTCCTGGAAATGCAACATTGAACAGTATGTATAATGTATAAGGGATTGTGCCCTACACACAATGGTGTAATATGCACCAGTAGGGATGTCCCTGTCTCTTGACCAGGACTTCACTGTAAACTGCTTCATTCTTTCCAACATATTCTTTTCAACATTAACCAACGTTATACCTTTGAATATGTGGGTTATATAATATTGACTTACTAAAGCTTCAGTCTTGATTCTCTCAGTGTTGATGAACCATTGTTTACTGGCCAGTATGATAACTGGTTTCTTGGTTCTCCAATCATAAGGGTAACTGTGAACAAACTCCTCATGGTGAACTATTCTGTCACGCAGCATGTCAATCACTGGAAAAACAATGTAATATTAAATATTACCGTTAATGTTAACTGTAAAATCAATTTGATATAAACTAGTAAATTAACCGAAACTAGGCCCAGCGCACTTTCTTTTACCCTTTTGTGTTCCATCAACAGTGGTTTAAGCTATGAGGTTTACACCCATTTATTTGACTGTCTAGTTGCACCAGTGTTACATTATAGTGCCGGCGTATGGGGAACAAACAAAACAGTAGGCGCAGCCGCAACTATTGTACAGAACAAAGCCCGGCGTTTCTACTTAGGTGTCGGCCAACACGCGTCAAACATAGCTACAAAAGGAGATATGTGTTGGGTCTCAGTTGACACTAAGCAAAAAGTGGAAGCAACGAGATTGTGGTGTCGGCTCAAAAACATGTCAGAACACAGAATAACAAAGAAAATTCACCTTTGGTCTCTGACGCAGCATAACTCGTGGGAATATAAAATGCAGCGTTTGTTACGAGATAACAACAAACCAAATCTTATCACTGATGGTGAAATCTTCGGTGTAAGATCTATACTACAATCACTTAAAGACCATCGTATTGAGGTCGAAGCCGACGAATGGCATGCCGCACTTTGGAACGACCGTCATAATCCTGAAAACGGTAGTAAACTCAGGACTTACCGATTACATAAAACACAAATGGTAACGGCGGAGGAATATGTTAGAATTCCTATGCATAAACATGAACGGAGCAATCTAGCCAAGTTAAGAACAGGCACTCTTCCCATTAACGTTGAACTCGGACGGTATAGCGGTATCCCCCTTAATGAGCGACTGTGTACTTGTTGTAATAGAAATGCTGTCGAAGACGAGATGCACTTCCTCATAGACTGTGACTTTTATACTGATTTAAGAACAACAGTCTTTGAAAAAGCAAAACAGACTGTACAAGACTTTGATTCACTACCACCACTTGTTAAATATTGTGTAATACTAACTACCACTTCTTTACAACGATTACTTGCTAAAACCATTGGACACATGATAAGGAAAAGAAGAGAATTATTTTAGTAATTACAAGTTTTAAGTCTCTCATAAGCCGATGCCGGCTGGGCTGCTGTTTTAATTATTTATTGATTTTATATGATTGTAAAAAATTCAGCGTGAGACTCTAATAAATATATAACTAACTAACTAACATTAAAAAGCTGCAAATATATCATTCTGCAATAATGAATTGTAATAGGCCCAACAAATTTTGAAAATTGATTTATCGAATTATTATTTTTTGTAAACCCTGATTTTTCTCCCAATTTATTTTAAGCCATCCTGATTTTTTCACAATTATTTTTTGAAATCCTCAATTTTCTCCCGTTTATTCTAAACAATCCCAATTTTCTCCTGATTATTTTTATAAACCCCCATTTTCTCCTGATTTCTCAGCAATCCCGATTATTTTTATGAACCCAAATTTTCTCCTGATTCTTTAACAAACCCGATTTTCTCCTGATTTATTTTTTAGTTGTCCCAATTTTCTCTCAAATTTTTGGGAATTGTTGATTTAGTCTTTGTAACCCAATTTTTATCCCGATTTCTTTTAAGAAATCCTGATTTTCTCAATCCCATTTTTTATACTGTAGAAATCCTGATTCTTAAAAAATCCTGATTTGTCCAGTTTAATAACAGAAAATATCCTGATTTCTATTTTTACTTGAGATGATTAATAGGAAAGTTATTAGCTACACGATTTTAAATACAATTTCCAACTGATACAGAGATGTCAGAATGATAATCACAACAATTGGTTACCTGTTTGGTTGCCCTCCCCTAAAACAGACTTGCCAGCCAGGTCATCCCCTGCCTCCTCTGTGAACTCACCCTCCTCATTGACAATACACACCTTGAAATACATAGTGTTTATAATTACACAAGCTAGCTAGGTCATGCCCTGCCTCCTCTGTGAACTCACCCTCCTCATTGACAATACACACCTACAAATACATAATGTTTATAATTACACAAGTTAGCTGGGTCATCCCCTGCCTCCTCTGTGAACTCACCCTCCTCATTGACAATACACACCTACAAATACATAGTGTTTATAATTACACAAGTTAGCTGGGTTATCCCCTGCCTCCTCTGTGAACTCACCCTCCTTATTGACAATACACACCTACAAATACATAGTGTTTATAATTACACAAGCTAGCTAGGTCATCCCCTGCCTCCTCTATGAACTCACCCTCCTCATTGACAATACACACCTAGAAATACATAGTGTTTATAATTACACAAGCTAGCTGGGTCATCCCCTGCCTCCTCTGTGAACTCACCCTCCTCATTGACAATACACACCTAGAAATACATAGTGTTTATAATTACACAAGTTAGCTAGGTCATCCCCTGCCTCCTCTGTGAACTCACCCTCCTCATTGACACTACACACCTACAAATACATAGTGTTTATAATTACACAAGCTAGCTAGGTCATCCCCTGCCTCCTCTGTGAACTCACCCTCCTCATTGACAATACACACCTAGAAATACATAGTGTTTATAATTACACAAGTTAGCTAGGTCATCCCCTGCCTCCTCTGTGAACTCATCCTCCTCATTGACAATACACACCTAGAAATACATAGTGTTTATAATTACACAAGTTAGCTGGGTCATCCCCTGCCTCCTCTGTGAACTCACCCTCCTCATTGACAATACACACCTACAAATACATAGTGTTTATAATTACACAAGCTAGCTAGGTCATCCCCTGCCTCCTCTGTGAACTCACCCTCCTCATTGACAATACACACCTAAAATACATAGTGTTTATAATTACACAAGTTAGCTAGGTCATCCCCTGCCTGCTCTGTGAACTCATCCTCCTCATTGACAATACACACCTAGAAATACATAGTGTTTATAATTACACAAGCTAGCTAGGTCATCCCCTGCCTCCTCTGTGAACTCACCCTCCTCATTGACAATACACACCTACAAATACATAGTGTTTATAATTACACAAGTTAGCTGGGTCATCCCCTGCTTCCTCTGTGAACTCACCCTCCTCATTGACAATACACACCTAGAAATACATAGTGTTCATAATTACACAAGCTAGCTAGGTTATCCCCTGCCTCCTCTGTCTCATTGACAATACACACCTACAAATACATAGTGTTTATAATTACACAAGCTAGCTAGGTTATCCCCTGCCTCCTCTGTCTCATTGACAATACACACCTACAAATACATAGTGTTTATAATTACACAAGTTAGCTGGGTCATCCCCTGCCTCCTCTGTGAACTCACCCTCCTCATTGACAATACACACCTAGAAATACATAGTGTTTATAATTACACAAGCTAGCTAGGTCATCCCCTGCCTCCTCTATGAACTCACCCTCCTCATTGACAATACACACCTAGAAATACATAGTGTTTATAATTACACAAGCTAGCTAGGTCATCCCCTGCCTCCTCTGTGAACTCACCCCCCTCATTGACAATACACACCTAGAAATACATAGTGTTTATAATTACACAAGCTAGCTAGGTCATCCCCTGCCTCCTCTGTGAACTCACCCTCCTCATTGACAATACACACCTAGAAATACATAGTGTTTATAATTACACAAGCTAGCTAGGTCATCCCCTGCCTCCTCTGTGAACTCACCCTCCTCATTGACAATACACACCTAGAAATACATAGTGTTTATAATTACACAAGTTAGCTGGGTCATCCCCTGCCTCCTCTGTGAACTCACCCTCCTCATTGACAATACACACCTACAAATACATAGTGTTTATAATTACACAAGCTAGCTAGGTCATCCCTGCCTCCTCTGTGAACTCACCCTCCTCATTGACAATACACACCTAGAAATACATAGTGTTTATAATTACACAAGCTAGCTGGGTCATCCCCTGCCTCCTCTGTGAACTCACCCTCCTCATTGACATTACACACCTACAAATACATAGTGTTTATAATTACACAAGTTAGCTGGGTCATCCCCTGCTTCCTCTGTGAACTCACCCTCCTCATTGACAATACACACCTAGAAATACATAGTGTTTATAATTACACAAGTTAGCTAGGTCATCCCCTGCCTCCTCTGTGAACTCACCCTCCTCATTGACACTACACACCTACAAATACATAGTGTTTATAATTACACAAGCTAGCTAGGTTATCCCCTGCCTCCTCTGTCTCATTGACAATACACAGCTACAAATACATAGTGTTTATAATTACACAAGCTAGCTAGGTCATCCCCTGCCTCCTCTGTGAACTCACCCTCCTCATTGACACTACACACCTACAAATACATAGTGATTATAATTACACAAGCTAGCTAGGTCATCCCCTGCCTCCTCTGTGAACTCACCCTCCTCATTGACAATACACACCTAGAAATACATAGTGTTTATAATTACACAAGCTAGCTAGGTCATCCCCTGCCTCCTCTGTGAACTCACCCTCCTCATTGACAATACACACCTAGAAATACATAGTGTTTATAATTACACAAGCTAGCTAGGTTATCCCCTGCCTCCTCTGTCTCATTGACAATACACACCTACAAATACATAGTGTTTATAATTACACAAGTTAGCTGGGTCATCCCCTGCCTCCTCTGTGAACTCACCCTCCTCATTGACAATACACACCTACAAATACATAGTGTTTATAATTACACAAGCTAGCTAGGTCATCCCCTGCCTCCTCTGTGAACTCACCCTCCTCATTGACAATACACACCTAGAAATACATAGTGTTTATAATTACACAAGCTAGCTAGGTCATCCCCTGCCTCCTCTGTGAACTCACCCTCCTCATTGACACTACACACCTACAAATACATAGTGTTTATAATTACACAAGCTAGCTAGGTCATCCCCTGCCTCCTCTGTGAACTCACCCTCCTCATTGACAATACACACCTACAAATACATAGTGTTTATAATTACACAAGTTAGCTGGGTCATCCCCTGCCTCCTCTGTGAACTCACCTTCCTCATTGACAATACACACCTACAAATACATAGTGTTTATAATTACACAAGTTAGCTGGGTCATCCCCTGCCTCCTCTGTGAACTCACCTTCCTCATTGACAATACACACCTACAAATACATAGTGTTTATAATTACACAAGTTAGCTGGGTCATCCCCTGCCTCCTCTGTGAACTCACCCTCCTCATTGACAATACACACCTAGAAATACATAGTGTTTATAATTACACAAGTTAGCTGGGTCATCCCCTGCCTCCTCTGTGAACTCACCCTCCTCATTGACAATACACACCTAGAAATACATAGTGTTTATAATTACACAAGCTAGCTAGGTCATCCCCTGCCTCCTCTGTGAACTCACCCCCCTCATTGACAATACACACCTACAAATACATAGCGTTTATAATTACACAAGCTAGCTAGGTCATCCCCTGCCTCCTCTGTGAACTCACCCTCCTCATTGACAATACACACCTAGAAATACATAGTGTTTATAATTACACAAGCTAGCTAGGTCATCCCCTGCCTCCTCTGTGAACTCACCCTCCTCATTGACAATACACACCTAGAAATACATAATGTTTATAATTACACAAGTTAGCTAGGTCATTCCCTGCCTCCTCTGTGAACTCATCCTCCTCATTGACAATACACACCTAGAAATACATAGTGTTTATAATTACACAAGCTAGCTAGGTCATCTCCTGCCTCCTCTGTGAACTCACCCTCCTCATTGACAATACACACCTAGAAATACATAGTGTTTATAATTACACAAGCTAGCTAGGTCATCCCCTGCCTCCTCTGTGAACTCACCTTCCTCATTGACAATACACACCTACAAATACATAGTGTTTATAATTACACAAGTTAGCTGGGTCATCCCCTGCCTCCTCTGTGAACTCACCCTCCTCATTGACAATACACACCTAGAAATACATAGTGTTTATAATTACACAAGCTAGCTAGGTCATCCCCTGCCTCCTCTGTGAACTCACCCTCCTCATTGACAATACACACCTAGAAATACATAGTGTTTATAATTACACAAGCTAGCTAGGTCATCCCCTGCCTCCTCTGTGAACTCACCCCCCTCATTGACAATACACACCTAGAAATACATAGTGTTTATAATTACACAAGCTAGCTAGGTCATCCCCTGCCTCCTCTGTGAACTCACCCTCCTCATTGACAATACACACCTAGAAATACATAGTGTTTATAATTACACAAGCTAGCTAGGTCATCCCCTGCCTCCTCTGTGAACTCACCCTCCTCATTGACAATACACACCTACAAATACATAGTGTTTATAATTACACAAGTTAGCTGGGTCATCCCCTGCCTCCTCTGTGAACTCACCCTCCTCATTGACAATACACACCTAGAAATACATAGTGTTTATAATTACACAAGCTAGCTAGGTCATCCCCTGCCTCCTCTGTGAACTCACCCTCCTCATTGACAATACACACCTAAAAATACATAAGCCAGGGAGAATTTCTAAACAATATAAATAAACAATATTTCTTGTTGTTGGAACACTAATATTATTAAAATTCATCAATTTGCTAACTTAGTGCATCAGCCAATATTTGAAAGAAAGCGTGGCAGTACTTAGTTGTTGCATAAAACTCACCGCTTTGATTTTATGCTGATTAATCACTTTGAAATCATCATGGCCATGTGCCCCTGCTACATGTGCAAGTCCTGTACCTTTACCAGCAGTGACATGGTGGCCAGGTAGGAATGGTAAATCTGTCAGAGACAGAGTCGGGTGTCTATACTTTGTACTGGACAATATATCACCTGGAAATAATTTATAAAAACAAATACTTATTGTAGTTGTTGAAAAGCAAAGACAACAAAGATGATATGATAAGTCAAAAGTTCCATGCTCATTGCATAAAGATATTTCCAATCAACAAGCTATTTCTGGGCATATTCTCAAACTTTTGAATTATATATAAATTGTATTGTACTCGTAACATGTGAAACTGATGCAAAGTAGTTTTGTAGTATGTAGTTGTAGTTTGCAGTTGAAGTTTTTTTGTACACTGTAGTGACTGATATACCATATGACGAGTTAATCTAAGATATATAACTGTTATCTATTCTTTTATTTTTGATTTATGTTTAAATTGTTATGTACAGTATGCTCTCAAACGCTTACAATTTAAATTGTCTCAATGTCCAAAGTGTCTCAAACTCCTACCTTGAAATATTGAGGGTGTCTCAAACTCTTACCTTGAAATGTTGAAAGTGTCTCAAGCTCTTACCTTGAGATGTTCAAAGTGTCTCAAACTCTTATCTTAAAATGTTCAAAGTGTCTCAAATTCTTACCTTGGAATGTTCAGTGTCTCAAACTCTTACCTTGGAATGTTCTAAGTGTCTTAAACTCTTACCTTGAAATGTTCAAAGTGTCTCAAACTTTTACCTTGAAATGTAAAAAGTGTCTCAAACTCTTAACTTAAAATGTACAAAGTGTCTCAAACTGTTACCTTTAAATGATCAAAGTGTCTCAAACTCTTGGCTTGAAATGGTCTAAGTGTCTCAAACTCTTACCTTCAAATGTCCAAAGTGTCTCAAACTCTTACCTTGAAATGTCCAAAGTGTCTCAAACTCCTACCTTGAAATGTGCAGTGTCTCAAACTCTTACCTTGAAATGTGCAAAGTGTCTCAAACTCAGTCTTCTGCAAAGCAGCTATGACTTGTAGGCCTTCAGTGGCAATCAGGAAAACCTCCTGTGTGTTGGAACATCTAGCCAGACAATATCTGGAATATTAAAATAAAATTAAAATGGTGGTTTGATCACACAAGATTAAAGGCAGAATCTGATCTATAGGGGGTGACAAAACTACAAGCAACATGTATAATTGACCTACCAATCTACTCCTTACAATATCAAATGCAATATCTCCTAAAAGATTCACAATATGTTATAAATTGGTGAAGTTATAATGGATTCAAAGTGCAAAAATGGGTGAAAAATGTTTAAATTCTCCCAAATAATAAGAATGGTAACCATTCTTATAGAAAAATAATACATTTTTGTAAAAAGATTTAGTTTTCCTGGAATAAAGTATGCCCACTTTTGATTTTAAGAAAATAGACATGACAAGGAATGACATGAGCCAAAAATATTCTATAATTAAAACAATTTTTTGTTTAGCCTGCTCACTATATCTAATTCTCTCTTTAACAAGCAAGCTGTAGAAATCATGGGTTATCATTGTTGATTCAAAATATAGTCACAAGTAATACAGTCACAGGATATTTTAACCACCTTTAAGGGTCTGTTAAATATATTCTTCTGGAATAAATCATTAAATAATTGATAAATTCAAATAAATTACGATCAGAATATAAACCATATTCAATATTTAACATCTCAAAACCTCAACTTAAATCATGAATTATCTTGCTTATTTCTGACAGTCCATGATAATATGTACATATATCTGAAATAACTGACTCATTTTCTGTCAATATACTCTAAAGTGTGTAGAAAGCAAACATATTTATTCTATTCCTCGCTTATTTCATTCAATTTTATTCTACTTTATAACTTTATCATCTAAACCATTGTAATATTTTATCAACTTGACAGCCTCTACATTCTCTTGTTAATCATTTACATATCACAAGATACTGACATACATGTACATTCTACTGTAAATTAATATGAATAACTAAATTTTCATTTAAACATAATGATTTACAAATACATGTCATTGTATATTTATACAATGTATAATGAAACACAATATTCATCATTACTTATTTGTCCATGTTGATATTAAATAATATTTTGAGAATGTGATTAGGATTGTCAGGTGAAGCTGTAAAACATTCAAGTTGTCCAGTAGTTTCAAGGTCATTTAAAAAACGCTGCAAACGGCACATACAATTCAACCATTTTCTTAAAAAGAGGTAAGTATGTTTTATATTGTATAAAATAATGTATAGCGATAACATAAAACAAGCCAAGATATAAGTGTTAATGTTTTATTGTATTTTCAATTTTAAATGAATGTAAACATGTTCAGCATCAAACTGAGATAAGATAGATCTCAGCAAAATGAAACCAATTATTTGTTGGTAAGTAAATTTGAAGACTTATGGGATGACTGCTCTTTGCCAATCCTAACTTGTACAGTAAGAGCCGGCCTAATTGCTTGTAAGAGAGACAATCAGAGATGGGAATAGCACTAATGATTCCACAATAATGTTTCAATCCCATTATCGACAGATATATGTTGCACTTAAAGAGACAATCCCAGGAACAGGACATTTTCATTCTCAATGCTTATGCTGCAAAATTATCATTTTCAGATTATCAATGGTATCCTAGAGATTAACAATGGCAAGTGTTGAGGCAAACCTCCAGGAGATGCTGACATGCCAAATCTGCTTTGATTCATACACACTTGATCCACCTAAACACCCCAAAGCCTTGCCTTGTCTGCATACCTTCTGCCTATCATGTTTGGAGCAATTCCAAGGTCACACCTCTGTTGAGTGCCCATCATGCAGAAGAAGTCATGAGATACCAAAAGATGGATTCCACACACATTTCCATTTCTTATCATTATTGGACACCCCAGCCAGGAAATCAACTCTTGTTCAGCCAATGGTGCGACAAAAGCTACAGCTGGAAAATAAATGTGTGATCCATGGGCTATCTGTCGGCAGAAATGATGATGTCATTGCTGTGAGAGGACGCACCATTCAAATCTATGATGCGAAATTTGGACTGAAAGATACACTCCGCCTCAAGCAATATATTGCGAGCGCTACCCTGATGTCAGATGCCATGCTGGTGATTAAGGAAACCGCATCATCGACCCTAAAGATCTTAAACATGAAGGGAGACTACCAAGGTTCCATCAACAATCCTAAGTTTTCAAAATCAATGACCGTGGCAAATGGAGGATGCAACAAATTGGTGATCGTTAAACAAAATATGGTGTTGTACCTCGAGTCAACTGACAACATTCAATGGGTGGAAAAGGCATGCATACAACAAAGTTTCTTCCAGCTCATGTACCAGCACAAGTTCTTTGAGGCACCATGGTATGCCACTGTCAACTCAAAAGGAATCCTAATTGTGTCAGACCATCACCGACACTGCATTAGAGGACTCAATAAACAAGGCACAGACGTTTTCTGTTACATGAAAAATGAAACATCCTTAGACAACCCTGGAGATGAAAACCCAGAAAGTAAACTCCACTGGCCACGAGGAATTTGTGTTGATGTCCAAGATTACATCATTGTAGCAGACCACATGAACCAGCAGGTGGCGCTACTGTCTCCCAAAGGAGATTTTATACGATATCTCCTGACAAAACAAGATGGTGTAAGGTTTCCCCGCTCTGTTGTTGTGAATAATAATGGACAGTTGATAGTAGGAGATGACTGGGGCCAGGTGTTTGTAGTGGAATACAGGAAATATACTGATATGGTATAAATAAGGACTTGCCTATGTATAGAAAAATGACATTAACATAATAACCATGGACAGAGACCATTTGTAGTAATACATAGGCAACAATATGCAACTACATCATGCAACAAGTCTAGCAATCTTGCTCAATTCCCTTGTGTAATCCTGTGTAGTCTGCGATTATCAATACCATGTGTTAAGGACAAGTTATTTCATGGCACAGAGGAAGCTTAAATTCTAACTTACTGCACATTGGGACCATAGCAAACAGCTTGGTTGGAGGGTAGGGTCCAGGGGGTGGTGGTCCAGATGATTGCCCATATCTTATCATCACTACCTGAAACATATTACCTCAGCAAGTAAAGATCAGCTTTTGTATCAACAATTTAATTATGAAGCCATAAAATTAAATTAAAATGGAGTGACATCAAATTAACTGTTAAGAATAAATGAATTAAAATAATATCAATATGATGATATACACATATTCATTCATTTAACCTTACTAAGCATCAATACAGCGCAACATAAGCCTTTGAAGCATAGAAATTGCATGCATAACCCACATCACAAACAAAATAATATAGAAGTACATGTACATGAACTTACGGGTATAACTGCAGAGTTCTTCTGGAAGATGATTAATGGAGAACTTCACATAGATGGCCTTGGAGACATGCTCTGTGTTATATTCTAATTCTGCTTCTGCCAAGGCTGTCCTTTAGTAGCAACCAAATGGATCATGTAGTTATATATGTGATATTAATACCTTCATTTTTCTGGTATACTAATCATTTTACAAGATATAACTTCAGGTGGTAGAATCTTCAAATTGTTTTTTGACAGTATTAGTCAAGAAGTGGGGAAAGCTATGGAATTCATTTTCAAGTGCATATGAATTACATTTCAAGCTTATCAACTGCTTGTATTGTATCTTAGAGTAAAAACTGTTACTTGCATCTAGTTTAAATAACACAATATGAATCCCTACTCTCAATGATGCAGGTCGTTACATGGGCTATGAGTGTGTTCTATATTTATAAGCAGTTATTGTCTTTCAATTCATTTAAATCCACAATACATGTTCAACAAAACATTCCATCGAAACTGAATCATTTTTATTACATGTTTTTTTCTTTTTTTATCTGTGAATAACTGAATCATGAAGTAAATGTAATATTCTATTTGGTATATTGTTTCTCTTTCTTACTTTATTTAATTTTAATGTACTCTTAAAAGGCAACAGTTAATGAAAACACAGAATGAAATTTTGCGCTAAGGGCTGATGTGAAAAAGGCAGTCAACCCTAGTGAGGATCGAACCCATGATCCCTCCTGTTTCGGACAAGTGCTCTACTACTGAGCTATGGAGCCGACTGACTTTTCCACATCAACATTGCATATACAGTATAGCATTGCAGCCATGTCTAATACATATATAACATGTTTTTATTTGAGAGACAGTTTTCTTTACCTTGAAGATGGTGACCAGTAGACTGGCATGTAATCTTTGTACACATAGCCCTGAAATGTAAAAACATAATTAACTAAGAATTGGTGCAGAATTGAATACCATACATGCTCATTTATTGCTGTTATGAAGAATAATAACACATCTCAAGGCAATGTCCAATATAGCATTTAGACAAGTACATGTGGGTGCTTTTTCTGCATTATTTGAAAATGTTTTTCAAAAGGAATACCATACTGCTCAATACAATTTAATACTTCAATACTTTTAAGACAGCATTTACGAGATGCAAGTACAATGACAGCAGGAATCCTTGCGAATTCTTCCGTTCATACCTTTTCATATAATTTGAAGAATGTTTCAATTTGTTTGGCCTCATATTGTTTATCAAATGTGTGATAGCAGTTGTCCCAATCTGCCATCACTCCCCATCTCTTGAATGACTCCTTCTGCTTTCTTATGGCTCTCTCTGCAAACTTGTGAGCTACAAATAAAGTAAATAGATAATGTATAAATCATAAGTCAATCTCAACATTAATAGAAGGAATTTTTCAAATATTACAGTTATCTAACATTGATTGAGACACAGCAATGACACTCAATGATGTGTCCATGTATATCTTGAAAGGGGAGTGGTCGCTTATTCAAGTTTTTGGCCTTAGAAAATGTCAACTGTATTTTGAAAATGTTAATATCTAGGTATTTATATATCATTATTACCCTTTATTCTGATTTGAACAGGATCCATCTGTTTAAATGACTCCTTCTCAGTCTGTAAAGCCTTGAGTTCTATGGGGAGTCCATGGCAGTCCCAACCTGGCTGGTAGTGTACCTTATACCACCTCATCACCTTGTATCTATTGATGATGTCTTTCAGGATCTGCAATGTTATGTACTGTTATTTCAGTGTATGTACTCAGAGCAATATATAAGTGATCTGACAATATATAAGTGATCTGACAATATATATGTGACCTGACAATATATAAGTGATCTGACAATATACAAGTGATCTGGTTATATACATGTACAAGTGTTCTGACAATATATAAGTGATCTGACAATATATAAGTGATCTGACAATATACAAGTGATCTGGTTATATACATGTACAAGTGTTCTGACAATATATAAGTGATCTGACAATATATAAATGATCTGACAATATACAAGTGTTCTGGTAATGTACAAGTGTACAAGATCTGATGATATGATGACATACATGAAAACAAATGATCTGAGAAAATAAAAGTGTCTGCCAATATGCATTGCCCATTGAACAATTTTTGCATTGATGTGTATGTGTATCCAACAATTTATGAAATACATCATAATGAAAGGCATCGATTGACATGATAAAAGACTAAGATGTTGGATGAAGAACCATTCTTACTTTATTCAGTGCATGGCCGACATGAGGTGCTCCATTGGCATAGGGAGGGCCATCATGAAGTATGAACTCTGGCCCTGTGTTGTGTTCTCTCTGCCAGCCATACAGACTTTGGAACTCAGCACTCTGGAGGTGAGAAATTAGATTGTGCACCATTTAAATCTTATATCAACAACATAAAGGGTATATACTTTAGAGGTTTCTTTACACAGTCAATCTCCAACAGTATTGTATGGTACTGAATGTGGTACTGTATGGTACTGAATGTGGTACTGTATGGTACTGAATGTGGTACTGTATGGTACTGAATGTGGTACTGTATGGTACTGAATGTGGTACTGTATGGTACTGAATGTGGTACTGTATGGTACTGAATGTGGTACTGTATGGTACTGAATGTGGTACTGTATGGTACTGAATGTGGTACTGTATGGTGCTGTAGACTAAAAGAGGACTGTATGGTACCATAAACACTTTACAGCACCATATTTGAATGGTACTACATGTATACCCTTTAATGTACCTTACAGTTCCGTTATTTCAGAGAGCGAATGGGGAATGTACATCATGATAAACCATGACATCTCATTTCCTCTCAGCCCTGAGATGCCATGATATAATAATGAGCTTGATTTGGCGATCTAGGAGAGCCCAAAATTGAGGATTTTTTAGATCTTTCATCCCAGCTCATATTTCATCTAATTGGGGTCATAAAACTTGTGTATATTGAGCCTGTGTTAACATCTGCTGTTAAATACAATGCCTATTAGCCTATTATGTAATCTATTGAGATTAAGGTAAATGATTACATGATAACTACCACACTTATTGACAGTTAAACTCTTCCCATATGACATGCTCAGATCACAGAATATGCCTCTTAATATCAGAGCATGTTTCAGGTGAAACAGAAAGATGCTATGAGTATCAGAATGGAGAATGTACATTCTCTGCAGATGAGAAATCCAATGGACATAGAGGCTTCCCTATTCAAGAAAGAGATTTCTTGATCAGGTTGCTCCTAGATGTGATGTTGTGATCTAGTGACATACCTCTTGTATAGCCTCCTCTCTAAGAGGCACTTGGTTGCCTTTCATACTGGAGGGGAATGTAGTCTTGGGAAGATTCAAAGTGTCCGTGTATTTCTTGCTCATCCATCTCCTACAAAGACATCAATGAGTAAAATGAGGATTTGTGTACTTCTACAGCGGTACATTTATGTCCTTGCTGTATAGTTTTACATTTTAATTTAAAAAGGCCTGTAGGATACAAACTGAGAAATGCAATATGTCTACACTACTTCAGAATTACAAGTCTGTTTTTCTATGGTTTCACTTAACATTTCTTTATCATGCCTGTCATATCATTACTTAATTGTTTTTCCTTTTTTAATGATATTTACAGTAACTTTTTTCACAAGCAGTTTACTTAAAATCACATCACAGAGGGAATACGTCCTTGCAATTTGATATTCAACTTTTGTGATCAAGAGACCACATGGGCTTTTTAAACTACAGAAACCATCCTGGCTTATTTCAGTAAACTCTTATTGATTCTGTAAATTCATTCTTCAAAAATCAGCTTTAAGGATGTTGATTGGGGGAATTTTGATTGGCTCTTGATCACAAAATGGTGTCATTAATGCAACATTCAAAAGTTTGCGTGAGACCCCCCATGCGGGGAGGGTAAGGAATTTGATCCACAATATTGCCCCCAGGGATAGGAATTTGAGGAAGATTGTCGCCAGTGGGGAATTTGATTTACATGTGCCTGGGAATGGGGATATTTGACTGAATCTGTTTCGTCCAGTATACACTTAAGGATTCTCGGAATTTGCAAATGATCGGTATATTCAGTGAACTAATGATTGCTCATATCGGGAACAGAAAAAAATAACTCATCTACACGTCAGGTAAAGTTTTAGGGGTGGAATCGCCAAGAATAACCGCTGAAGAGAGGAATTCTAGAATACCAAGCACACCGAGCAATAATTATTGGTTTGTCAAGCTTGTTTTCGCCCTCCCTTCGGAAAAATACACTTCCGCTTTCAACTTATATTCATAAGCTCGTCAATTTAATTGATTTAATATAGATGATAAATTTAATTTAAAATTATTTTTGGAAAAAAGGTACGTTCGAAGGAATTTTAATTTAATTAATATCGCCTTGATATAGATGAATAATACGGAGAGAGGTAACCTATAAAAGTAATAATAAAAAGCCAATTTCTTAAAATACGTCATTGCATAAATTACAAGAGACCTTTCGAAAATTACTACGATGTGGATTTGTTCCCGATTTGTACCCACCAAACGCAACAATCCGCCCGCCCAATCGACAAAAAATGATCATTCATACAGGTATGAACAGATACAAACCAAGAGTAAAACCATGTTCTCAGCTCATTTTGTCAAAACGTTCCTGCAATTTGCGAAAACGTCGTCATAAAATGGACTGTATTCTCATCGGCTTTTAATTTTGCAGGTAATTGCGTCATTTAAAAAGCTGTTTCTCTATTGGTTATATGTAAATAGTAAGCAGACATTTCATTCATAAATTAATTGTAGCATGTTTCCGCGAAGAATCGTATGACCATATATGGTGTCTCTAATTAAAATATTGACATAAACAAAGTACTGCGCACGTGTATATCCCTCAACATTTACGAGCATCATTCTACCAACAAGAAAATCTGATGTTTAAAAATAGATTTCAAATGGTGGAAGGACCCGGGGGTCACTGATATTTGACCAGATTCATTGCTCCTAGGGTAGGGAAATTGACACATTTATTTGGCCCCGGGGAAGGGGATTAGACAGGCCAAATTTTTTTTTGTCAAACTCCCCACCCATGCCTGCGTGGGGGGTCTCACCAAACTTTTGAATGGTGCATAATGATTTCCATTTACAGGGTGTCAAATAAGTCCCGTCCTCCCCTCTACAGCCAAAACCAAGATATATGGTACCAAGTGTGATATATCATTCAGGGGCGTAGCCAGCTTTCAGTCAGGGGGGGTGCGATCGCCGAAAATTTTTCAGTTTTCGGTCAGGGGGGGGTGCGATTTTGCCATAAGCAACACAAAAAATTAAGATTTCTTTTGAATTTTACAAAAATTGATGCAACTTCCTTCAAAATTGAGCTAGAAGCTTCAAATAAAAAGCATTTTAAAGCTCTTTTCTACCTCTATCCAATGGTCATATTTTCAAAGGTTATGGGGGGGGTGCGATCGCACCCATCGCACCCCCCCTGGCTACGCCCATGTATCATTCAGGGGCGTAGCCAGCTTTCAGTCAGGGGGGGTGCGATCGCCGAAAATTTTTCAGTTTTCGGTCAGGGGGGGGTGCGATTTTGCCATAAGCAACACAAAAAATTAAGATTTCTTTTGAATTTTACAAAAATTGATGCAACTTCCTTCAAAATTGAGCTAGAAGCTTCAAATAAAAAGCATTTTAAAGCTCTTTTCTACCTCTATCCAATGGTCATATTTTCAAAGGTTATGGGGGGGGGTGCGATCGCACCCATCGCACCCCCCCTGGCTACGCCCATGTCATTGGAAAGGTCTTCCAAAGTTAAGTTGATTAGCATATATCTGACACATGTCAATCAATCTCACAAAGTTTTACAGTGTATCAATTGAGGTGACCATAGGCCTAGAAATATGGCAATTTGGCGTATTTGGCAGGAATTTCAGAATCGGGTATAAGAAAAGTCAAAGGATCTAAAGATGACTACATATGTATATGGCAATGCATTTAACCAATTTCTGGATAGGGGAAGATGTGTAGAAAATAGAGGAGCAAGGTAAGTGGTGAAAATATTTTTGTAAGAAGTGGAATGCGAAAAATATTAACTTTTTGACGCAAAAAAGCTGCTTAAAGGAGGGTATGCTAACTATAAGAGACATCATAAAAATATTGGTGAAGTTCATCCAAAATACTTGAGAGTTGGTGAGTTAACATAACTTTGTATGATCTTTCCAATGGTATATCACACTAGGTGCCATCTATTAAGGTTCTAGCTGTAGCAGGGGGACGGGACTTATTTGACACCCTGTATTTTAATTCATATACTGTACCTTCCTGAAATAATGAGGTTAAATCTGTAGCTTCTCAACAAATGCTTCATTATTCTCATTAGCAGTCAAACCTTCCCATCAGAAGTTAGCAGTAAGACATGTACCTAAAAAAGAAATAATCATTCCTTCATGTTTAAAGCATTTAAACTGAGCCTGGTCTGCATTTTTTCTTGTTTCTGACATATTCTGACAGATTGCAGAAGTCAGAAGTCACAAGTCACAATAATTTCTCTCTGCATATTTGAAGTATTTATGGTGGATATAATATAGCTAGACTGGATTAATACATATGTACATATTCGTGAAGGATTCAGGATAAAGAATCTGGAACTTTATATTTACAAAAATCAATATTTGAAGAGAAATTTGGAGGAAAACCATATGTTCTTTGTTTGAATTATTGAACATTTTAAACAGTTGGTGCTAACCAAGGAGCTAAGACAGCCAATTTAGGTTACAGACTGTAGTAAGGTGCTACCATCGTATTAGCCTGATAGACTTATAGTTAGGCCTGATAGAATAATTGGCAGACTTGGAATAGTTTTAAACCATGGAAACTGGAACTGTTAGCCAATTGTTAGGCAGTTACTCTGATACAGACTTGGATACTTCCACAGAAACCCAAATTGGTTTAGCTGGCATTCAGGGGTTGTCTCAAAGTAGTCAGGGCCAATCCCAAGATGTTGACAATCTGGACAATACAGAGCTAGCCACTCCTCATCCTACCAGACGATCAGGCCGCACAACCAAGCTCAAAACCCTCAAGACCCCTCTCACTGCTTCTAGACTTGTGACATCCAAACCCAAGAGAGGGCGCCCAAGAACAATTAAGTCCCAACCTGTTAGGACTAAACCCGCTCAATCAAATCCTGCTCTGACACACCCGGTTGATCTTATAACCATAATGACAATGCTGAGGGACATGTCTGAGGATATTAAACATCTGAAAGACATTAATAAAACTAATGCAGACCTGGTAAAGCAGCTGTCACGTAAAACAGCTGACAATGAAGAGCTCCACAAGGAAGTCGCCACTTTGAGAAAACAACTTGTAAATAAGACAGTTTCACCCCCAAATGACAATGTGAAATCCCTTCTTATAGGATCATCAATAGTTCGTGACATTGATGAAGCCAAACTGAACAATACGGAAGTTATATGCATACGAGGAGGAAAGATATCTGACATTCACAAGAAACTACTTACCATGAAGAGGAAGTTTGACCATATATACCTGCAGGTGGGAAGTAATGATTGTTCTGAGAGAGAAGACGTCAAGCTAATATCAGAAGATTATACCCTCCTAATCCGTACAGCAAAACAGTGTTCCAGTTCTGTCACTGTTTCTAGCCAAACACCGCGCATAGGTGCTACTCAAACCCAGGAGCGCATTGACCAACTCAATGGTTTCCTCCTTTGCCATTGCCAAGATGAAGATGTAATTTTCAATGACAATGATATCAACTTTCGGCTCAAGGATGAGTCAATCAACACTGGATATATATGTGCCGACAAAGTCCACCTTAGTTTTGCAGGCACCAATAGCCTGGCCAAAAACCTCAAACTCAAAAGCAGTTGTGATGATGTCACCCTACCCAAGAATAAAAGGTTTGACCCTCTGCAGAAAAAATCACAGCAGCAGCCACAGAATAAGCGCCAAACACAGCAACACCAGCCCAATGATTCAATAAGTCCAGTGATGCACCCCCAAAGTGATATGCCCAGACAATCCGGTTATAATAACACACGTAAACCGAGATCGAAGCAGACTTATACCCCACAGCAAGAATGCCACTTTATTACTTCATCAAGGGACAATCTTGTGTGCTTGAAATGTGGCGAGCCGGGTCATTTATCTCCCTCGTGTTGGCATCCTAACACAGTGCGGTGCCATTCCTGTCGGGAATTGGGACACAAATCCTCCAGGTGCCCCAAGTCTGAGGTTCTACCATTAATGACCAGACAATTTGCAAATACCAGAATTGCCAATGAGCGTGCTCCACCAATGACCCATGATTATGATGGTCATTACATTAAGGACTATGGACATGGCAATAATAACTTTAGGAATAGATTTGCTGTTCTTGAGCATTATTAGATGTACGGCAATGAGTCAGCCTTACCCCCCAAAATCCAGAAATGTTATGCCTCGCCCCCCTTAAGCCAAAATAAAGTCACTTCTATAAAACATAGACCACATAGAAGGTACAAACGGAAATGCTCTCAGGGTGAATGTTTAAAATTAAAATTTGCTTTTAATAATGTGCAAAATTTAGGACGTGCTAAACAAAGTGAATTGAAATATTTGCTAGAAAATAATGACATTAAAGTAATGGGCTTAACAGAAACATTTTTCAATGAAAATCGGTCACTGATAGTAAAAAGTGATAAACATGAATGGGTATATAAAAATAGGGTAAAACGTGAAGGAGGTGGTGTGGGCTTTTTTATTGAGACAAGCAATGAGATTAATATTTTGAATGATGACCTATTAAATTCCAAGTCAGACGATTTTGAGAGATATTGGATAAGATTGAGAATTAACGGTGAAACTTTCAGTATCGGTATTGCATACTATCCTAATGATGGTAAGCATACCGATCTGAGTAACTCACTTACAGATGAACTTATTTCAAATGTGGCCTCGCTAGAGGAATCTGGGGACTTTATCATTTTAATGGGAGATTTCAATGGAAGAATAAAGCAATTCTCAAAAGATGGCATTGCTAGTACAAATGGGAAATTGATTGAAATGCTTAGCGAAGTAACAGATATGAATATATTAAACCTTTCAAGCAAATGTAATGGTTCTTATACTTGGTTTAGAGGAAGTCAGACTTCAACTATAGATTATGTTTTATGTAATCAAAGTTTATATGATAAAATGACATCAATGAATATTGATGAAGAATGTGAATATTCTATTGGGAGTGATCATTGTATGATTCTTATTAACTTTGCTTTTGTAAAACATACCAATCACTCCAGAAAATCTAAAGTAAATCTCGATTGCAATGCTAAGCTTTGGAAAATGAATGACCAGACAAACTGGAAAGCCTTCAAAACAACACTTTCTTCTGAATTTGAACATTGGAATCCTACAGATTTCTCCTCTCCTGAAGAAATGTGGACTGATTGGAGAGAACGCGTTCACAATGTTGGCAATAATGTGATCGGTCATTTTGAAATTTCGCAAAAGTATAGAAGCTTTTGGGATGATGAACTGAAAAAACTAATCAAGAGCCGTAAGGAGGTTAGCCAGTTCTGTAGATACTGGCGTGCCTCGGGTCTTACAGATCTTGATTCTTTCGATGAACTATGGAAAATATATCAAATAAGAAAGGAAAGAGTTCATGTTTATATAAAAGACAAAATGGTCAAACGTCATATTAATATTTTGACTAGGAATGCATCCAAAAAATCGTCCAGTTCAAGGTCATACTGGAGAACCCTTAATATGTTTAACAGTAATAATAACACACCCATAAGAATCCAACATCCTCTCCACCCTGACATAATTGTTGATGATCCAAAACAAGTATCTATTCTAATGAAAGATTATTGGTCAAAAGTGGGATTAAAAAACAGAAATCAAAAATCGCCTGATTTGACAGCAAATGAAATTAAACACTCCCAAATTCTGGCGAATATGGAATTTAAACTCAGTTCACCAAACGAAAATGACTCTGATATCTTTGATCAAGTTATTTTGGACAAGGATATACTAACAGCCCATTTAAGGCAACTGCCTAATGGTAAAGCAGTGGGCACTGATCTTATACCGTATGAATTTTTGAAATATGGGGGCCCCACTATTGTCAACACTTTGCTCCATTTGTTTACAATGTGTAGGACCCATGAATCATACCCTGAACAATGGAAAGAAGGTTTATTAAAGCCACTTCATAAAGGTGGCGCAAATGGCTCGTTAGATAATTTTCGAGGTATTTCCCTTACTTCTAATGTATTTAAACTTTTTTGCTCCATAATCAACAAGCAAATGATGGCTTTCTGTGAAGATAAAAATATTTTTGGTGACTTCCAAGGAGCGTATAGAATCAAACAACGTTTAGAAAATCATGTATTCAAACTTAAGTCTCTGTGCAGTTTAAGGAAAGATAAAAACCAAAAGACCTACTTGGCTTTTTTGGACATTTCAAAGGCCTTTGACGTAATGGACAGGGACCTTATGTTCATAAAATTATGGGAGAAAGGTGTCCGCGGTAAATGTTGGAGACTCATAAGAGAAATGTACAGAGGAATAAGGACCAAGGTCAAATTATCTAATAATTGTAATGAAAACCTCATAGATAACGACAATAACAATGGCTTGCAAAACGAAAATAATAATAATAATGGAAATACCCAATGGTTTAATACAAAATGCGGAGTCAAACAGGGTTGTACCTTATCAACTACTCTATTTTCAATCGTCATGACTGACCTTCAAGATGAACTTTTAAAATCTGATGTAGGTATTACATTTAATAATTCAAAATTCCCTAGCCTCATGTGGGCCGATGATATAGTACTCTTAGGCAATTCTGAAAATGATCTTAATAAGATGCTCAATGTCACTAATGATTTTGCTATTAAATATGGTTTTAGGTTTAGTGAGAAAAAATCAAAAGTCATGGTTATAGGCAAGAAAATTGATAAGAACAAGTTATGGAGATTAGGTGATCTCAACTTAAAAGAAGTCCAAACCTATAAATATTTAGGTATTCATATTGATCGATCTTTGAAAGATAACTACCACATAATTGATCAACAAATTCAAAAGTCAAAGACTCTGAAGAACTTTATTACATTTATACTGAACAAACATTTAAATGCTAAGCGTATTGAATTTGGTAATACGCTTTATACAACAAAATTCCTCTCGGGGCTGTTACATGGCTGTGGTGTTTGGGTTACGAATACCAAGACCATCCTCGATAAACTCAGGACAATGCAATATGACATGGCCAGGGGTATTTTCAATATAAAAAGTACCCCTGCATATGTTGCTATCATTAATGAACTTGGTTGGACACCAATTAAGTACATAGTCCTCAAGCGACAAATCCAATATTTTCTCCATTTACAGACTCTTGATCAGGGGTCATTCATAAGATTACTACTAACAAGAATGCAAGAACGATTTGCATGTAACAAATCAAATAGTTGGAAATATGTCGAGCACATAGATGATATCTTTAAACTGATTGACCTTAAAGGCATTGACAATAACTTAAATACTTTGATAGAAAATTATGAACCTTCTATTCAGAAGACATGCGACTCTGAGATACAAACTGAAATGAATGGAAAGTCTTCCTTGACACTGTATAGACAGCTTATAGATCTTAAACATAAAGGTTTACAGTACTATTTAAGAAATGATTTTGATTTTGCAAGTGCACGATTAAAATTTCTTGCTCGGACCGGGAAACTAGGTCTTAAAGGTGAAACATATAAATGGGCAAATGTACAAGTTAATAGCCCATTCTGTGATTTTTGCTCTGATATAGAAGAGAATATAGAACATAGATTACTATTTTGTTCTAATTTTGCAGGGGAAAGATCCAAATTTTATAAAATACTTGAGGATAAAATTCCCATACATTTAACAGGGATATTCTTTAGCGCCCCAACTGACACAAAATTGAAATGGTTACTGGGAGATGAGGCATACATCTTTGGGGGGCACGAATATGGTGTTTTATTCGACTCTTTAGTAAAAAGCTTTTTAAATAAGATTTTAAGTAAATATTAACATACCTATGTTTTAATTTTTTTTAAGACTCATTTTAGTTTGATAAGATGTTCTGTTTTTAACCAACATGGCATTGTGGATACTTTCGATTAGATGCACCTTAATGTAAGAGTGCCACTGTTAAAAAAGTGTATATCTAAATAAATAAATAAAATAAATAAAATATTCTAAGCAAATCAGGCTCACAACTTGAACCCTTATGAGGCCTTATGAATCTTTGCAGAAAAAAATTCTCGACACATTTTTTTGTACAAATAACCACGGGAAGTCAACCCCACACCTTTATAACGCTGTAGAAAATAATTTATTTTCTAAAGCTAAATAAAGGTTGGGGGCGACTTCCCATGAAAATAACCTCACATTTATGGTGTTATGTGTTCATATATCAGAGTGGAGTGAGGGTTAGATTTGCCTAAGAATGTAAAATTTAAAAAAAACGCAAATCATCACTCACATTGTTTATTAGAGGTGTCACGGATACCCGATTTTGTTCCGATCCATGGAATTATGCCCTCAGAACGGAACACAAATTGAGAATTTTGGTTCAGTTCCGGAACATGAACATTTTACCCTTTCACAACTTTTGGCCCTTGAATCGCCACAAAACAGTATTTTTCTTTAAATATTTTGCACCAAAAGAGGTTCATTCTTTTCACTCCTTCTCATTAAAGAGTTTTGAAGAGCTTTTCGCTACCAAATAGACCTATATGATCAACTTATTTTAAACTTATACACGCAGTCACTCTGTTCCGAACCGTTCCGAAATTGTTCCGTTCCGAAGCAAAATGTTCCGAAGCGAACCGTTCCAATTTTTTTGTTCCGTGACATCTCTATTGTTTATAGGGGTAGGCTTTATAGGCCCGGTTTATAGGGCTAGCAAAAATTCTTGACATTTGAAAAGTGATGAAAATCAAATAATTTTCAATTCAACAAGAAAAAAACATTTTTCAGTTTGTGAATTTTATCATTATGTTATGCCAATACATGGGCTCTACCACCTGTCTGATAGAGCCCATGGCCAATACAAATGTGAAATTAAGTTAAACGAAGCTAACAACTTTACCTTTCTTCTGAATCAGCTCAAATACAAAGCATTCCCATTGTAAAGCAATAAACGAAATAAATGTAAAGTGAAAGCAAATTTTGCAATATTTGTAAATGTACAAGGAGGATTGGCTCCCAGAGTGCAACATCGATATTCTGTCCCATATATGGGCATGTCGTGCTACAAAATTTGAATTCCAACGACCGCCATTTTGTTCACTTCAACATTTGAATTGTGAATTTTGGTCTTATTTCCTAACGAAAAATTCCAAAACTCACAAGAAATGATCGATTATTGGTTTGAATATTTTGAACTGTTTATTTTGAATTTATAATCGGTTTTAATTTCAGAAAATAACGACATTTCGGCGTTTTCATTGTTGGAAAATATCGACTTCGATTCTGGGAGCCAAGAGGAGGGAAAGCCCCAGAGTTCCAAGATGACAGACATAATTACCTCTCTTGCTTACCACCTTCGTTCGTTCGAATTTTCATCGGCTAGTTATCAAATACTACACTTCGATGGGATGTTATAATTGATATAGGCATATTCCGTACACCTTTCTTTATCTTGATGTGAAATGAGAAGCTATGATATTGGTTAACACGCCAGAAATGAACATAATATTATTCGAAGCGTATTTCGAAAATTTTGAAACCGCCATTGATGACGTCATTTGTTTGTCGACTTTTGACCAATCAGCGACCGTGTCATCTCAATACAGATTTACATTATAAGCGTATGTCATCTTTGAACCCTGGTGTTTCTCCCCCTCTGCTGGGAGCCAATCCTCCTTGTAAATGTAGGTCAAACTAATTTGCATGACGGGACTTTCAAATTTATTTTATACATTCTTGTAACTTTAGTACAATACTGGCTTAAATTGGAGCTGAAATGTTATCATAGATAGTTACTTGATTTTAGTTTCACATGTGAGAATTAGTTTGATATATCTAGAAAGTTCTCGATGTTTAACGTGACCACGTGATTGACCTAGTTAGCAGAAGGAAGTAAATTAATATTTCTAAAACTTTTCATTTATTGAATTTATTGGGCGTAACATCTACAAACGGCTCTCATCAGGAGCTAACTTGAGGTCAGAGGATCCAATACTTCCTCATTGGACTATTTGGGCGAGAAATATAGTGGCAGAATAGTGTAGCAATGAAGTTTCAAAAGTTTTGAAAAAGTTTTAAAAGTTTACAAGAACTTTCACTTCTGTATCGAAGGTTTTATATCACTAACAGCCAAGAAGAAGGAAGTACACGATGGATAATGCAATGTTTAAGATCTTCCTAGCTTTCTGTTTAGCTGTACTATTATGTCAGGTAAGTTATTTGACATTTGATTTTCTGCATGCTTTTAGTTGTTTTGGTGATTCGTGAAAAGAGGGTGTGTTCTTATTTATCTTGATGATTAGCATGCCTATTGTTTTTGTTTGAAAACTATTTAATGGACAAGGAAACTATGCAATAAATCTGTCTCTGTAGTTTCTACCAAAATAGTACTACTCTACATGTACATACTGCAAGGTTCATTGGGTTACGGGCTTGACAATGTAGCTTATTTAATGTAGCTTTCTCATAGCAATTGAGAAATCAGTTGATGTGAAAATGTGCAAGTCTTTAGACACTTTCTGAAAAGCCTCGCAAATAGACCCTCCCTCAGAAAACCTTTATTTACCTTTTGATTTATTTTTATATATACATGTATACAAATATTGACTGCCATTGAGGGAAATATTAAGCAAATATTTCATTCTATGGAGGGCAATACCTGTTCATCTTTCAATGATTTTTGCTGTATGTATTGCCCGCAGCCCGTAGGGCGAGGGAAATACATGATGCAAAAATCATTGAAAGTGCAACAGGTATTGCCCGAACATAGAATGAAATATTTGTTTTATTATATCATTGCTAGACATTCCCTGTGATCATTTATTTTAATCAATTAATATATCATTAATCCATAAGTGAACATAATTACGTACAAGTATCATTGAATGGTACACTTTATTTTCGTCCAGTGTAGTTGTCAGAATTCCCGGGCGGGCAATACGTCGGGCAATACGTCTTTTATTATCCTAAAATTGAGGGAGCTGTGAAATACGTTATGGTATTTTTGATCACATGGTACTGACTCGACCAATCAAATCACACAATTTCTAGCAATGATATAATAATGCAAAATATTTTCTCGAGGGAATATCCTGTCCACTGACATGTTCCTGAGGCTGCAGGCCAAGGGAACATGTCAGTGGACAGGATATTTCCGAGGGGAAAATTTTTCATTATTTCCCGAAAATGTGGCAGTCACTATTTGTTTTATTATATGCTCCATATGTATTCTGTAAACAAAAACTAAATCAACATTTAATGCTTACAGGTTCTTATTGGCATTCAAAGGCATTTTGCCTTTCAACTCTTATAAATCACAGCTAGCAGGGAAGATAAAATGTACTAATGACTGGTCACGTGACCTAACTGGTTATTCGTACATTTCATCTTCCCTGTTAGCAGGGAATTAGGACCTTTCAGGGAATTAGTTCATCTATTTCATATCATGTGACCATGAACAAGCCAATGAGCATCTAGAATACATATGGGGTATATAATAATATTTACTAATCACTTGAATTAATCCTACCTTCATTTCGTCTCTGTAGAATGTAATTGGTATTAGGAAGATAATCTAAGAACAATCTTTATGGAGGCTGTGTCCCAAACATTTATGAGTCAAAATTTTGTAGTACCCCTCCCCTTCCATTCCTTAAAAAAGAACACCAATAATAACGCATAAGTTATGAGTGGAAGGAATATCGAAGAGAACTTATGCACTTTAAAACTCATATTGTGGCGAGATATATATACTAAAATTATTCGCTGTCTTGTGCACTCTTCATCGATTTTGCTAAATCAATCATTAAAATCAGTCTAACCAAGTTTTATTCTGAACTCTATTTCGAAAAATTTGAAAAATGTTACTGTTTATATTATTGTTTTTATTTCACATTTGACAGCATATCCTTACTTCATTTTAATTTCTTAATACAAGAATTACATCATCCTGTATTCAAGGTTGTCTCATGTTTACAAATGTATATAAAAATTATGATTATTTTTTATCAGAACTTCAATTTATAAACACAGTACAAATATAATTAATCTGCGACTTTGTATTAAATACATTATAAGCCACTCTATGGTGAAGTGCTATCGTAACAAGGAAATGTAGAATATATCACGAACTATTAACTTTTTTGTGTATGTATGGTGAGGTTTACATGTTTAAGCTTTGTGGTTAATCTACAGCTTCTACAGTTTTTTATAAGGAAGAAGTTCGGGAACTAAGATTCTGATAAAACAGTATGAGTTTCAAGTGTTTGCTTTGATATTAGCATCTCCACAATTATGAAGCATTAATTTTCCCCATCTTACTATAGAGGTGTAATGCTTTACATGACTTAAATAGAGGGGAAAGAGGCGAATTAATGGGGAATAAGCAAAAAAAATTGAACCCTGAATACTCTTGCTAAATTGAAAGGTAATGGCAGAAATGAAAGAACTTTCATGTCAGACATTGTGAAGAATGGACTTGACCTAAGAGAAGATTTAGATTTGGGTATTATGAGACATCTGAGAAGCAAGAGTAGGCAGGTCAAAGTCTCCTATATGATAGTTCCCTACTAGTTTTTATATTCTTCACATATTCTTTACTCAACATTCTTGAAAGTTTTTGCTTGAGTTGTTTATTGAATATATCTTCTTCATTTAGAATTTGTTCTTGGAAAAGAAAAACAGATTTTGTATTCTTATCCTATATGCTTGATATGGTTCCAGATACAATATCAAATAGATGATTCATCATGGTTTATCACTTGTTGAGCAAAGTAATAACATTAAATCTAAATATGTTCCCTGAATAAAGGAATACTTACATTTGGCATTTACATACTCTAAACATTTATGCCAAACTTGGCACTCACATTTAAAAATGAAGCATGTGATGTTTTACCAGAGGTTTAACAAGGAAGTAAATATTATAGTGTTATTTATTTAAGTTGTGCGAGTCTCATTGCTGTTGATACATGTGTCAAAGTTCAATGGTTTTTATAATGCCTATAGGGTTTACAAAGGTGAAATATATTACTAATATTGTTTAAAAAATAATAACCACTCTATCCATAAACAAATTATTTCATTTGGAGAATAATAAGAAAATGTATTTTAAATAGCATTCAAATGGTAAAACAACAGATTTGGTAGATGAATTACAATGGTGATTTAAATGACACATTTTACTTTACAATTGCTTAGCAAACATTGAGTATTTAACACAAGGTACTTCAATCCCATTTACCCCATATCATTGAGTACCAAACACATGGTACTTCAATCCCATTTACTCCATATCACTGAATACCATATACAAGTTACTTCAATCCCATTTACCCCATATCATTGAGTACCAAACACATGGTACTTCAATCCCATTTATTCCATATCACTGAATACCATATACAAGTTACTTCAATCCCATTTACCCCATATCATTGAGTACCAAACACATGGTACTTCAATCCCATTTACTCCATATCACTGAATACCATATACAAGTTACTTCAATCCCATTTACCCCATATCATTGAGTACCAAACACATGGTACTTCAATCCCATTTACTCCATAGCACTGAATACCATATACAAGATATTTCAATCCCATTTACCCCAAATCATTGAGTACCAAACACATGGTACTTCAATCCCATTTACTCCATATCACTGAATACCATATACAAGTTACTTCAATCCCATTTACCCCATATCATTGAGTATCAAACACAAGGTACTTCAATCCCATATACCCCATATCATTGAGTACCATACAATTGAGGTCTCATTTACTCATTGATTACCATACACAAGGTACTTCAATCCCATTTACCCCATATCATTGAGTATCAAACACAAGGTACTTCAATCCCATATACCCAATATCATTGAGTACCATACAGTTGAGGTAATTCATTCTCATTTACTCATTAATTACCATATATAAGGTACTTCAATCCCATATACCCAATATCATTGAGTACCATACAGTTGAAGTAATTCATTCTCATTTACTCATTGATTACCATACACAAAAAATGCATTGAAAAACAAGACAATTGCACTTGGTCAGAATAAAAGATTGTACAATAATATCATTATAAAAATATCAAAGTCGAAAGATTATAAACAATTAATTATTAAAAAAGAAAATATCATACCAGGAGCTTGTCAACGATGGAATAATGAATATCAAAATATTAATTGGTCTGATATTTGGAAAATGATTCAAAATATTACTGAACCGAGATTAAAGAGCTTACAGTACAAAATATTGCATAGGGTATATCCCACAAATATTCATCTATTTAAATGGAAAATTGAAGGGACAAACTCAAACAATTGTAAATTTTGCAGAAATGAAGAAGACTCATTTGCTCATTTCTTCATCTCTTGTAAAAAGGTAAAACATATATGGAAAGAAATAATGAACAAAATAAATGCAAAATTTGGATGCTCTATAAAATTAACAGAAATGGAAATTTTGCTTAAATATACAAATAAGAAAAAATATATTGAGAATTATGTAAATAATATTGTATTAATAACAAAAAACTGTATTAGCAAGTCGTCGCGTGAGAATAACTTTGTACTAACTGCCATTTTCAAAAAAATTGAGATAGACATGGAATTTTACTATTTGAAACACAGGCTTTCATCTCAGATACATGCCCCATCTCAATTCCCTCTCATTAAGCTAGAATTCAGTGTGAAATTGTACCATCTCCAGACAAACAGCTTATTTCTAATTTCAAATTGTCATATCTGATATCAACTGTTTCAACCAATCAACTCTCTAAGAATTGGTCATGTGACTTGCAAAACTTGGAGTTATAACAATCTTATATTAAAACGAAGTATGCCAATATGCATGTTATTGTATCTAGAATGAAATAATGTTTTGTAACACAATACCATGCCAGTTTGCATGGCCTTTCATGTTTTAGTTTTAGAACTATTACAAGTAGATCAAAAAATAAAATGATACAGTATGTGTACTCCCATGCATATTCAAATTATATGCCCTCAATTACTCTTTGTATTATGGATGCTCATTGGATTATTCATGGCCACATGATATGAAATAGAATTACTAATTTCCTCGAAAACCTAAATCCTTGCTACCAGGGAAGATGAAAAGTACAAATGACCAGTTAATTAGATCGTGTGAGCAGTCAAAAGTACACTTTATCTTCCCTGCTACCAGGTCTTATAG